AGTGTTTGGGGCCTAAATAAGGCATTTTTTCATCATTTGAGACAACAAAAAGGGGGGGGGGTGAAAAAGGCGTTAAAAGGCGTGTATATGAAGTAATGGGTTAACTGAAAATGATGAAAATACTTGAAATTACCCTAAATCGCGTTTTTTTCATGTTTAAACATGGCCTGTCATATAAATTTGAAGAAAAATTGTTGTTTTGTAGATTTTTTTATTTTTTTCATTAACCCATTACTTCATGAGCATTTTGTGAAAAATGGCTGTTTTCATTGAAAAGTCTCCCGTTACAAGTTCAAATTGCTATAATACTATAAAAACTGCTTCAACACTAATCAAACTTGGCACAAATGTTGACTGGACCATTGCACTTGCAACAACATGCTCAGGCTTAAATTTTCTGTTACCATGGCAACGAGGGGACATCTCAAAATTGCCAAAAATCACTATTTTGCGTTGATTTTTTCCATCAAAATTGATTTCAAAGTGCTGCAATTTCTCAATGGATTGAGATAGAGTCAAATGCTTTTCAGCGTTGGTTACACGTTACCTTATGATCAATCTGGGGTCATTTACAGCCTCTCACAAGTCCAAAATTTTCTTGGCGATGAGGGGGACTCCGCCCCCCTTCAAACCCCCCAAACAGAAGGGGGCACATCCCCCTTCTGGCAACCCCCTGATGTATCTTTTGGTTGGGGGGCCGCGCCGAAAAAGAGGTCACTTTTTTTAACAACATTTCTCAAACAAAATCAAGTGTTTGGGGCCTAAATAAGGCATTTTTTCATCATTTGAGACAACAAAAAGGGGGGGGGTGAAAAAGGCGTTAAAAGGCGTGTATATGAAGTAATGGGTTAACAGAAAATGATGAAAATACTTGAAATTACCCTAAATCGCGTTTTTTCATGTTTAAACATGGCCTGTCATATAAATTTGAAGAAAAATTGTTGTTTTGTAGATTTTTTTATTTTTTTCATTAACCCATTACTTCATGAGCATTTTGTGAAAATGGCTGTTTTCATTGAAAAGTCTCCCGTTACAAGTTCAAATTGCTATAATACTATAAAAAACTGCTTCAACACTAATCAAACTTGGCACAAATGTTGACTGGACCATTGCACTTGCAACAACATGCTCAGGCTTAAATTTTCTGTTACCATGGCAACGAGGGGACATCTCAAAATTGCCAAAAATCACTATTTTGCGTTGATTTTTTCCATCAAAATTGATTTCAAAGTGCTGCAATTTCTCAATGGATTGAGATAGAGTCAAATGCTTTTCAGCGTTGGTTAAACGTTACCTTATGATCAATCTGGGGTCATTTACAGCCTCTCCCAAGTCCAAAATTTTTCTTGGCGATGAGGGGGACTCCGCCCCCCTTCAAACCCCCCAAACAGAAGGGGGCACATTCCCCTTCTGGCAACCCCCTGATGTATCTTTTGGTTGGGGGCCGCGCCGAAAAAGAGGTCACTTTTTTTAACAACATTTCTCAAACAAAAACAAGTGTTTGGGGCCTAAATAAGGCATTTTTTCATCATTTGAGACAACAAAAAGGGGGGGGGGGTGAAAAAGGCGTTAAAAGGCGTGTATATGAAGTAATGGGTTAATGAATATACTTTGTGATCGATATTTGTTGTTGTTGTTGAATTTAATAAATTAAATTTTCTATTCATTTTAGTATCATCATCATCATCATCATCATCATTATTATTATTATTATTATTATTATTATTATTATTATTATTAGTATTATTAGTATTAATAATAATATCATAAAAGAGTGTGATTAAAATTTATAGGTGCGTACGTTTAAATTGTTTTATCATTAATCAGTACATGAATTATGGTTTACATATACATGGATAATATGCGATAAAGGATATAACGAAAGAAATGCAAGATAAATACTTACGTTCTATAGACCTTTTTAAGACGCGGTCCGTTGCTATGAAAAAAAATGACCGGAAGTAGTATTTTTTCGCGCATGCGCAATTTGCGTAGGGCAAAAAAGCCATGCCCTACATAGAAATGAAGTAGAAATTCATAGACAATTCCGAGTTTGTTTAAGGTAAAAATTAGAAAATCATATCAAATAGCTTTTAACAGAAACACAATTAAAAGATGCCTTCATAGCTTTGTGGCCAAGATTGCCAAAAAAGGCATGGAAAAGACGATTGTTTAAGAATCCCCCCTTACGATCACTGACCTGACATTGAGATTATTGATGTAAAAATATGTGGAAACATATATATTAGCAAATAGAGTAGTCAATTTAATTGTTGTTGAAAACGTCCATATTAAAAAAAATATTTTTAGATCATATATAACATTTTTGTATAAATTTTATTAACATTTAAAATCGAGGTTAAATATCATTCTGAAAAAAAAAGTCGGAACACGTGATCTAATGCATTTTTGTTTTCAGTTTAGCTAATTTTATCCTTTATCCAACTTGACTGAGATGCCAAACAGAAATTTTTTAAGTCACATAATATATTTAAATAATTTTTCAAACTCTTGTGAAGTTAAGATTGGTGGTGGAATAGTAGCTGGCAAATAACAACCGGTCACGTGTCAATCTGTTTGACACTTACCGCCTTGCCAATCCACTTTCAAAGGAATACCAATTGTGTAATATTATGTAATATATGGGTAATAAAATGTGATCTTTAACACCCTGCTGTTTTAATTTAAATTACTGATGAAAAAGTCACCTAATGATACCTTGAACAGAGGACTTTTGGTCGTTGAATTATAAGTCCCGCTAATTTTGTATATCTGTTATAAATATCAATTCACGTTTTAAGTACTTACCGCTTTAATTAATCACAAAATTTCTTTTTTATGGGTGACATAACTTGAAATCACGCCTTTTTAAGACTTTAAGTGCGCTCAATGTATGCTATCGTTATTGCGCTTTTGTCCTACGCAGAATGCGCATGCGCGAAAAATCGTACTGTAAAAAGGTCTATAGAGACTCTTTTTATCATCAGAGTTGGTACAGTTTTTGTATTTTCTGATCGCAGATCAGATAATACATAGCTAACATCCACGGTCTAACACAAAATTTCCTAACAACGCAAATTAGTTCTCACTCAAAACTGCTTAAAACCAGCAATTTAAAAGAAAGAACAATTTTTTGTTAGAATTGTCCAACAAATTACTACACCTTCAAACTTTTAAAGTAGCGTTGGCTTATAGAGTTGTCAATAAATGCACACTCACAAATTACGCGGATGAATATGATTTTAATCAATGAAAATGCTATTTTTAGCGATGTCGATTACCGAATACTACACAAATAAATCTAACTGCCGAGTAGTTGAATATATAGTTTCTACATGTTGGACTGTTTGGGCGAGAAGATTTTTGCTAAATTATTTACTTCAATTTTAAACAACAGGTTTACCCTGAACAAAATACCTCGAAATTACCCTAACCCGAAATGCAATGGAAATTCTAAATTTAGAATGACTTGATTTTATTCAGCTTGTGGCTATAAAACTTCTCCGTGGTGCAGGGGTAACGCGCTCGTTTAGTGTGTGAGCTGGAGTTCAAATCCCAGTCGAGTCAACATTTTTTTAATTCTTTTTTTTAGTGTCTTTGTTAAGGAAATAGCCACGTTATGCAAGGATAAAGTGTGGCTATCATTAAAAATTAACATAAATTATTTTTTGATGCAACTCTAGTTATGCAAAATTCCGTATGTATCAAACTCTGGTGCCCTGCAAGATGACTTATAGTACATAAAAATAAACTTATACAGGGAAACACATACAGATATACAGTACGATTTAGATTGCAGGGATCAGAAAATACCACTGAGCTTGCAGCCCTTTGATTAAACTAGAAAATATATAAGTACGTCATGTTAAAATGATCAATTGTACGAACTGTTTTGTTTGCTTTTATGTTTTTTGTGTTGGGTTTTTTTTGTTTGTTTTTTTGTTGTTGTTGTTGTTGTTTTTTCTCAAATAATGAATGAAATCAATTTTTTCTAGGCCATTGTCTACTTTAAAGGCATATATTCACTGGACAGTGATAAGCGTATAAGCTATGATATAATTATATAAACAAAGTGACATTACCATGTTGAACAGTAAAGGCCTTGAGCTTTTCTTTTGAATATGCCGATTTAAACGATTTCCTTTACGGTAGAGGGTATATAATATAATCTTCAGCTTTAAGTTACTGAAAAGAAGTAAGCGTTATGTTTAACAAAGTTCAAACTTTCGAAATCTTATTTGCAAAAGGGCAAAACCTTGCCTTTTGCAATACATACACAATATAAATACAAATATGACACATTGAATGTAAGACACGTAAATACAAAGTACATATTCCAACTCACCATGTATCAAAATTGATAAATAGATAGATAAATAAGTAAATAAATACATGCATGTCAAGGTGATAAAAATTAAGTATATAAATATAGCATTCATTTCTTAAATTCATTATTTAGAGTTCCACCAGCTGACTTGTAGCCCCTCCTATGAATATTTCATTGTTATGAAATATATCACGCTTCTGGCTTTCTTTATTTATATAGGAGAAAATCTCCGATAGTTTTAGAATTTGTCATAAAAGATAATTAACAAAAATCCTATTTAAATTGGTGTCAGGTGTGGGATTTGATATGTCAAGAAACTTGGCGCAATAAAACTAGCATTGAATTTCAAAATTGTATTGTTCAATGTCAGGACTTTTTACGTTCCAAGTATGTCCCATGTGGTGCCTGAAATGATGTTCACGAGAGAAATAACGTCATAAAAGAACGTCATATTGTTTGCAATATCACATCAAATGGTTAGATAGGCTGATCATTAACTGTCAAATGTATTCTTATTTAACAACGTTAGTTACCTCCTGCTGAAAGATTTTTTTCATGTTATCAGTGTTAAGCAACAGAACTCATTTTGTATTTTATACACATATTTATTCTTTTAGAAGCAGTTATATTTAATCTAAGTAAAAAATTAATGTAGACTTATTTTCTATTAAAGGTATGTTGGAATGGGTGTGGGACGAAGATCTTTGGTTCCCAGTAAATTCTACTGGACCAAGGTACGGATGGAAGGACTTGCAGAACCACCCAGGCTCGGGTATATACCATCCACAAGTTCATGATTTACACTGGTCATTTATACTTGGTATTGCCCTTCTTGGGATAAGATATATAAATAAAAAGTAAGCATATAGTTCTTATTGTTTTCTTATTCTACATGAATTTAGACTTGCCAAGATTTCAAGCTGTATGCATTTTATTATTATTATTTTCTTTTAATTTGCAGTGCTTGCATTAAAAGTTTTTCATGGAGGAAATATTGTTTAGTTGTCGTTTAATAACCATTAATTTGATGCAATGAAAGTCATTTTTTTAAATAAACAACTATAATCAACAATCTCAGATTGTCAAAGTAACATGAGCATAATGTCACTTTTATGCTTTTAAATATAGAATTTCGGGACGAACCATTATTACAATAATAAAATTTGAAATTCTGTTTTAGATAAACGAATATGAATAAACACTCAATTTTATGTTTATAAAAAATGTGGCGATCAATAAAAGTGCATTAATGTGAGCGGTATCTTTAGGATTAAAATATAACTAATAACGTTGTTTTTATCCAAATTCAATTACACGTGAACTGCTTTTCAACTCATCACAAATGCCGCAGAGTTTCCTTAAAGCGGCATACCTCGAGAAATGTAAAAATAATACAGTTTTAAAGAATCAAATTTAAGACGTTTATATAAAGAGTTTCATGCAAATTATGACTCGATCGTTCAATATCCTGTTTGTACCTGTTTGAATCTTCGCTTGTTGAAATGCAAAATTTTGTCAAAAATCTCATGCGTCGTTCTTTTATGGTTAAAAGGTTTAATAACATTTATCACGTCGTTTAACGATTAATTGATTTTATTACATGCTTTTCGGTGGTTTATAGAAATATATCAGTGATATAAAACTGGTAATTTTACTGTTTGAAACAGTGAAATTACCACTTTGATAATTTCACTGTTTTGAATTTAAGCCCCTTACGTTGTTTCAGTGAAATACCAGCGTGCACAGTACTGGGTACCAACTTAATGACGTGACATCGCAAATGACGTCATGTTGTATTGTTATTTGGCGCGCTTTTCATTCAGTATTAGGTTTAATAAATGTCTTTTTAAAACGTTTCTTTGCATATAATAAAGAGAAAATTTGTTTAGTTTAGTGTAAGATCGAAATATATTTCACCTTGTGAACACCAAAAGTTCATATTTCACTCGTGGCTGCGCCACTCGTGAAATATACCTTTTGGTGCTCACTCGGTGAAATATATTCCGATCTTACATTGAACTAAACAAATACCCTCTATATCTTACGGAATGTCAATTATTGTAAATGAGTGTCCGTCCGTCCGTGCAAGAAATGAAATAAACCAATAAAGACACTAAATTCATTTTGCGTTTTTCAGACTTTTTATTGAACCATTGGGGTATCACCTAGGCGTATCAAGGCGTAAACCACGCCCACTAACAGAAAACACCGTGCTAGAAACGGCTTATAAACAAAATAAAACGATAAGTCCGGATCTGATAAAAGTAAGTTACATAAGTCATGATATCAAAAATTTCAACTTTATATTTACTTGATCGTTACACATGTTTTGTCTGGAAAAAAATGCATACGGTTACGAAAGCAGCATTATGCAGACAAACGAATAGTGTAAAATATACAAACTGATTATTACGGAATCCTGATCATGCCGTCTATGATGCAGTAAGTCGGATTTAAAGGTTGAAAACACGGCAATGCGAAGTGACATATAATAGTGTCTGAAGTTGTAATTATAGCAACGCGAAGCGATATAGCAACAATGCGATACGACGCTCGACAGTGGTGGATGTTGGTAGTTTTCACTCTGGATTACGACACTAAGCCACATTGAATTTACCAGATCATTGTTCAAACTCCTGAGCAGGCTGTCAAGCAGTTTACCATCACTTTCGCAAGAAACTGAAACATTTGTACATACCAGAGCAGAGGTACAGTGCAAATGACCGTAGAAAGGATTTCATGATCAGTCACACGAAAATGACCTGCGCCGTCTGGGAATCGAACCCGGGTCGCCCGATTCGCAGTCCAACGTTCTACGAGCTAACCGGGCGGCTTCATCAAGATAATTGAATTATGTCGCGCTTTATAACACGACATTTTCAAATGACAGGGCGATATTTCTTTTGGCGAGCGCAATATCGCATTGTCGAGATGTCATTTCGCTGGACGTCTTCTTGAATGGCACATTCAGGATTCCGTAGCCTATCACTATATTTATAATAATCAGCTATAGTGGTAAACTATTGTTATGTAAATACATTGTTTCTAATGTAATTCAGAACCTTTCAAAGCAGACGGACATGTCAACGAGGAAGATAGATATATGGTTTCGTATCAGAAGACAAAAAGATACGCCATCTCCGATGAAGAAGTTTGAAGACAGCTGGTAATAGTCCCCTACTTACCCCCCTCCCCCTTTATCCCCACCCCTTTCACCCATCAACTGTACTAATATAAGCAATGATCTTATAAAGATGAGAGGCATATTCAAGGATACTAAAGCCAGTTAGTGAATTGAATTCATGTGTAAGATTTCAAAAACGTGACAGTTGATATGAGCATTTGCCATGAATAATAATTGTACAAACAGTAAAATAGTTTAATGTTTTACAGATTTCAATCTTTTTCCTTTAAATAAGATAGCATCATTGGCATTTTCCAAGTGTGGCTTTCATTTATTTATTTAGAGCTTTATTATTATTATTATTATCATCATCATCATCATCATCATCATCATCAACGTCATCACCATCAGCAGCAGCATCATTATCATCATTACCAGCAGCATCATCATCATCATTATCATCATCATTATCACCATCATCATTATCATCATTATCATCTTCACGATTTTTATCATTATAATTATCATTATTATTATTATTATTATTATTATTATTATTATTATTATTATTATTATTATTACACATTCAATTTCTTGTTTCATTTCAGTTGGCATTTCATATTTTACAGTACAGCTTTCCTATATGGACTATATGTTTTGTGGGACGTGAGTACCTTGAAATGATAACTCTTTAATAGTTGTAAGAACCATTTAACGTTTCTTTTATTTATAATTACCGAATTTTGCCCGTGTTAAAGCGACTCCCAATCTGATATAAAACCAGCTTCTAAGTGACGCTACATGTAAAACAAAAAACCTTGCCTTTTAGCGATTCCTATCTAATAAATAATGAATTTTTCTTCGAGTGCCATATCCATTGGCGTGCGGTGTACATTAACAAAATCTTTAAAGCTCGGTTATGCAGAGAGAGAAAAAAATACATAAATAACTGCATGAAATTAAATTTTTATGTTCTTGTTCTTTTTACCCCTGTTATAATGAGATGCAATGTACTGCTGTATATACTGCATATATACCTCATAATTGTATTATATGTGGTGCACTGATTGAAAAAAAATGATTTGATTTGAAACTATTTATACAATGACATAATTTGTTTCATGGAATTACCATACTTTAAGTTTAAAACAGTCCATTCGAAGTTTAAGGGACTTACAAAAATTGAGCTGCCAACAGTATGAAGCCTGGACAGACTGCACAGTAGCGCAGGCTTGCCTGGCTCTATACTGGTGGCAAAGGGTGACGACTTTCTGTTTCAGCAGGTTTGAGATTAAATTTACTTACATTTGTTTGTAATTCACTATTCGAAAACCAACTTTTACATAGGTGTCTAAGTTATTTTTATCAAGCAACTTGAAAGAAATGTTATTTATTTGTTTACGTATTAAATTCCACGTTTCTATTGTAACAATGTTATTTCTATATTACAGAAGCCTTGGTTTTGGTCAACTAAAGAATGCTGGTTAACATGGCCTTATTCAGTAAGTTTTGCTATACATATCTCATTGTCGATGATCATATAATTATCGTGATCATCACCATCATCATAATCATCAGCATAATCATCATCATTATCATCATAATCATCACCATCATCATCATAATCATCATCATCATCATAATCATCATCGTCATCATCATCTTCTTCATCATCATCATCATCATAATCATCATCATCATCAAAATTATCATATTATTATCATAATAGTATTATTATCGTAATTTTTAACGATTATGATGATGATGATGATGATGATGACATCGACGACAACAAAGATGATGGCGACGACGCCCAGGAAAATTATAATAGCATTAAAAATCTTAAAAGACGAATAATAATATCTGTCATTTTTAACGGTTCGGATCGAAATATCCGTCCCGAGGGTACCCCGCCCATCTGGCGTTATCAGGCTTGCCGATATATGTCAGATAATTTTTCTTGCATATTCTGCCATGTACTTTCATATTTAAAATGGTTTACCTCAATAAGATTTTTGGTTCATGTAAATTAATGTCATTTTTTTACATAACTATGTTCTTACAATAGCGTATGAATTTACAACTTAAATGTTTGTTTTATAAAATAATATCAATTAAACTTTTACAATTTCACTGTGAATTTTTATGTTTCGTCGCTTTAATTTTTTCAGCATGTATCAAATGATGTATTTTGGTATTATACTTTTGAGATGGCGTTTTACTGGTGCCTTATTCTCACGTTAATGAAGGACCATAGGAGAAAAGTATGGGTTTTTTTATTTTAATATATATTCTTGTATGAAGGCCACTTAAAGGTTCATCTAAGGTGCATGACAAAAATCACTTTTTAATCACATTATAACATAACTTTTGAGAATATTTAAATACATTTAGATTATCTAGTCATTTTCTTTTAAATCTTCAAATTGAAATAAAATTATAAAAAACAACAACCAAAATCAGCCACTACAAATCATACACGTGCTACGCCTGCTTCCTGTTTCGGGTCCAATTACCTAAGTCGCAACCGGAAGTGGTATAAACATTCAATGTCAAGACAAGAAAAATGATTTATTTTTCAGGATTTTGCAGAGTTTGTTATACATCACATAGCAACAATTGTTTTGCTGTATTTTTCATGGTTTATGAATTTTGTGAGAATTGGAACATTGGTTTTAGTAGCCCATGATGTTGCAGATCCGTGGTTGCTTGTAAGTTTTCAAATTTATTTTGATTTTTTAATAAATTCATTTGTGTATGCATTATAATGTTATGTAAGTAAAATATTTCATATAGTTTAAATACTCTTCCTCAGAAAATCATTTCACTTTAATTATATGTACACTGATGCAGATAAAATCGCAACTTTTCGGCCCTTTCCGTCAGTCTTCGGATATAGATAATAGCCGATGACGTTCCGATTGATGCAGATAGTTTTAAATAAAGTAAACAAGGTTAGCTTTTAAAAAAGCTAGTATCGACTCGCTTCGTAATTTTTTTCCAGGGGTGCGTTTAAATGTAAAAATGACAGTTCTGTTAGCTGAAGGTTTTTTTTTATAAAGAGATATCAAATGATATAGCATGATTCACTAGTGAAGTATGAAATATTGCTTTTTTATACGAACGAGTTTGTATTTTAACTCTTAACTGGCTAGAACCGTAAGAACTAAGCCCTAGGCCAGCCTACACATCCATGCAGTCTGGCCAGGCTCTATGCTGTTGGTAGCTTAATATTTTATATTTTAATATTGAAATCCCTTAAACTTTTAATGGACTATTCCAAATTCAAAGCAGTTTAAATTTCATCACACAAATATAGTAGTGAACATTATATATACTGTGTTGTTGTTTTTTTGTTACAGTTAGCTAAGATGTGTAAATACACCAAACGAAAACAGATAACTGAAGTAATCTTCGTCATTTTCATCGTGATATGGATTGTCTCCCGTCTAATATATTATCCATTTATGTAAGATGTTTTGCCTAATTGTAACCCAACTTAACTCAATTGATATATAAAAATAATTATGTGAAGCTTAATATTAATTTATTTTAAATGCACTTTTGCTAATTGTACAAGCTTTAGAGAGTAATTTTGCTAATTGTAGGGTAACCGTTAATGTTACGGGACCCGTTGTTGTTTTGCTAATTGACATTATATACTGATATATTATCCATTTATGTAAGATGTTTTGCTAATTGTAACCCTACTTAACTCAATTGATATATAAAAATAATTATTTCTTTGTGAGATTTTTTTTTTAATTTATTTTGATGACACTAGATTTTTTAGCCACAAACCTAGACGTGTGTTCTTATGTTAACAAATAGGTTGTGGTGAAATTCTTATTTGAATTTTACAGGTTCGGGTTATATAGGGATCCATTATGAACATCTTATACATGTATACATATGCCATATTTTTTTCTCTCATGCTATTATGTCCCTTATTTTGTTATTTCTCTTAAAACAAATGTACTATAATCCAGTGCGGAGCATTTGTTTATTATTATATCATTTTGTTCACTATCTACCATGAATTTTTTCCTTTTTTAAATCATTTTATGTTTTAAATGCTTGTGCTGATACTATATCGCAATAGCGAACATATATATTTGAGCCCCTCCCCAAATAAACAGTTAAAGCCCCAATTTCGTGGACAGTTCAACAATTTGCTTTGCTATTTATTCCTGGCATCATCAGCGGGTTTCATACATAACCTATTGCGTATCATTCAAAGGCGTCAGGAATATACGAAGGCTGACGACAATCGCTGTAAAACAAAAAGATAACGCTTTGCCCTAACTTGTTTTCACAGGCGTACCTCCATTGCGTTTACAGTTAGTCTTATTATTTGTTTTATGTAATGAAATTGTTCTATGAAACCATGCTGATTTCTTTATTGTACACTCATCAATGACATATGAAATATCTATGACTTATTTTAGGAAAATCTATTTTAAGCTTCTTTTCTTCTTCTTCAGAGTACTATATAGTAGCACCTTCGAGCCGTATTATGTAATAGAGAAGACGTTTTTTACACATTGGTTTTTCAACTTCTTCTTATATCTTTTAATGGTTCTGCATCTCATGTGGTCGTACAGTATAGCTAGAATAGCCATAAAGAAACTCAGACAAGGAGAGGTCAGACAGTATTAAATTCATTTAGCAAATCTATATTAAAATTTGGATAACAAAAAAGTCCATATGTGCACAGCATAATATTTTAATTAATTTTAAAATTTAACAAATTATCTTTTATTTCGATTTTAAAACCAGAAGAAAATTAAGTTACCTTAGAATATAAAAAGTCAAAGCGAGGAAGGCATATTGACCTTCACCGTCAGTGATTACAAAATTATTGTATAGAAATATTCGGGAGTAAATTATAACAGCCATGTTTTTAACGCATTTGTTAAAAGAAAAAAAAAACGTTAAACTGTTTTCACATGGATAAACCGAGTGAACAATCTACATCATTTCATATTGATATGTTACTAGTAATTGGACCACGTGATTTTCTTTTTTTATTTTCAGTTAGAAGATGTAAGAAGTGATTCGGACTCGGATTCGGATGATGAAGTGGAGTCAGATACTAACTGTGATATTAATGACAATGGTGTATCCAGATCAAATTATAGCCACAAAACAAATGCTTAAAGTCCCATTTATCCCAGAAATACTTTTAATTTTATCTCTCAAAAGCTTTTTATTGTTGTTGCACTGTTAAAGTTTCCAAAAAATTACTCTTTTTCTTCTGTTGCTTTTTTGGCATTTAGCTATAGTGAAGCTATAGTGATTTAGTAGTTTGTATGGAAGTCAAAATAGTACTTTGTTTACATTTTGCTATTTTTATGCCAAAGTATTTCACATTTGGCGCTACTTCCATAAGGTAAGAAGCATCTACTATGTTCTAAACACATTATTTGAACATTTACCCTTTGTTAAGAAGTAAAAATCTATTCATTTCTGAGGCATAATGTGTCTTTAATGTTTTTAACACAGAGTTATTACTTTTAAAGTGGTACACACCGAGCTGTAACAAAACAATGCAAATGCGTAGCTTAGTTAAACTTAAAATGAGATAAATCGATTAGCACAATTCTAAACAAAGGGAAATAATAAATTTAACGCTTCTGATTAAAGGGAAGTAATCAATTCTATACTGCCTATTTAAGGGAAGTAATTAATAGAATATCTTTTAATTAAGGGGATACAACTAGGTAGAGATTCCGGTAGTGGAAATCAATATATCAGTTAAATATTCAATCTGTATTTGAAGTACGATATTTCTATTTACTATTTTATAATTATTTTATTTGATCTAAAATCAAGATCTATAAATAAAATAAGTCAAAATCAGTAAACAAACCGAGAATAGTTCTGCGTAGCATCTACGGCAAAAGACTTTTGGTCCTTGTGATTTGTTGACTAATTCTTATATCACTTTTTTATTACCTCACTGATAATGTTCATTGATTACATATTTGCATTTTGAGTGTAGATTATTATAAATCAGACACTGTAATGAAATTATTATTATATTCAAATAATACACAGTTATTTCGGCCATCTGGACGTTTTCGGTCGTATTGGATTCTTTATTTTTGGTCCCATACTCATCTGTCTTGCGTAAGTTGTGTCTTTAACTTATTTAAAGTAAAATATATTTATTCTTTATGCTTTTGTTGTATTATTTAAATATGTACTTGCATGTTGTATACTGTAGAGTAGATGCATGTGTTTTCGTGCATTAACATTTGCAGTATCACAAGGTCGATTTTAAAGCCCGATCACCAAAGGAGTTCTTCAAACTTTAATGCACGAAAAGATGCATTATCACTATCTATGCATGGCAATAAATGTTTGATTATTCCATATTTTCCATATTTGTTATTTGTTTTTCGTTTTAAAGAATTGGTCTTGTTCTTATTCTGACGTGTCAGTGCATACAGCTGTTTTGTTCTAGGCCTGCTCCTCGTAGGGAAGGCATGAGGCAGGTTATGGTCAATTCATTTAAGTACAATGTACCAGGAATGATAGGTTCACCTGTCGTGACTAACTTGAGAGGATGGCGTTACAAAAGTCGTTTGGATATATTACATGTATTTTTTGCCTTAGCTTACTATGTTACCGATTTGATACATAATTGAGCCGCGCCATGACAAAACCAACATAACGGATTTGCGACCAGCATGGATCCAGACCAGCCTGCGCTTCCGCGCAGTCTGATCAGGATCCATGCTGTTCGCTTAGAGACCCTATAACAAGTAGAGAAACTGATAGCGAACAGCATGGATCCTGATCAGACTGCGCGGATGCGCAGGCTGGTCTGGATCCATGCTGGTCGCAAACGCATTACGTTGGTTTTGTCGTGACGCGGATCATATGTATGTGCTCATCAGTTCAAATAATCTTTTGCGTAATGATAAGTCATTTTGTTGTGGCGCAATATTTTCTAGACGGACAGGCAGATAGATTAAAGTATGCAGAGTCGAACAAGTGCAACCTTTAATTGGCATCTTTACAACGAGTAATGGAATATGATTATCAATCGCTGGTAGTTGATTCACAGCCGTTGTAAAATGTTCATTTATACCCTTTTAAAACTTCGAAAACGACGTAACGACACCTTTAAAAGAAGGAAATTAATGTTAAAGATGAAGATATTGTATAAATTTGATTCAAATATATCAACATTAAAATTTACAGATATGGTCGCCTATTATGGGATAATGATAATGAATACTGTGACAAAAGCAAATGACGAAGACGTAAAACTGTTGATGACAACGACGTTGTTATTACAGATCCTTTGTTGAAAAAAGTAAAATTGCTTCAGTGACAAAATCAAAGTGCTGAAAGCACTAGAAGCGACGGACGAAAATGGGATAAATGGGATTATGTGAATGCGGCCATGCTAGAGTTGTTGGTCTTAGATCATTTTTGGGATACTCTTAAAGACACGTGTGAAGGTACAAGCAAATATGTTTAGTGGTTCATGAGATATGATGATGTTCAAGATGTTACATCCTAAACTTAAACCAAACTGTTACGCCAACGCGGACACTGATGCCAAGAGGAGTAGGATAGCCCCATTATTCTTCGAAAAATTAAGCTAAAAATCATTAACCCAGTCCTTTTTATGATAACTGACATGAAACATTACACCTTACAGTGACCTTGACCTTTTGACCTCGATATCAGTGTTGCAGATCGAACTCATGATGTAATCACATTTGAAGTTTCAATGATATGGCTTTATAATTGTTAAAGTTAATGACCATGAACGAAAACTTTACAAAACAAGAGAGATCAGTGATCACATGGGTCGCCTGATGATAGCCAGCTATTGTGTTACAGGAGGCACAAAAACCATTAACAGGCCAAAACGAGTTTTTTATGCAAGAGCCATGATTCAGCCAAAACATTGATCAGGAAAACGCGTTTAACATGCACAAGTACTTAATGTACCGATCAATCCTGTAAAGTTTCATTTAATTTGCATTAGTAGTATAAGAGAAGTAGTCCGGACAAAACTTTAAAAAATAAAAATCATAAAAGGGCCATAACTCTGACAAAAACGATTGAACCGGAAAATGCATATAATGTGCACAACTAGACTTGATACTGATAATTCCTGTAGAGTTTGGATGAAATTGCACTAGAAGTTTCTCTTATTGAATATGTAAAGGAACTTCACTGAGGCCCAAAAGCCTAAAACATAAAACATAGATCATTTGGGCGCATAAAACAGAAAGATATGAAAATGATGATTAAAAGATATACTCATTCATACATTGAAAATCGTATTTTTGTGCTATTCTTAGCTCGACTTGAGTGAAATGCGTTGTAACGCTTTTTAATTTTGTGTAGTTTTCTCAATAAACATGATTATTATCGAAAAACAGAGTGAGCGAATGATCTAAAAATTTGCACACAATTTTTTTGTCTAGTCCTACCATACAGTAAATGGAAAATTAATCTTCAAAAGTATTCCCAAGTCCAGTCATGTAAAGAATAAAAAAACTCAGTGTCTGATGAACATATTTTAGTAATGACACCTTTCATCGTATGGTGGCCCATTTTCTATTTTGAGTTTATTTTTATTACTATTTTAATAAAACTACAGATACCATCATATAAAAAAAATCACGTGTGTCAAAGTTCAATACCCTAGTATCTCTATACGTATCCCTAACGGTTACCCCAGGATAACGTGCTCTTAACATTATCAATGTCATTCTTTCATATGACGTATGTTTATATAAGTCTGATAAGAGACTAATTCAATACAGTGTTACAAAATTCAGACTTGTCAGTCCTACACTGTTTTTGTTCATTGCGCTTATTTTTGTTTTTCAAATAATTATCCAAAGATCAAACGAGATGTTAATTGTTTTATATTACGGAATTGTTCTTGTAAGTAATGTGTTATGTTATGATGAAGGCTTTGATTTGTTCTTTAAAACAAATCTCGATGAAATGAATGATGTTCCAATAGAATTTGACCCACCGATACCGGCGTGGATAAAAGGCACTTTGGTAAGTTAATATGAAAAGAGAAAATGTGCATTTAGCTGTTTTGTTGTTTTTATAATTCAAAGCAAAATTGATATATACGCAACGATATATTAAATTCAAAACAACGTATTTCTTTTTGAGGAAAAATTAGCATGTTCAAAAAAAAAGTAATTTATTTTTATCGGACAGTATTTTATATGTTTTCAAATTCTGCGTTGAATTTGCTGTTAATTATGCAGGCATAATATTATATTTCAGTATGTTAATGATCTGTTTTAAGAAGGTTTTGTTTTGTTCTTTTATTTATTCACCTTTCTTCAGGTGAGAAATGGTCTCGGGAGATTTGAAGTCGGCAAGAGAAGGTTCCTCCATGCATTTGATGCTTTCAGCAAACTTTCCAGTTGGAAGTTCTACGGCAACGGATCAGCATCTTTTTCAACAAGGTAATGTTGATGTCACTTTATTTAAATGATGCTTGAAAGAAATTCTATGAGATTAATGAAATGTGGTTTCGCAAAATTTGTGTGAGAATTAGGAATAACTTTCAGCCTTTATTTTTACAGAATTCTACAATCTGAGTTCTACAAAACGTCAACAAATGATGACGACATCGCAGCGTTTCTGATGTTTGAAGGGGTTACTCCACCCTTTAACGAAGTTGAGAAACTTGAAGCATTAACTCGGGGTATAGACAATATGAATGTCAACGTGTATAGAATATATGACATCGAAAAAAACGTCCTGAGTACATCGCACTAAATGACTTCTGGAAAGTGTATAAATTCAACCCGACAGATCTGTCAACATTAGGAGACGTAACAGCCGACATTCCAAGAAAAAATACACCAGTCGGTAAATTCGCATTTCTCAGCTTCCTGTCATCAGCACATCCGCTTTCAGAGCCGGGGACCAATAATCATTTTACTTTCTTGTCGAGTGTCAGTTTAGTGCCTTGGATAAAAAGTACGATATCTTTAATTCGTATCAACTCATTGTCGAAGAGACAACTAGTTGCACAGTGGAATGTTGAGAAGGTACCTTACATGCATTCTTTCTCCGTCACTCAGAATTACGCCATTTTATTTGCCAGTCCATTCTACGTGAATACTTTGAAAATAGTTAAATCTGCTGAACCTTTTGAGAGTTTAGATTGGTTCCCGGAAGAAAAGACTAAAGTTTTTGTCGTAAATATTAAAACAGGTGAAGTGAAAACTCTTGAAACAGATAACATGTTTTGTATGCATTTCGTAAACGCTTTTGAGAATGAAAATGGACAAGTAGTCGTAGATGCTTCTTCGTATCCCAACCCAGATTTCGTCGGTAGCTTGCAAATTGAAGTTCTCATGGACCCAGTTCGCAGGAATAGCTTTGATGCGCATGCACTGATTAAACGTTACGTCATTGATGTCGAATCGGAAGAAATCGGACTACATCATTTTGAGCCGTCTATTTCCGTGCCTTTTTCTGTCAAACTTGATATGCCAGTGATTAATGAAAACTTCCGGTACAAGAAATATTGTTACATATATGGTCTTGTTTTAAAAAGTGACGACAAGCGATTGAGTAACATTTCAATCGTGAAGAAAAATGTTTGCGGTCAACCGGAAGTGGATAAATCATGGTTAATCGAAGGGCACTATCCTGTTGAGCCATGGTTTATTGAGCATCCTCATGCACAGAGTGAAGACCATGGTTTAATCATGTTTCCAGTGATTGATGGACACAATGCCAGTTCTTATTTGGCAATACTTGATGCGAGGAATATGAGTCTTGTAACAAAGGCCTACCTCCCAACCATTGTGCCGTATAACCTACACGGGAGATTCTTTCCGGAGGTCGTATAGTTAGGTTCCTTGCGTAACAATCACGTGACAATCACGTGGTGTCAGTGACTGGTAATCCAGACTAGGAGGTCTTATAGATATGATAAAATTATGTTACGACACTTAAATGTTAGGTAACAGTAAATGTGTCAGTTGCATAAATCGTACAACTTAGATATAAGATTTATACACTATCAACCTAATCGATAAATACCGCGTGGTCCACTTAATTATTCATTGGCATTTAAATGTCGCATTGGAAGTTGGTCAAGGTGTTACCGAACTGCGAATGTGGTTGTTCTGTGACTTATTGTATTTCATATACTCGTGGATATTTGAGCCGCGCCATAACAAAACCAACATAATGGGTTTCGACCAGCATGGATCCAGACCAGCCTGCGCATCCGCGCAGTCTGATCAGGATCCATGCTGTTCGCTATCAGTTTCTCTACTTGTTATAGGGATTGTAAGCGAACAGCATGGATCCTGATCAGACAGCGCGGATGCGCAGGCTGGTCTGGATCCATGGTGGTCGCAAACCCATTATGTTGGTTTTGTCATGACGCGGATCATTTACTTTCTTTTGTGGCTTTATCACGATTAACTGCTAGATGTTTATAAGCAACGTTTACTTACAATAATCGTTGGGATTACAATGAAAAGCGGTGACACATTTATTGTAAAAAACATTCAAGCATTTGTTTCGGAATCTGCACCCATTATTAGCTACGTATGGTCAATTTATTTTGACCACCAATCTTGTACAAATTGACAGCCCCAGTTATGCTTAGAGAATGTCCATGTTGTCGGCGGAACTATATTAGCAATGAAAAGGGAAGTAAGGAACTTTTCATGTATATGTGAACTGATGTTTGTATATGCATTTTGTTGTGATTATATTTGATTATTTGTGTGTTTATTTTATACATTTATATATAACCAAACCTTTGTTTCGTTTTTAGTTGATAGATTGATAAAAGATCATTTAGCTGCGTCACGACAAAACCCACATAATGGGTTTGCGACCAAGCATGAATCCAGACCAGCCTGCGCTTCCGCGCAGTCTGATTAGGATCCATGCTGTTCGCTTACAAACCCTATAGCAAGTAGAGAAGCTGATAGCGAACAGCATGGATCCTGATCAGACTGCGCGGATGCGCAGGCTGGTCTGGATCCATGCTAGTCGCAAACGCATTGCGTTGGTTTTGTCGTGACGCGGCTCATATATGCTTACGAAATATGCCCTTCATGGGGTACTAGTATATGGTGCAATAGTACAAAACTTTTTCTTTTGTTGAAATAACGTAAGCGCCAACAGCCTTCTTAATCTTGCGAGATTTTTTATTAGATCTCAAATTTCTGTTTCTTATATATAAAATCTCAAGTTTCCATCCCTTCATCCCTTATACATGTTTATAAAATCTCTTATTTCCATTTCTTATATAAAAGATCTGAAAGAATCGCCGAACTAATCCGGAGCAATGCAGAAATGCAACCTTTCTAAATACAATATTCAAATAAAAACAGTAACTTTATTGACCACATGTTAGAGATGGACTATCGTTAAATGGGAAAAAAAGCAAGTGTGTTTCGGGCAACTTATTTTAGGATTTTTCATTCTTTCCAGTCAACATATAACGGACCAACATGTCGTCCGTATTTTGTCAGAATACCTAGCGCTGGCTTGGTAGTTAAAGGCGTTTTTGCACATTTGGAGCGCTCGTGGGAATAAAGGGGTCAAAATGACCAATGAAAACTCTACTTTTATTCAGTTCATCTCTGTGTATTTCACAGGAATTTTGTTAAGTCTTTAATTAAGTCTTTTTGTAATTTAATTAAGTCTTTTGTTGAAAAATGGTGAAAACTTTTTTTTTTAATTTCAACACTCCTACAACGTTTTATCTCTAAGAGATTTTTTTTACTGTTTTTGTTCTGTTGTTTTGCAGGTAACCATCGACTTTTATACATGATCGATCGGTACATTACCGGAAATGCACGGAAATGACCGAGAGTTATTGTTTTGCTTACATGAAATATGTCCTATTTTCATACGGAGATTAAAACAATTTTGAAATTATCGAAAAGTGGCGTAAAATAAAATATTCTTATCGTAAGTGTTCCACTTGTTAGACCATGAAAGTTCATTCATCGGTCAGTGTTATGTTTACAATTGTATTATCAAACGTGGAACTATGTCAAGGTCACAAATTTAAATGTCGTCTGCACCAAGTTTGCTTTAACTATCATTCGTATATCATGATAATCTGTCTATGTTTGCTGGTTACACTTTGCCATTGACTTATATCAGCTGATTAAAACAACGTCTTTAATTAAAATGGCAGCAGATTTGAATTCTTGTCTTTTAAAATTTAAATGAAGAATCTACGATATATGAATCGCTACAACTCATATATTCATAGTCAGCCAACATAGAAAGGAATGGAATTAAATTGTATCAGTTTATCTTGCTGTGTCAAGTACGGTGTCAAGCAACAAAATACTGAGATAAATGGGAGAGATACATTTATAAAATGAGCCGTGTCACGACAAAACCAACATAATGGGTTTGCGACCAGCATGGATCCAGACCAGCCTGCGCATTCGCGCAGTCTGATCAGGATCCATGCTGTTCGCTTTTAAACCTTTTAACAAGTAGAGAAACTGACAGCGAACAGCATGGATCCTGATCAGACTGCCCAGGCTGGTCTGGATCCATGCTGGTCTCAAACGCACTATGTTGGTTTTGTCGTGACGCGGCTCATTTATTTTTTACGACTGTTTTCAGATTTTCGTAGGTAACACAGACTCGGACACGGCCATCAAACATACGTTCATCAAAGAAAAACAGTTTACCGCACAGTGTTATATACTTTGAATCTATATAACGTATCGTATTGTATTTCGGTTTATATTCAATCACTAGGTATATAATGGCTTGTAGTGGCTCATAATGTGTAATTTATGTATTTTGATATAACTACTTTATCTTATTGATATGTTCATTTAATTAACGAAGATAAATAATTGTATAAATGTTCTTGCTTTAAGTCATTAAATATGATAAACGTTTAATAATTAGTGCACACTTGCTATGTAAGATTATTTCCCCATATAGACATATATTGTTTTCAATTTCTTGAATATGACAAAGTTTGTGTAAGACATTCTATCCTTCCTATGCCTGACTTAACCTTTTTAGTTTCGAACTTAAGCAGGCCCTTGAAGGTGGTTTCTGTTTTGATATATTTTTTATCAGTCTATTAACGTTTGATTTACTTTTTCGTTTAAGACTGACTGTGAATGTGCATTGAACTCAAAAAATGAAAGTTTTTTGATATTTCACAGCAAATATACTTATTTGTGTTGATGAACATATTCATTTAATTAACTGATTTAGTCTTAATTGACTTAATAATGTAGTATGTTGGTTCAAATTAAGTAAGGAATATTTTTTCTTTCATTTTACGTAACTACTCAGTTTCATCAGAGGACTGCATGGACATCACTTGCCTGAAAAAATGGAGGATATGGTGTGAAATTTCTTTACCAAGTAATCTGAAAATATGTCTAATGGTCAAAAGTTGTCAGTGCAACTTCTTAAAAAAAACGAATGAAGAATAAACATTCAAACATACAAATAAAACAAGAGTATTAGATATATTTGTGCGTATTTATTTATTTATTTAGTGATATATCACAGTGAACCGACTATATTAAAAAAACAAGAGAGCCATGACGATCCTTTTATCGCTCACCTGATGTAAGACCAATAACACCTTTCTCATTTTTTCTTTCTTTCTTTCTTTCTTTCTGTCTGTCCTTCTTTCTTTCTTCTTTCTTTCTTTCTTTCTTTCTTTCTTTCTTTCTTTCTGCCTTTCTTTCTTTCTTTTTTTCTTTCTTTCTTTCTTTCTTTCTTTCTTTCTTTATTTCTTTATTTAATCTAGGACGACGGACAAGATAACGAACAATTGACAAATCCTTAAAAATGACTCTTGAGCACAACGCGAACACGCTTGGGAAAGCTAAAAAACATTAACAAACTGAAAACGGACAAAACTGTTGTGTGCATTTCATTTCAGAACAAAGGGAAACAAATCAAGATAACTAACACCACCATTGAAGTCGAGCTACCCAATATTTCAATTCTATGAATACTTCTTATGACTTCAAACGCTGCCATAAAACTGATTTAGAAGTATCTTTTCAAGTCTATGTTTATTCAAATATCCCACTTCCGTTAACTCGGCATGATAATAAAATCTCCACTCATTCATATTAATTTGAAAGCATATAAATGACTTAACATAATGAGTATTAATGCTAAGTCTGATAAAACGCTCTATCGAGGTGTTTTTTACAAAGTCACTAGGTCAAGGTCAAATCTGAATTAATTGCAGAATGTCGAAATCTGCTAAAATTAAAGTTAATAAAATAATAATAATAATAATAATAATAATAATAATAATAATAATAATAATGATGATGATGATGATGATGATGATGAAAAAAAAATGTGTTACAAATTATAATTATTCATAGATATTTGTTGTGACATGTAAGAGATTTACTTAAAGGTCAAATGTCAAGGTCATACTGTGACACAACAGAAGATTATGATAGGACCGCAGAAAAGCACAATAAACATAAATTGAAATTTACAATCAAAGTTATAAATTGTCTTTTTGCTGTATTTATTTTAAAAGTTTTATTTTAATACAAATCTTATCCACTGAAAGACAATTTGCAATATATCAAACATGAGTCCAGAGCTCGAAGGTCATTTGCATATTCAAAAATTTAAAATGTATAACTTACGTCTCATGTTTTTCTTGTTTTGATATAATATTATAATCATATTTGTTATCACTTTATTTTCATTATTATTTCTATTTATTTTTCGTTTGTAATTACATGTGTCAAAGTATCTTGTAAATATATAAATTAAATATACATGTGTAGAGCAAAATGATTGTGGAAATTGCTGTGAGCACAAGAATATGATCAAGATAAAGAAAATATTGTCGAAAGCATGACAACATAGTTGACTTTACTATGTTTATTATGTACTACGTAAATGCAATGCTATACTAGTATTTAATCGGTGAGATATATCTTGTAGCGTTCACTGTGTACTTATAACATTGGTGTTCAGTATTCAATAACAATAAACATGTTTGATTTTATATGAAATATACCTTACTTCAAAGTGTAAACCCTAACTTTAATTTGAGTATGTAAAATAATCAGACTGCTTAAGTACATGTATATACCATATTCACTTCAAACACACAAATATATCATAATAATAAATATGAGCCGCGTCATGACAAAACCAACATAATGGGCTTGCAACCAGCATGGATCCAGACCAGCCTGCGCATCCGCGCAGTCTGATCAGGACCCATGCTGTTCGCTTACAAACCCTATAGCAAGTAGAGGAACTGATAGCGAACAGCATGGATCCTGAGTATGGTCTGGATCCATGCTGGTCGCAAACGCGCTATGTTGGTTTTGTCATGACGCGGCTCAAATATGACAAAAATATGAACACAAAACATGATACAAAATAGTGTTTTTTCCGTCACAACTCCTGAAAATAAAAGTTGCCATTTACGAGAAATTGAGGTAACTCTAGTTTGTACAATCCTTTTTAAAGATATCAACTAACAACTAAACTCCTGACGTCATTTCCGTTCTTCGTAATATTATATTTACATACATAATCACTTGTTCTCATCTATATAAAGGTTATAATAGTTCTATGTGCATCATAAGCTCGTGAAAATTCGACATAGTTCGTCCCTTTCCGTTTCATTAATAAAAGAAACATGCGTCATAATGACCAGTAGCAATAGAACATCTTCAGTCTCCTACGCAGTGATCCCCCCATATCAGTACTGAGGTGATTGTTGTGAGGAGTTCACCTGAGCGGTTCCGAAGCCGTTAATAATTTAATTGAAACAACAGAAACTGAAAACGACGAAGTTTGCCGAATTCATAGACATGTTTGTTGGCTATTCTGTGTGTGATAATGTTGCATAATATTGCTGTTAAAACACTTTCCATTGTTCTTATAGTGCTAGAATATCAATGGTCACGTGTGAAAGGTAAACGTTTTTGTGTATTTGTATGTTTAAACAACACACATACAGACTTATTTAACAAACTGATTCTACGCCATACAATTTTTCGTTCAAAAAGGTAAGATGCTCGGAGATCCTTACCAAATCAAAATGAGTATACACCGAGATCCATGTCATCGAAAAGGTAGTATACTCGGACACCTTTCTCAAGTATCAACATTTCTAAATTGTTACATCAGTCATTATCTTGATTCGAACAAACTTTTGAAGTCTCTCCTTCAATGCTGACATCTTCTCATAAGAGTTGTTGCTCTTTGCTTTTGAATTTCAAGCATTTATTGCTCCAGCAGGAAGTCATATGTCGCCTGGCGTTTGAATTTTGAATTGCAAGCGTTTATTGATCCAGCAGTAAATCATCCTTTTCAAGCATCTTGTACATGTCCCACAGCTGCTTTTGAGTGATGTTACACAAAAAGTGAGTCTCGATTTCGTATTTGTTTCTATCTACGGCATCTGATACGGTAAGTTGTTCTGGTTGTGCGGCATTTCTGTTAAAAATACAAATAAAAGTGGTTTTTTAACGTGAGAAAATACAAACATATAAAAGTGGCGAACGCAAGACGTCAAACGTTATTCAAATGTGCCCATAAAAAAAAGAGAACTAGTAGTATTATGAGAAGCTGTTTTAGGTCTTCTCAGCAAGTATCTTTTCTATTTGCTTTTATATAACTTAATAAAATGTCTCTTTAATTGTTCATAAAAAATGAATATCCGAATTTACCTTTGCGTGACGGGGTTTAAAGCTAAAAGTTTTAACATCTGTTGCTGCATGTACGTCTTTGTTTGAAAAACATTACACACCTCTCCTCTTCGAGGTCCAAACAATGAGAACCCTATCCTGTAAAACATGGAGATAACTTTACTAACACTTTGTTGTGACATAACCCTCAAAATATATATGCAAATACTCGTACATAAAAAATATCGTGCAAAAAAAATTTACTATTATGTTTTAATATCAAAATCATCGATACCGAAAAAAGTATCCCTAAATACAAATTTAAAAAATCGACTTTAAACTTTAATTAATAGAAACATTACATGTGTAATGACGTAATAATTCTAATATCATATTTAGTTTAAAAGGGTCCCATATTGCCCTAGAAATATTTCATTTATATTGAACAAAAACATTTTATTATTAGTGCTCTGTTATAGTGTACAAAATGTTATTGCGAATTACCTAGACCATCGTTTACTTTTGTTGCTATTGGCAATTAGCACTTTACAATTATTTAAGTATGTTGTTTGGAATTCAAAATACTTCTTTGCTAACATATTGCTACTTTCATGACAAATAATTTAGCAGAACGATTTTCTTTAGGGGATAAGCATCTAACATGCTCCAAAGCCATTATCTATATGTATTAAACTAACACTGTCTTAAGAAGGAAAACATATTAATATCTAAGGTATAATTATGTGCTTTTAATATAATGTTAATGCATAAAAAAAATCTAATAAATATATTGCATTTTATAAAATATAGATGGGACAGGAGTTATTTCAGCATTGGGATATTATCGTACGAATGGTATACATGTATGTCTCACCAATATTGCAGATTTACACCGAAGTGTTATTATTTATTTCGCATGTTAAAGCCCATTACTTCAACGAGTAAGTCCAGAACAATACTCATCTTTAGAAATAGTTAAAAAATACAAAATTTACCGATGCAAGCAATCCCGGCTTGAGTAGTTTTGAAACTTTGTGATAATGCCGTTAAGAACTTGCCAAACGGACGGCGGAAGAGACGCCATACAACCGGAAGTATACTGTGGCCACGTAGCGTCGTCTGATGTTTGTATGCCATCATCCAAAAGAATGTTATCAAAGTATTTCCCTAAAGCAAATAGGTCATTATTTCTTCTAGCGAAATTTCTAGGCAACCTGTGCATCTGAAATAAAACAATTTGAGAGATCATGCATAGACTTTACTTTAAATAAGAATGGATCTGTCCGAATTACATGTATATTGTTTATAGAGCGCTATATCACCCCATGTTTTGCATACAACAAATGACAGCCTTGATACCCCCTAAAAAAGAATCTAAATTTCCAAAAAAATAAAATTGGTGAACTTACATGGGAGCCTCTAGCAAGATGTTCCACATTTTCATAATCAGGCGGTCCTTCTGTTTGAATATCTTTTACCTCATTGTTGAATGATGCCATTTCAAAACCTCCTAACATTGGTCTTAGCTCTTCGTTAACAAATATTGTTGTATCTGTTATATTATTGTGCTCAATACCCAGTTCCTCAAGCACGCAAAGCACCGATAACAACTGATAAAAAGAATGTAATAAGAATGTTGACATTAGGGAGGAATTACTTTCTGTCGCAAACGTTTTTATAAATGTTGTCAACGTTATCATTTGCTCCGTAACTAAGAAAGTAGTCCGACTGCACAATTCATCCGCGTTGTATGGATGTCCATGTGGTACAGCTATAAATTTCTTGAATCGTTCTGTAGAGCTTTCGTAAGAATGCAGCACTTTGGTAACATTTGGTTGATCTGACAGTCTGTCCATGATGTCAAACTCGTCTGTTGATCGCCAGGCAATATCAGAGTCGGCTTCACCTCTTTTCCTAAAGCGTAACAACATCTGAAACAAATAAATAAACGCACGTTATGAGTCTCATTAATTTTACACTGTTTTGTAAATCTTTGTACCACGCAAGCCAGTGCCAATCCGTACTTGACTGGGTTCTACATCATGTAACCGTCCCTTGCAAAGTAATATAAAGGCTTTTTTCTCAATAGTTCAAGTAGCTCGCATTTGATAAGAACTGATATTTTGGGCAAAATATATTTTCTTGGAAAACGCGCAGGGTGACATGTGACAAGCCATTTTCATTCATGAACTTTATTGAAAAGGACCCTATAACATTTCATTTCATGCCTTCTTTGGCACGCTTCACGGTGGTTTTTCTTATTATTGCTGTGCTATTTAGAAGAAGCTACCAACGACAAATTTTGTTTTGGACCCCATGGACTATCAGCAGTGCGGATTTAAAACCAGTTTCCATGATTGTTATATAAGTCTTTAAAGTTTGGAAAAAAATTGAATTTCTAAGTTGGTTTATTTGATCTTTAGCGTTAGGCAAATTCATAACGAACAGTGCATTGAGCTGATGTTTAAAATTAAATTGTTATTACTTTTAAGACAAGCTTTCTTCCGGTTTTCAAATGTTTGATCAGGAACGACAACTGTTTAGGCATGTATACTTGATTCGGGTCAACCATGTCCTCCAGATGCTGACGTCCAATGATGACGTAATCAACGCCTGGTACCCATTCTCTGTGCGGCGCATCCAGCTGCTCAACAGTCGAACACGGGCTTAATGCAAAGTTTTGTAAAGATTCCTGGAAACAAAATGAATAAGTATTTATGCCAGAGAAATCAATACAAAAATTTTTATTATTTAAAACAACTTTTCGAATTGGACAAAGTGATTATTTTAAAAAGTCTTAGATCTCTTTTGATTTTTTTTATCAAAATTATAGATATGATCCCAGTTTGATAAACAGGGTGAGGGTGGATGGCAGGGTCAAATAAAGTTGAAAAAGTCAAAAGTTGGTCTTAGGAATAAAACTTTCAATATAAGTAAAAAAGAGGTTATGTATCAAGAAAAAGTATAACAATAGCATAGATCTATCTCGGTAAGCAATATTTCTAACAAAGGCAATGTCATTCTTAATAAAGCCAACTCTCAAAGTTCCTCTATTTTTTTCACATAAGCAATTGAGAAAAAATTAATCTAGTGAACAAAATTTTCGTGCGTAAGGTTGGATAAAAGTTTTTACTTACACGAAGAATTTCTTGAAACTCGTCTAAAGTGTCGTCTGACAGTGTCTTATTTAGTCGTTCTGTGAAATGTTTAAATCCATTGTTAGCAACAACTTTGCTCACTGTGACTGGGTTATTTTTCAGAGCCTGTATGATATCTTCTTTTTCCTTAATATCCTGACTCTTAACATTGAGAAGTTCTTTTAGATTTTCGCATTCTTTAATGCGCTCTTTCATTAGATGTTCAGTATCTGACAGACGACCAAGCAAAGTGGAACACTTAAAATTTAGCACCTCGTTCTCTTTACCTAGCTTTTCTGTCTGTTTATAAGATTCGACTAATTGTTTCTTTAATTCAGCATCCGGGCTACCATCAAATATCTCGCGAGAGGAGCCAAGGGACAAACGATTCGGTCTGTTTTGAGAACGCGCCCTTGGTGGAACTTCTGGAACGGTCCGCGAATGATTCAAAGTAAAGTCAGAACTTTCTGTAGGTTCGCTTGACGTCATTGATGGCGTGCGCCATGACGTATCACTACTATACGCTGAGGTAGTATCAGTAAAGTCTGACGTTGGCTGAGACAATGACGTGTCTTGTTGGCAGTGCGTATTTGTATTTTCTGTGTAAAACTTCACGTTGACGTCATTCAAGAATATTCGACTTGTGTCATAAGGGATCGAACCAACGGAGTTAGTTCTGGACGCCATGTATAATTTCTTCTGGTTCTCACTATTGTTGTCAGGGACGTTGTTTAGCGCGGAATCCCCTTTGCCACTGAAACTGGTGCTCCTGGCAATAGGAGGTCGAGGGGGTGGTATGTCCAGGGAGTTGTGCCTGAAGGTGGGTAGTGGACCGGGAACTGTATATAAACGTATAAAAATGAGATTTCAGCAATTTCAAACTATTCTTGTTTTCATAGATTTATATTGCAACTATATTAGAATTGCTTCATAATTATGAAACGATTTTAGAATATTAATGAACCATGTACCCAGGTCAATATATTAAGCACAACCACTATATAGAATGGCACTCTGTATAACTTTCTTAAAACAACAGTATAAATCATCCTTTAAAAGTAAGACTTTAACCTTTAACCTTTTTTTCAACCCAACTAGTTGTCTTCAAAAGAGATTGCTCTGCAAAGACTGTTTTGCATTCTAGATTTAGTGAGCTTCGAACAATAAAAGCATTTCGATGTTGTTGTTGTTGCTGTTGTTTTTAATCATATTTTTGTCATACATGATAAGAACTTGTTATAGATAATTAACACTATTGATATTTATACCACAGCGACGATTTGTACGGCGTTTCATCTGTGATCATATAACTAGTTATGTAGATCCTTAATGTATAGATACTTTGTCAAAAGCCTTAAGATTTCCATGGGTTTTTTTTATGTTTTGTTTCAAATTGGAAACAGACCAAAAATGATAAAATAGCGTTATAGAAACTTCTTTTCTTAAGAGGTTATTTTGTAGCAATTGAACTACATCACATCAATATATTTTGTCTTACAATTTGAACCAAAAACAGGTAGATCTATATTTTGAAATTTAATCAATGTATGTAAAGAGTACCTGAAGGTCTTCGTTCAGAATTCTCGTAATCTGGGTCTTCTTCCGTATTTTCTACTGGCTGTGCTTCTGTCACGTGATAACTAATTGCGCACTCTGACTTCCGGCGAGCCACGCTCGATATCCGGATTTCCGGTGGATTTCTTGGAATGAGTTCGTCTGGTGTCACAGCCTGACGTTGACCCACTCTTCTCTGAACTGTAATTAAATAAGCCGATCCAACGTGTGTGCATTTGATAGAAAAAAATGTCTCTTGCAAAGGAATATGGATAACGATTCAGACTTTGTGAAACACATCCACTGAATTGTGATGCGTAACAAACAATAACATCCAGTCGGTCAATGGACACTACGTCAAAAATAAGTCAACGGCGTGAAATACGCGTTTTGTCTTTCTATATAGACCACAAGGAAAACTTTAAATAACATTATCATTATTTCTAACAATGGTGCATATTATTATGCCTATCTTAATGACTACAATAACAAAATTTTATGATCCAGTTTGAAATTAATTAATTATTTCCTGAAAATAAAAGGCCAACGCACGTCATCGTAGACATCATTTCTTGTAAATAGATGAAAAAGGCTGTATGTTTTCTCCTTGACATTTTGAATTACGTGACATGATATTTTACAATTCATTTTCAGAAATATAATTTTACCATTTGCATATTCAACAATGTCCTCAGCAATGGCACGGTTACCTCCTTCCATCGCTTCTTGTTGGGGTGTTTTCCCTTTCTCGTTACGTATTCTGACGTCAGCTTTAGCCCTTAATAACGTCATTATGACCTCCTTGTGCCCTCGGTACGCTGCAATGTGTAACGCAGTGTCACCTCGGTTGTTTTGTGAGTTAACGTCTGCGCCACTGAAAACCAAAACGACAACTTTGACTGATATCTTCTGTTGTCCAGATATATATGGTATACTTGAACTGATGTTCGGTCAATTTTCAGGTTTTTCTCAGCATTTATATAACGGTTCAGAACTGTTTTTTTTTCACTCCCTGTGGCATTAGGTGCCAAGGGGGACCGTGACTGCATATAGCTCAGAGTTAAATAATTAGCATTGCCTTGTTAAATTCGCGGACGCATTTCAATATTGCGGGGAAATATGTCACGGTTCACTATTTAGGATGTGTAAGTGGCCGGATAGCTCAATTGGTACAGAGTGGTATTCCGAAGGTCCCGGGTTCGAGTCCCCGTCTCACCCTGTGACATATCAAAATTAAACATTTCATTCAGCTTTCTATATACATAAAATAATATTGAAAAAATCTTCGAATTTTGCAGAGTAAATTAACAAAATCAAAATGTAGAAAAAATATCACATCCGCAATATAGATATATTTGGAGAGCAAATTCATTCATTTCTCGGATTCATCTTGAAAACCTTTTTTCGCGATTTCAAATAATTTAAATAATTACCAATACTTTTATGCAATATGTCATATTTTTAACAAAGCTTCTTTTTTTCAGTTACTTTTTTCCTTGATATGTAAATTGTAAGTTCGATAAAGGCTTCCAATTAATCTGTCTTGCTATACCTATTTCTGAACAAAACAATACAATTTTGCTGCTTTCATAAAATTTATAAATATATTTACCCATTTTGTCAGAAAATAGAATTATTCCAAGAAATACATCAAAAAAACACTTGATATTTCATATACCAAGAATAAAAAAAACTGAGTATATTGTTATTGTTGTTTGTCCATTGAAGCCCACGTCTGCTTTGTATCGCAAAGTTGAATTAGTTTTCGCGACATTTTAATGGCGTTGCATATCCATGGATTTTACAGCACGATTTACATCGGAATTAAGCATGTAATTTGCATATCATATGAAGATATAAACGTATTTTTCCCTCTTAATTTGTGTCAACTTTTATCATAAAGAACTCGTGAATTTATCACAAAGACCGTTTCGACAATTTCTCGTTTGTTATTTAATACACAATTTATGATAATTGGCAATTAATATGCATGAAAACATAAAAAAAAAATTTAGAAATTTATTATTTTAAATTAAATGGTTGTCAGTATAAAACATCATTTAATGACGTCACAAATGAGACTTTTTTCTGAATCAGCAAAGTTAAAATATAATAACAGACTTTTTTCTAGTGAATATATAGTTAGTTAAAGCAATGATAAATCATAAGCTTGATCATTTAGTGTCAACAAAACGATTAAAATGTTAATTTCGGGCGTTTTAACGCATTATCCTTTTCGGTCATAATTGATAATTAGAATTCATTTATGTAAAGATTTTATTTACAGTTTTTTTGGGGGGTTTGTCCGATCAATTCAAAATTTAAGACAACCAGTGACTTAAGAAGTGAATATAACTCCTAATAAGATTAATAATCGGAGAGTTATCCCGCTTTCTATATCCAATATGCATGTGCTACACCAGACTTATTTGAAATATGACATATATTTGTTACCATTTTGTTGTTCGTTTTTCTCCCAACTGTTGTTTTAGAAGGAACAAGAAGTACCTTTAAAAAGATTCTCGGCCGAAATAAATCTGCTTTATTTGCATAGATTATTTCGGTGTTTTTGAATACATAAAGAAATGTCAGCTCAGCGCTTGTTTAATAATGACAGTGTTTACGTGTCCAAATTCTTAGTTGCTTAAAATACTTTTTTTTTCTAAACTAAAGAATCCATGAAATTTAAAAGCCGAGTTCACTGTTGTAAAAAGTTTAAAGGAAGCACGATTCACAGGCCTCAAACATGCTACAAATTTAACTAGATTCCTTGTTTTCGAAACTCCTTTAGATTTTTTAAAGAAATTAGATGTGTATGCGTATCAGAAAGATCCTTTATTAGATTATTTTACTAATTTAAGAATGACCACAACGTCGCAATATAAGAATTTCAAGTGGGCAGTGGGGGGAATTAGATTAGGTTCTAAAACTGACCGGTTTAATGCGATTTGAGTTGTAGACACCTGACAGCTAACACGTCACTCTCTAAAATGTTTTTCTCCGAATGTTTTTTTTTCTGAGCTCTTGTTTTCAACACATTTAGATAAATATGCCCCAATGACCTTAGTTTCAGCAAACATCCTAAATTAATTACAATTTACGTCATATAATATAATTTATTCATACTTATTAATAAGGCTGCTATTTATTATGCATTAATGATGCAAAAAAAAAGATTGATATAAAAACGCATCTTTGTAGTTTCTTAATAGTCTTAAATTAAACTCTTTTTTATTTATGTTAAAATTGAAAAGACGCGTTTGAACACAAAACGTAAAAAAATAGTTTTGCTTGATAGAAATGGAAATGCATTTGAAATATTGCGATTCCGTGTGAAGACTTGTTTGTTTATATTTATGTTTGTATGATGGACTTATCAAGAGCTCACCTTTCTATCAAAACGTCTATAGCAGAATTATGTCCCCTATCGGCAGCGGCGTGTAACGGTGTCGATCCCCACGTGACTCTTGTGTTGACGTCACTTCCTGCTTGGATTAATGTTTCACAAATGTTGGTGTGTCCATGACACGCGCTCCAGTATAAGGGCGTGGCTTTGTCTTTATCCTGTAACTCGGTTGAACAGCCGTTTTGTAGTAAACTAAAAACAGACTCAAAATCGCCATTCTTTGCAGCCGAAATTAAATCCATTTTGAATAACTAGTAGTTGATACAGTGCAATCCCCATTTCTTATTGTCTGTCCATCCATTGTTTAAAATGACATAAAGTTCACCAACTCATACTGAAAGAGAAATGCATTTATTAAGTACATATATAGTTCTAATAAACAGCAAATATGCCATTCTGGTAAATATCTTTGAAACATCTCTTTTTTGCATAATTATGTAGTGGCTTTTAATAAATATTTATTAATTAGTGACTTTGTCCCGCGGAGCAAAATTACGACATGACACAAATCAGCCACCATACAAAAGTGAGCATTGCAAAGGTAAGAGATATTTTTTGTTGAGTTGTCTCCCTTTACGTGAATTTTGCTTTATTTCCGGAATATAATTAATATGTTATTTATGATATATATTATGTTATTTACAATGCCATCCAATGAACAAACGGAAAGAAATATCTGTATTCAAAAGCAAGGAAGTTGACTGAATTGTTGGTTAACCACAAGTGTTTTAAAAAACAGAGCTGTTGTTTTTTCTGTAAAATCAAAACAGGACACACTTTTAATGTCAATTTTTGCATCCGGTAGTAATAGACGGTCAGTAAACTTTGTCACACAATACTTTGCAAATTTGAAATTACGAATTATTTGTGGGGGGGGGGGGGTACAACAAAACATTAAAAAAATATAAACAAAAACAACAAAATACAAAAACAAACAAACAAAAAAAATTTTTTGTTTGTTGTTGTTTTTTTTTGGTGTGACTAGACGTACTAAGTATTCTACGTGCTAAGTATTTTTAGTATAGTTCTAATATGTTTCAATATGTTTCTTTCAACATTAACAGCTATTTCAATAGGATTAGGGATGTCCTGTTTTGGCTGATTTTATTGTTATAAGATGGATTTAAAACTGAGCATCTGGAGCAAGAATCCTAACAACCACTTAATATAAGAAGAATTCATTTATAACTGTAAAAAATCATTTTTTCCTCGTGCGATAGACATCTGAATTAAAAACCGTAAACGTATGTGAGTGTGTAGAGTGTGATTTTTCAAAAGTGTTTTTATGTCGTTTTTATGGACTTAATGTTTACCCGGCAGTTAACCTAAGTTAAAGTCTAATATCAATAGAGTTCCTGCTTTTTTGAGGGACCTATCAAGGCATTCGAATGTGCGGTTTAAAATTTTAAGAAGAAATTACAATTTTTTTAAAAGCAGACGATATATATCATTTAAACAGGAAGTCTAATTTAGCCTTACGACATATGCACACCTGAATCTAAGACATATTTAATTGAACGAAGCTAAAATGCTTAAAAGGAAAATCTCGAAAAGCGTCGTAAAATCTCGTAAAAGCAAAATATACGTCACTTCATTAAAATTCAGTCGTAGCTGTAATTAATTAAGCTCGTTTTTAAACTCGCTAGAAAGAATTAAAATATTATAATTCAGCAAATATGTCATAATAAAAGATTGTAATGAAATATTTTAATTGATATGTTCTTGGAATCTTGAAGTTATTCTTTCCATTATCACATGATAAATTATATACATATAATGTTAACTATAATCAGCAGAAACCAGTTTGTCGTCTGAACTAACTAACGTACTAACTAACTAACTAACTAACTAACTAACTAACTAACTAACTAACTAACTAACTAACTAACTAACTAACTAACTAACTAACTAACTAACTAACTAACTAACTAACTAACTAACTAACTAACTAACTAACTAACTAACTAACTAACTAACTAACTAACTAACTAACTAACTAACTAACTAACTAACTAACTAACTAACTAACTAACTAACTAACTAACTAACTAACTAACTAACTAACTAACTAACTAACTAACTAACTAACTAACTAACTAACTAACCAACTAACTAACTAACTAAACTAACTAACTAACTAACTAACTAACTAACTAACTTACATACCAACCAACCAACCAACTAACTTAGCTAGCTTAGCTAGACTAACTAACTAACTAACTTACCAACTAACTAACTAGCTTACCAACTAACTAACTTACTAATTAACTAACAATGCAATGACACATGGTATTAGATTGTGTAACGTCCAAGGAGTCTTCTTTTAGAAATTAAAAGGTATTTTTATGAAATAATATAAATTAATCTTGCGCTGTTTGTCTCATAGGTATTTTTACTGAGTCGTATTTATCTTTCCTGCATACAAGATAATATACAAGAATTAAGCAGAAATCTTCCAAAAATATTTTGATTTATAACTATTTTCACATATTTAATTGATTTACCATGCAAGATGTATTCCTTTTAACATCACTGTAAATAAGAAACAGTATTGCGTTAAGAATATATTTTCCAACTTTTAAGCAGTACTTTTCGGCAATTGCTATACAAATCTTTAATTCTTAAAAAAAAAACACCAACAAATAAACAAACACATAACAACAAAAACATTTGGCATATTGTATGATGAAAATGACTGCATATACATTTTAGCCGAGGTGACGGGTCATAAATACATTCTTTTTCACATCGTACCACCAAAGAAAATTTCTATTAATTGGCAAAAGCCAAATTTCTACCGAAATAATATAAAATGTGCATCTAGATCGGAGAACAGATATAGTCTCAAGATCTTGAGAAAAACTCGGTGTGAAACTGACTCAAAATGGATTAAAATAGTGGAATTTTCATTTGTAATGTATTTTCGCGATTTATTCCTTAAAATCTGTAGAAAAATATGCTAGACCAATATCCTGCAAACAAAGGAGAACATATAGTATCACTAAATCCTAACATAAACTCACGTTGCCATTCCTGACCTAATATAGCATGTGGGCAATGAATTGACGTTTTAAACAAGATCAGTTGACATTTATAACCGGCGAGGCAGAATTAATTATCATTTTAAATAGTTTTATTATAAATAAAGGAACTTTTGAGCATGCTCTGGTTTAAAAATAGGACCTTGAATGATAATATGTATATTAATTAGACATCAATCATTAGATTTATGATGGATAACGCTGACATTTGTTAGGAAGTTTGTGTCATTATGCGTCTTTTAAATATGTGACTTTGAAATTTTATCACGCATCCTTTCTTTTAAAGTCAATAACAACCGTCCTTAACAATTAGTTAACCGAATTGTCCATTCCAAGTGTTTGTGTAAACTTTGTTCATAACACTAATGACAACAAAAAGTGCATTGACTTTGTTTCTTGGTGTCGCATACATTTGAACGGAAACTTTTCTGCTTTTAGTTACAATTTGATAACCAGTCCTTTCTCTTTTCAATCAATGGTGGATTCCTGCGTAATAAAAAATAAGTTAATAACCTAAGTCTGCTTAAGCTATTGACCAGTACATTAATCAAACTTTAATAAGCTTTTATTCATAGTCAAATAATGAAATACGTTTTATAGACATGTGAAGAAATAGTGATAAAGACGTAATTAATTGCATGAAGCTTGCGTTTTCTTCGCTAATCTAAATATGAAGGGTTAAACATATACCTAGCCTGGTTCCCTGTCCAAATTTACTTTGGAATGTGTGATCTAAGGAATTATTTTGTGATCCATTCTTATCTTGAGATAATATGATCATTTAACATTACAAATCATGCTATCGATAATCAATTAGAGTTGTCTATACCAGTGTCAAAGAAATAATTTTATCCCTTAACCTGCTGGAATACATAAAAATTTAACCCTTGCCACCGGTACAGAGCCAGGTCAGTCTGCAAATCCTTGTTTTTATGTATTCTATACTTAACCTTTCACTGCCATAGGGACGGCTTAAGCCGTCCCTGTTATTTTCGGCGTATTTGCCATATGGACGGCTTTAGCCGTTTTATAATAATAATAGTAATAATAATAAATTATTAATAATAATAATAAAAATAAAAATAAATATAAAGAAAATTATGCCATCGACAATAATTATTATTATACTCACAGATTTGGAAACATATATGTTTATTATAATACTAATAACAAATAATAATAATAATATTAATTAAAAATATAGTAATTTCTTAGAAAACCCTCTGGCAAATAGGTGATCAATAAAACAATAACCCTCTGGCAGCGAAAGGGTTAATAAGGGTCCATCTGCCCTTTCAGTGACTGAGAGTACGAACCCCGGACATGTTATCATTCATGTCCTTAATTCATGTCAGTAATTCACTAATTGTGTGGTGTTTACTATTTCCGCACCTTCTTGCTACCTAGCTGGCTAGGCTATATATTATGGTAGATTTTTGAAATTTAAAGAAGAGAAACCCCATTGCACAAACCCGTACATTAAAGGGTAATTGAATAAATATACCATTAGTCTTACAATGTAGATTTTACGAACACCTGTAGACCTTTTACAATACGCTTATTTCAAGCAACGACAAAAATTGGTTTACATTGAGTGTTAACATACATCTGAAGACAGCTTCTTGGTTTAAAATAAATGCATTGCAACATGCGAACGGCCTTTTTAAGAATAAAGGTTTACAGTTGAACTTCGTCTTTTAAAAAAGTTTTTTTCAGCATATAATTCAAGGATTGGCGCACCACACTAAATATCGTATTCCGGTATATACCGGACAAGGCGCTTGAATGATAAAATGCTAAAATCTTGCCTTTTTACCCAACGGAATGAATTTTAAAAGGTCTAATTCATCTTTTTACCCCGATTCTAGTATGTACAAAGCATGAACAATGTAATAATCGGCGAAAAAAACGATATTTGTTTATTTTGTGATCATGAATTTTGCAAGCATCTAGAGGTACTGTTCCAATCCTGTAATGAGTTAAATCCCATTTAATTTATATGTCTGTACCAGCGGAGCGTCTTCCGATCATGATTTATCTATTTAAACAATGATTCATTTTACGAATCAATGTTATAATAACAATTAAAGTATTATTAGAAGCTTTAAAACCTGACATTTTTCTTCTTGTTTGACATTTTGATTGATCGAAGTAAGGTTAATGATTACTTTTATACAAATTTTGAACCGATTTGTTTTATTTTATTGGTATGCACCATGTTTAACAATAGTCAAAATGGTAGTATTCTGACGTCATCGATTTAAACATTAATGAAGGTAATAAGAATCTTGGCCATTAGTTTACTTTCCAATCTCTCGTATGATTCCGGTGAGCTTCGACAATTTCCGTGTCATGTATTTATTAAAAGAGCGTTTGAATTTGAACTGTGGAATTCCTTGTTATTATATCACAAAAATCATTCATAATACACAGAACTATGCGATATGTGTCGTATTTTTAAAGTGTTTTTTTTTTACGAAATTCAGTGAATGCAATACGTACATGTTTCGTTATGGGCCGCCAGTTACTTGAGTTAATATGCCTGATAAGCATCCACTGCTGCGTGTCTTGTAAGTCTATACAATTTAATGTGTACCCTGTTACCCAGGTACAAGCACCTGCCACGTCCGATCAATGTATCTTTCTTGGTAACCTCTTAATCTTAACTTGAGCATGAAGGAAGTAAACTTTTTAAAACCCAATATCCGCTTAATCATACAATGCATGTTACATATATTAAGTTACAAAATATTCACGTAGCCTAGTCTAATTTCGTCTAAATTAAGAATGAAATAAAATGAAATGTGTTTTAGTTCAATGACATTAAATTCTAAGTATTATAATTACCTTAAAAGAGTTTCCACAAGCAACATATTATAATATATATTATAGTCTTATATAGATATTCCTTATAATTTCGGTTCGTGTTTATAAACTTAGATAGTGTACGGTAGACTTAAATTCTGTAATCTTTTACGCCCCGGTCATATATCTTACAATTTCGGAGGTTCTTTTTCAGGTCTTTTTTCATTTAAGACTGAAGAAGCTTTAGTTTTAACAAAAATTGATTCGTACTGTTTGAGCGCCTCGGGTCAATATATACAAATATCAATGATTGTTTAATCGTTTCGCACGTAAAAACAATGCAGAGATTGTGCCATGACCCAAATTGTCAATTTTACGGTTTTAGCGTCAATCAAAACATTATGATTGCATAATGTTAATTAATGACGAAATAATTATGATTCTCTGCACATAACTTATATAAAAAATAGTCAAATGGTGCATAGAGATTAATAATATCTGTCATATTTTGCGGTTCGGATCGGAATATCCGTCCCGAGGTGATCCGCCCATGGGCGGGTGACCGAGGGCCGGATATTCCGATCCGAACCGCAAACATATGTCAGATATTTTTTCTTGCATATTCTACCATATTCCATTATATTTTAAATTCTTTATCTTTATTTTCAATGAAAATTTATATCATTACAACCGTAACTACTTTCATTCAACAGCGTATGAATTACAAAATCATTCATAACGGTAAAATGACGTCATCTTTATCGTGCCATTGTACAGCACGCGACTCATCTGGAACCCCCCATGCCAGATGAAATTTCCGGCATGGGTGAAACTAACGGAAACGCCAGTCTCATATGCAAGAAAGTTAACTCTGATTAACAGATATTTTAACAGCATAAACATCATTTACATACTGAATATTTCAAAATAATCTTTCATTTTAAATCATTATATAAAAATAAGTAAAAAAAAAACTATTACAATATGATAATAAGATAAAATATTAATCCTAGGAACCTACCATGTTAGAAAACTGCAAACGGCCAACGAGTTAAGTGACTCGGCTGTTTCCGCTACCGGTTTTCGAAATGATACATAATTATGACAATATGATTTGCTATCTTAACAGCATCGATACACTTTTTTAAAATTCAATAACTGTTTGATTTGAATAAAATTATATTTGTTGCTTGGTATTAGTCATTACGAATAATATCCTGTTTATTCAGAAACGTTTTAAGAAAAAAATATACAGAATTGGCATATTTCTAGTAATTATCTAATCTAACAGCGGGAGTTTCCGAAATTGGTAATTCATCAGTATTGTTCTTCTTGTTACACTCATCTGTGGCGTTTTGGATAAGTTTTTTTTAATGTATACACATAATCGATGGTTACATAAACCGGAAACACATTCATCACTTTTTACGAAAACAAATAAAGATTTAATTTAAAGAGTAGTATAACATAGATATTGTCCAACTTATTTGGTGGTTGATGACCAGAAACGCCCTCCGACACATTTCGACACATGTGGACATCCATACTACTTACGAGAGCAGGAAACAATTTTGTTTCGTCTACACTAACTCTGACAAAATTCGTGTCCATAAATCAAGTACATTATATATTACATTCGTCTCACGTCTATAATGATAAGCGAGCTGCGACACGCTACAAATATATCCATAACGGGCCTCCGTAGTTTTACGCAGTGAGCTGCGACACGCTTCAAAAATATCCATAATGGGCCTCCGTAGTTTCGCAGTTGATCAATCATATGGTATATTAATAAACATTGCATGCATTATCATAATTAGTTATACATTTTTCTTCGCTTTAAGAAATTTACCTTTGATACAGACCAATTCATTAATGTTTTCTTGGTGTTTTTTCTCTCTCTATTTTTTTTCTCATTATATAAAAAACAGGTGAACGTTTTTGTTTGACATTTAGTCCCAACAACATTGATGTTGTTGTTGTCAATTTCGACAGTACACAAGGAAAAGGAAGCCGTAGTTGGTCTAGTAACGATGTAAAGATGGTCACGGGCTGTCAACTACTGATTCAACAACAAGCTTGTCGCTGTAACATAAACTTTGCCAAAAAGCTAGGGCGAATGAAACCTACTTCTACTGAGAGAATTATATTTCTTCATAAAATTGCTTCATTCATATTTTTTCTTACATATGTTTGACAGTGATAGGTATATATATAACATTTACAAAAAAGAAAGAAAGAAATAAGAAAAAGAAAAAGAAAGAAAGAAAGAAAAAGAAAGAAAGAAAGAAAAAAGAAAGGAAGAAAGAAAGAAAGAAAGGAAGGAAGGAAGGAAGGAAAAAAGAAAGAAAGAAAAAAGAAAGAAAGGAAGGAAGGAAGAAAGAAAGAAAGAAAGAAAGAAAGAAAGAAAGAAAGAAAGAAAGAAAGAAAGGCGGAATGATCGTTTGCTAATTTGTTTCTTTAAACGAACATTATTTTTAACCCATATAAAAAGCACTAAGTCACGTTAAGCAAAATCATATCTATATATATATTTACCACACCTAATACAATTTAAAAAGAATATATTAAGAATAATCTCACGAGTACATTTTACCGTGCCGATAATTATCTATAACTTACATAAATGACTAAGATTTTATTGTTTGAAATATCCATATTCGTATATGATTTATGTTTACCAATATACGGACGCGTGAAAAGACCTACAAAATCCTTAATGACATTACCTGAACTTCCGCGAATTGACTCATTTTCTTTATATACCTCCTTCCGTTTCTTAAAGTGAATCAACCGTATAACAGTTTCACAAAGCATAATATATGACAAATACGGTTCTAAAATTCCAATATGCAAATTAATACAAAAGTAGCCTTCCTTGATCATAGGCAATGTGTATGTGTTTGTATGTTTGAATGTTTATTTGTTGTTGTTTTTTAAATTAAAGATAAAGGAGCATTTGATATAACAGCCAAACATTTCCTTTAGAACCTTAAGGAATAATAGGCCAACGATTATAATCTACATGACGATTATATTAAGCATTCACCAAAATAAAACAGATATTATATTGGATGTCCAATTGGATGTATTATTAAGTTTTCACTCTTAGGTAATTAAGGTTAAGAAATTTACACACAAAAATGTGATGATACTGATGATGACAATGATGATGAATATTAATGATGGTGATGATGACGATGGTGATGGTGGTGGTGGTGGTGGGGTATAGCAGTGGTGGTGTTGATGACAGTTAAAATGATGATGATTATAATGATGATGAGAGTGATAATGATGATGATGATGGTGATGGTGATGGTGATGATGATGATGATGAATACGCTGACAATAGTGATAATAACGACGACGGCGAAAACGACACTGCCAATTATAATAAATAGTATAACAAGTTCATTTTCGATAACCTCTTACCTCTTAGTATATGGTATTGTTTAATCCATTTTAGATTAGCCTATGAAATGAATTTCTTTATCACGATTATTTACCAAAGATTAAAATCTGAATTTAAAACTGTCTTCTGGAGTGCACATTTCAATTTTTGAAGATTAAAATGAAATGAATATGGAAAAAAGCTGTCCAACGAATCGAATCACTTTACACAGAATTTAATAATAATAAAAAATGTACTTCAGTTATTTTAGATTTAACACGCTTAAGGTTTTTTTTTCTTCCGCTTTCAACTAAAGCCGAGTTGAAATAAGCTGAAATATCGATAACGTAAAATTTATCGCTCGGGAAGAGGAAGTTTAACTATTTTTACATACCTAAACCTCCACGAAATTTAGACGCAATTTTTTCTCGGTCTCTGCGCTCTTCGTACGTTTTATCCGTTTAAACCATTTGAATAAATCTTTACGTTACATATTAAACATGGACACATATTAATGAAATAATACTCCGTTACGTTGCAGTTGTCGTTACGCTTTTACTATCTTACGGCGTAATGAATACGTTAGGTATAACAATAGATCGTATAGGTAAATATTATCGAGCAGTGTATATATACGTTACGTAAACACGTCATGAAGTGGTAATTACGCGTCTATTCACAACGTTTGAAGCGTTATTGGCATAAGTATACTAACGATATTATAGTATAACATGTTGGTGAAGCAGGTCTAATATGACACTTAACTGGAAATCCTCCGAAGGAAACTATATCAACATCTGAACATATAATTCGCGCTAAAAAATATTCGACATTGCCTGGTAGGGTGTTAGATTAAAGGTTTTGTGTTGTAACTTATAGCTTACATGGTATTCCGATAATTATCACTATAATTTTTTTTCGATAACCTTTCAACATTGACTTTTCATGAGCCAACTTTGCAAATAGTTCCAAAGAACTATATATACATTGTCACAGAATGTAACCGGAAGTTCATGCAGTTGTAAACTTCCGAGTGAACGTTATCGTTATCTCGTGACTACCATGTGCGTGTCGAAAAAGTAACCGAGATATCAAAGCTCATATTTTATTACTTTTTATTTTTAATTTTGATCACATTTCAAAGTTTCAATTTTTGATATTTCTTACATATAGAAGAAAATGTAAAAGAGTAACGTACGAGCTTTGCGTGTAGATAGAAATGCAACTATCAAGTTTCTTCGAAGATCTGCTATCGGGGTCATCATGAGTGTTGAAGGCTTTGTTTTATGAACACTAAACAACACTGATACCCAATAAGCCGCAAAAATGTACACAAATATACCTCAAAGTGAATAGGACGGCCAGCTGTTTAGTAATGAATTGGTGGCTTCCTAATGGTGGAGGAAACATCCGAAAAATATTCATCCGCGGGATACTAAAACTACAAATGCGTACCTGAATAGGAAAACTTTCATACTATAATCTAACTGCATAGCTTTACATGGAAGAAAGGAAAGTATTCGGTTAAATGGCTTAATTATTGGTTAAATGTTTGCCTGTCAACCAAACGGTCGTGGGTTCGAGCCCTACTTGGATTCCCCATGTGACAAGTTTTAGTAAGGTCCGAGAGCGGTTGAAATAAGCTACAAACATTATTAACAAATAAGCTGATATAAATTTCATTTAACTCTTGCGTCATTACCAGAAATGGAAATAATCAGAAATAATTATATAAAGGGTTAGTTAGCCAAAACGTCCTTCTTTTCTAGTGGGCTCGAATGAATTTTTATTATTCAAAATATAAAATGAAATAATTTACTACCATCCATCACAGGAAAGTACAGGTAAATGATTAGATGTAAAATATAGTCACTTAATGTTTCGCGTCTTTGGCATGAATCAAGTTAGTTAACGTTTTTATGTCGTTTTTAAGAAAGAGCTATGTCTCATACCGAAACTATGTAGGATGAACAAATATAAATTAAATACTTGCTGCTGTATAATAAAAAAGTTTCCCTGAAATGAAAAACCACAGTTCAAATTACTGTCTGCACCTTTGTACTATGTGTACTAGATAAATAAACGATTTCCGACCTTTTATTTAAAATAGAACATCACCAAAATGGATTTGTCAGCTAAAATATTAGTCTTAGGCAAGGCAAAATAGCACCAAAAAACTACATTCAATATTATATAAAATTGTAGACTCGGTTTATTTGAGTTTGTTCATGAGATAATGTAAAAGTACAAAGTCTCTCAATTAAGCTCCCCAAGCACCGGCTTAATCAGAAGACTTTGCGACATTTATAGCGACGGTTACAACATTTAGCGGCAATGGTGCGATATTTAGCGTTAAGGGCGATATTTAGCGGCCACAGTCACATTGTACCGTACGGCAAGTACTGCACTGCATCGAATCGTAACTTGCTGCATTTGCTTACAGTCTTTGAATATCTAATAGGAAAATCAATTTTTCAAATAACCTAGATGTTATCAAATTTCAAAACTGATAAAACTTAATACTTTATCACAAACAGACGAGGATATTTATAAGAGATAAAGTTATTTATCATTTCGTCTTAACACGAGAACCCGGAAGTTCTGTTACAAAGAAAAATCTCGTATATATATCTACAATAATTACTTATCTACGGACCGTAGAGCATAACTATATATACATACATGTATCAAATTAACAATCGTGCGAAACAAACATTAAAACTTCCTAGTGCAACTGTGATACATGTACAGTAAAACCTATACAGAACGACCACCTTTAAGGGGCAAAGATTTGGCTTCTTACTGAGAGTTGCGGCTCTCGGGAGGTTGAATTCATTGTGAAGTCTTATTTAGGGAAGAATTGATATTGTTATTGAAAATAGGTCGTAAGTAGGTTGGTAGGTAAGTAGCTATGTTATTAGGTACATGTAGCTTGGTAAGGTAGGTAGGTAGGTAGGTAGGTAGGTAGGTTTGCCGGGTGGGTTAGGTAGGTTTGGTGGGTGGGTAAGGTAGGTCAGTCGGTAGGTAGGTAAGGTAAGGTAAATAGATAGATAGGTGGTTTGGTGGATGGGTAGGTAGGTAGGTAGGTGTTGTTCTGGTGCAATATATAGTACGTAACGTTTTTCGTTTTTTTTACACTTGTCGTATATGCACGTAAGAGTGTACGCATCTGTAAAATAAACTATTGCCATGTAGAAAACCAATTTTTCTTCTTCATAAAACGTGCCGTTTATATAAACACCGGTCTGTCTACGACACATACACACAATTGCTGCATTTCTCAAGTGGGAAGCAAATTTCCTCAATAAGTAAATTGAGAAAAAAAAAGAGGAACCGGATAAACTTAGATATATGTAAAACTAACCACACGCTTACTAATGAATTAATCATGGTTTTGTTAAAGTAAAATTGCTGTTTTATGTCCATAATTTGAAGCCATAAATCTTACGCTTCCTTGTTCGGTGATTTATCGTATGGTTAAGTTATTAAAAACGGGATTCCTTAACAACAATGAGAGAGATAAATAAAACAAAATACAAAGGTTAATGTATGAGTTTTGGTTAAGTCGTGGTTGACACAGATATTGTGGTAAACAATTAAGATTCACATAAATTGTTTCAACGAATAATCATTTGATCGGATCATGGTTTTTAATAGTTCGTTTGAATAAGCGGCGTTTCAAACAGGACCGTGTGACAATACAAAAGAAAATATAATGACCAGGTATTTCCTTTACAAAATTGACTGTTAAATTCTAGATAAGATATACACCGTTTTTAGCATATATTTTGTACTTGGTGGATAAAAGTATTTGAAATTTGTCTAAGGGTGCTACCGTCAAGGTCCAGTTTTTTAACACAAATGTATCATAGTTATGAGAACAGAATAAAAACGGTCCTTTACAAAATATTAACTGTTTTTAAATGAGTAATAAAAACTATTCACTTTCGACTTTAATCAATGGAAAAACAAATGCTCATCCTATCATGGTTATAATTTCTACAATGAAGTTCCAAGTATGACAAGGAGACATATTCAATGTTTTCTATGGTCAAACTTAAATGCCTGATGGAATCTGAACTAAAAGTCAAATTTTATTGTTAAGACTAAACAAGCAAAGAAGGTAATGATCGTTCACTGTACATGGTCATTACATGAATGTGAAGGTCAAACCCCGTCAGGGGCAAGTCTTTGTTTCTTTGTGCAAGAAACTTTACATTCATTGTTCAGTACTGGTTGGTTCCAGGAACGGATTTGAATGTGTGTCTATAATCTTATAGCTTCCTACACAATCGAACTAAAATAAATTCTGTAATGAATATATATGTGCTTGAGTTGTGGAACTTGTAAAGTATGTAGTTGACAGTTAAACTAAATAACTGCTTTTACTATCTCAAATAAAGAACGTCGGTGAAAACGAATTTTACTATTTATTGCTAAAATGCACACTTCACTCTACCATTTCATTCATTTTTTAGGGGAAATTTCTAAATGAATAGCGAACGGTGCAATTATATACGATCAACATCAAGCCTACATTTTAAACGTTCAAGCCTACAACAATTTTTCCCTTTGGCGTATCTTAATATAACCTTCACTTTCAAGGTCAAATGAAAACCCACCGTAAAGGTCGTTATTGGCGTCCGCGCCAAAGCGCGACGCCCCTTATGGAATGAAATCAGATTTTGTGAAAGGGCGGCAGCAACTTCTCGGGCCATTTCGTCGGTCATAATAGCGGATCATTCCGATTGGTATGAGGGTATTTGATTATCAAAAATGAAATGTCGCAAACAATGAATAGCGAACTGGAGAATTTCGCAATGCGAAATTATCTTATCCGTCAATTAATCGCGCTCTTCGGGTTTTTTTTATTATTCATTTTGAAGTACACACAGTGGGTTATTGTGTATTGCTGTACCTATAAATAGAATGATGACCTTAACATTGTGAAAGTCCGAATATCTATTTATAGAAGTAGTTTTTGCTTAACGAAACGGTCATTCGTGTCGAGCTATGGCTATAAATAACGAACTGGAGAATTTTGCAGGAAATGAAATATGAAAAATGAAAATATACAAACAATTAATTACACTTTGGATATTATAGACCTGTATATTTTGGATATTATCGTTAATATTGATAGAATTTCAAGTTCCTGTGGAAAAAAATAATATTCTAATCTTAGCATGCCTACCAAAGTTCATGATGAACAATGTCTTTCGTCCGCCCATTCATAAATATTAAACAATTCTGGTAAAAACCAATTAACCATTGAAAAGCTTATAAGAATATCTGGTCATCAGATGTCTACTAGTTCCTCTTCACTTGCTGCATTTCTTGCATGGACGCTCTTTGATGGTTTGCATCAATGCTTTTCTTGTTACACTACTGGAATGGCGCATGCGCATGCGCAGTCTACACACTCGCACAGTTTGGTCAGGCTCTATCCTTTTAACTGATTTCCTTTAAAGTGGATTGGTCTACAATGAGCAGATTTTCGATAAGTATTTCAAATATTGATAAAAATTAGAAATGTATCAGTTGGATATTTTTTAATGTTGTGATTTTCTAAGTGATTTAAATTGAACATTTAATTATGACGTCTAGAACATTTTATCATCTGCTATATAAATATATGTGAAAATGCAATATCGGGTCATGTATCTCGCACTTGCCAACAACTTTCATATAATAAATTATAATTCTTAAATGGTTTGTTGTTATACTATCAACTTAATTATTCATTGCATTACAGACATTCCATTATATATAGACCAATTCACATTGACTGACCCCGATGCCGGTCAAGTCCTTTAAAGAAATTCAGCAGGTTAAAGGTCATGGAGATGTGTGTGTTACAAATGCATATTTATTTAGTAATGTAAAAAATCATACAACTGCCGCAGCATATAAAACTTTTAATTGTTTAATATAAAACATAGATCAAAGCCACAATTAACATAATCATTCAATTAAAGTGGCAATTAGTTAATTTCAAATACAATTTTTCAATATCAATAGAATGGCGTTTAATTGCAAGGCGTGAATAGGAAATAAAAAGACAAAAACTGGCATTTATTTCAACTTTAATTCAGTATTTATTTCGCATCCTGTCTTAAACAGATGTCCAACCTCCATAACAGAGTCGAAGCAGACATGAAATATTAACATAATGTCAATTATTTAAAATAAATTCTTTTAATGCAGTCGTGACGTCAAGATTCACATTCCTAATTGATCCTTTCGCACTAATTACAAGTATCTTAAATCTGACAGTCAGGACAAAATCATTTATGATCGAAACAAGTACTGCATACGGCAAGTCTGATCTTGGTGTGCACTTGGCGCATTCAGTCACCGTCATCAAGCTCACATCTGTTGTTTTTTGTTTTGTTTTTCATTATTTTTTATTTATTTTATACCTAAACAACATTGGCATCTTTTCATCTCTTCTAATGAAGGAAGACTTGTGGTGCCCCTTAGTATTATTTCAGTCATGAACATGCGACTAAGTAGAGGCACTGTACCTCTGTAAGCTAGCTCGTGATATAAAAACATATCTTATCTACAGTGGAGAGGGACCTGTTAGAAGGTAAGCCATCTTATATAAGATTTTCATAAAATATGGTAAAAACGTCAATTTTGCTGAAGAAGACTTTATGTTAGAAGCTAAGACAAGAGGACTAAGATGGCCCTGAATCGCTCACACTCGAAGCAACTGTTTTTCAGTGTTAGAAATAATTTTTCACATGAATTTCTTTTAATACTAAAGACAAAGTTTGCTGGTCATCCATCAATTATTTCAGTAGAAGCTTTTCAAAGTTTTTTTTCTATTTTTAGCTTTCGAGTCCCCTTATAGCGGACCAATCACAATATTTTGGCAAACTTGAACACAAAAACATCTAACAAAGCTACAAGGCAGTTAAAAGGTGCCAGTCAAATTAATATAAGCAATTTGTGTACCTTAGAATGCTACAGACAAAAATTGTTGATCATCAATCAATTACATTTGTAGTTCGTTTAAAGGTTTTTTTTCTATTTTTTTTATCTAGAGATCCCTAAAAGTGGCCTTGAATAAAGTTAATATCAGACCATCTAAGAATGCTACATAAAATGTTTGGTGATCATCCATCAATTATTTCAGTAGAATAAGATGTTTCAAGGTTTTTCTATTTTTAGCTCTGTTGTCCCCTAAAAGGGGCAAATTGAAATGATATGAGCAAGTGTGACTGTCACAAGGATGTTACAGACCAAATTTGAAGTAAATTTGCCCAAGATGAATGTTGACGCATGATGACGGACGACGGAGCATCCCCCTTTGATAGTAAAAGCTCATCCTGAACCCTCGGTTTTGTTGGGCTAAAAAGTGTTTGTTTTTATTGAACTGGTAACATAAAATATCTAATGGCCCATATAACCAAAGAAAGCGCAAACCAAGCTGTTTTTCACAATGTTTAAATATGATTTACAGCATAAATTATGTTATGTTATGAAATAAGAAAAGAATCGTGGCATGTGAAATAAATTGTAATCTAAACAGCAAAATGCAATAAAAGGTACAACTTATAATAACTTTACTAGTAACTTTACTAAAGGTCAAAAAGCAAAACCATGGTTCAGCTTTTTGGTAAAACAGTATCAGGCCACTAACAATAAAGTTGTTTTTTTAAATGGGTCTTAAAGCATCTGCAGAATGATAACAATTTCTCCCATATGAATACAACATACTGACATGTTGGATTCACTGTCCAGATTAACTTACAGTAACACCTGTGATTAAGACATATCTAAATAAGGATCAAATAAAGATTACCCTAAGAAAAAATACTAAAACTTTACTTTTTATTCATTTTCAATTGTTGTACATATTTTTACATTTAAAAGGCTATACGTCAACAAAGATATTTTCCACTTCATAACAGTGGCCCTCTATAAAACAGTAATCAATTGAAGGTTCAAATAAAATAAACCTGGAAGCAACCTTATCTAAACAGATGTTTTCAAAAATTATATTATAGAGTTGATAATTCAAATAACTTAATACATTCAAACCATACAGTTAAATTGTGAAACTTAAACAACTTGAGTACATTTGACATTATTTTCAGAAGATAGGTTTCAATGATATATAAAAGGACACAGGAATAGGAAATGTATTTTTTATTGGTTCACACCAGTCATAAATAGTACAAATCTTTTATACAAGTCAAAATATAAAATAAAACAATGACTATTTTTGAGTTTTATTATAACACATTTTCTTCTCAGATACATGTATCTTTCAGTAATAAAAATTTGTGTGTTACAATTAGCTACACAATGCCTAAAATATGATTACACAGTAATCAGTGATGACATATTACACAGTATCATAACATATACAATGTACATGTATTCTCATATTTTTCTTAAATGACAACAACATGTCAGTTTCAAATTAACATCTTGTCACCTACAAATTGTTCTGTATTTATTAATGAGTGACTAACCTGTTTTTTTTTCTTAATTTTTTTTTAGATCTACTGCCAAATTCATGATATAAATCATTTGTTACTTAGAAATGTGTCCATAGGTCATGGATGCCCTGTCCCAACATTCCACTGTTTTGTCAGTCTAAATAAGGCCAGCATGACAGTGTGATGGTGTAACAGAGGAACAAAAGCACATTTATATGTTTCTCCCAAGTGGGGGATACAAAGCCTTGGAAGAAAAATAGCTGACAAGATATACTGTCATCAAACAATAAAACAAATCGTCACAGAAAATAATATTTTCCTCAGCAAAGATACAAAACTCATGAATCTGATGTCCCTATATCTATCACACACTGTACTAGACTAATCAGATGGAACTAAACCTTGTTTAACATTGATTTTACCATTGTCTTACAACTGCACCTTGTCATGATAAGCTGAAACAGGGCAAAAGGTTTCATGCTGATAACTTTTAAAATATTTGAATAATGGGCTTCATTAAGTTTTTAAGCGACGACCACAACAGTTATGCCGCAATAATCATTAGGAAAAGTTCAACTTTTTCTTCAAAAACAGATAAGCTCAAAATGCTTGTAATACGATGTTTATACATATCATCATATCATATTAAAAGTTGATACACAAATGCATATAACACAAAAAAGTTATACATAAAAGCATATAACACACGCTTTGATATACATAAGCATAAAACATCAAATGCTTTAATCTCAAATGCAAATTATCCAAATGATTCTACATAAAAGCATAAAACACAAAAGACAATATATTAATGCATAAATAACAAACATTATACAGTTAACACTTAATAAACTGGATCAATAACAAAAAAAACACATACATTTTACATCATTTAAATGATTAAATACATTTTAAACTAGTTGTTTCTTTTCAATCATAATAAAAATTAGAACAAAGAAAGAATCATTGTCTTTTTTCCTATTGTCACAAGATACATGTTATTTTATAAGGAAATGAGAAAAGAAAAAATATGATAAAATGCAATAAAATGAAATAAAACACAAAAATAAGGCTATCAATAAATAAGAGAAAAATATCACTTTAAAATAGTATTTTACTATTTACTATAATGCACCATCCAAAGCCATTTGCAAAAATATAAATAATTAACAAAAACCAATAGAAGCATTTTGCATAGAAGTCAACGTGTCTCTCCCTATACTCCGAGATGGCCAGTTAAAAAATTAAATAGCTTGATAAAAACATATACAGTACTGAAGTCAAAGTCCCATTCTAAATGTTATTTTGTTTTGTTTTAATTCTTTCCATTTTGACAACAAATGAAATGTGTGCATTATTGGGCATATATTCAGATATACCAATTATCTCATTTATTGAGATTGGTATTATAAGTTAGTAGTGGTTAACTAAAAATAATTCATTTTGAACCAGTATTTACATAGTGCTTCATATCTTACAAGCAAACTGCCATTTATAATTTACTCATATTTTTTTTTTGGTTGGGTTTTATGTGGCTTCAACAGTATAAGTCATATGGTGACTTTCCTGCTTTACTGATGGAGGAAGACCACAGCAGTATTTCAAGCACTAACCAGCACTTGAGTAGAACCACTGAGGTTCTGTAAGCTAGTTGTATAGCTTTCTCACAGTTTACTCTTAAATCATTTATCTAATGAACTATTCATAACTTCAGGCATACAGTTTACATGCTATTTCCATGGTTTAAAACAATAACTATATTGTATTCCAGTATTAATTAAACCACGACAGGGTAACCTAAGCAAACTGAACACACATGCGACTTGCTTGAAACCTTGAAAGTCTGTAGTCAGTACATAATAATTAAATGCACACTTGATTTGCAGTGCTTTTGAGTAAGATATTATCTGTTGTTTTTTTTTTCAAAAATATAATGTCTGTAATTTACTTTTGCAACAATGTATTGAACTATCCATAACTTACGGTTTACAGTATATTGTAAAGGTGCCATTTCCATGGTTTAAACTCTTAACTTTACCAGCATTATTATATCAAGCTAGAAATTGTAGGTAAAGCAATCTGACCACATATGTGATTTGCTTGAAATCTCAAAGTCAATATTAACACTTAAAGTTGTCAGACTTTACTAAGAGATGGAGTCACTTGAATCTTATATCAGTGCACTATTTCAACCAAATGCAGGTAACACCAAGATACAAATAGAACCTGCTCACTTTGTAACCAGCAAAAAATAGGTGATGAATTTCACTTTATTTTTAAATGTAGTTATTTTACTCATGAAACACACAAGTATATCAGTAATTACTATTCAAGGTTTCCTAGTATTTTAAATTTTCAGGCTTTAATGTGTAGTGATAACATAAATACTTAAATCTAGCAATGTTTGTTAAAGCAATAATGCTGAAATTTCACTAAGTCATCTTCCTTATATACTTCTATGCCATGTTTGTATTATAATTGTTGTATTGTTTGTTTGTTTGTTCACTTTTATGTCCTTAAGAGCCATGAGTTTTTGTTTATATGTAAAATCAACAACAAAACTTTCAACCATTTTGACATGTATGTTATCTAATTAAGAATCAAAATAAGAGCAGTAAAAGACTGACACTGTAATGTCACTCATGTATGCTATCAAGCAATGCACACCTCAGTTGCTATGGGGAAATGATAAATGTATTACACAAACTATGTTACAAAGTTTTTGCAATTTTATTTCATATACAGTATCAATAATACCTAGGTAAAGCAGAAAACAAGCACTAAATGAAAATATTAAGTAAAACAAAATAATAACAAAATATTATAATGTATAATTATTTGTAAAAACAAAATGAGGTAACTGATCTAAAAAATTTTCATCAGCTCTAAAAATAGCTTTCTCAGGCACAGCATAACTTAGAATTCATATTTTCCTCAAATAAGCTGCATGTCACCATGTGGTGCTTTAAGATTTTTGTTTCCAAAAAAAAATATAGCCGATAAAAGATAAATTTAAACAAAACAAATTGTGCACTAAAAATCTAAATAAAGTTTCCATGTAAATAAATAAGTGCTTAGAACTAAAGCAAACCTCAGCAACAACTTACAAGAGCTTTAAAACACACTGTGTGCACTTGTATTATTCATACTGCTTGATCGTCAAATTAAAGTCTTGCAGGATTTTTAAAATGTTCACAAAGGGTAACAATCCAGATGAAACGTTAGCTAGAGTAATTGTTGTGTTAGTGACCTACAATCATGGCAACAAAGACTATGTAACTTTCAAATGAACGCTGTCCCTGATTCTGGAGACAGAAAAGGTACTCAAAACAATAGCCAAGAATTTTTCCAGATTTATTCAGTTCAAATCAGTGTTAAATTTATAGAATTTGGTAAGTGATTTACAAATATGACCCTTAAAACAATTGTTATGATCAAAATGGTCACTTCTAGCGGTTCTGGATACAGACATTGCATGCCAGACCTTAATGTCTAAGTTAAAAAAGGGGAGTCATCCTATAAAATAAATGAGAGTGTTGTAGGTTTACCATCTTGGACAGTGAATGACTTTTATGATTCTGAAGACAAATGTGAAGTTGCAAAACTGCATGCCTCCAGATGAGCCAAAATATGTCCAAAAAAATCAAACTTGAAAAAAATGCACTAAGATTTTAAGAAAAGTAAAAACATTCAAGTAATAATTTATATGTTATGTCAATTAATGACTTATTTTGCATTATTTATCACCATTTTCTTACAATGTGACTTACACAGTATGGGCTATTTTTGCATATTTTGACCTCTTTTTGGTAATTTATGTAGATTGTTAGTACTGATAGCAATGCGTAAAATCCTTTCACTTTTCACTCCACAATATTTTACTTTTCATGAAAATTAGCATGAATCTAGAGGCCTGCTGCTTAAAAGAAAATGCCTTCAGTTGTTAATGAGATATAAAAATGCTTGAAAAAAAAACTTGAAAACACAATTTCTAACAACATAAAAGCCAAAGTGTGTAAGATAATCACACTACATATCCTATCTAAAATTGAAATAATTAAAAATTATGGCAACATAAAGGTCAAAGTGGATTTGACCTCAAAAATATGAATAAAATGTATTTACAAGACATAAATAGTAGATACAAATATGTTCATTTCATACATTTTAGAAGATTACCAGGGTCCGAGGATATAAGAAATGTTCAAGCTCAAACTCAGATCTCAGGCATTTGATTGGTCAGAAACCAGCATAGTCTGTGCACTGACCAATGCAAATCCAGAGATTTGAGACAGGTCTATAACCTCGGGGCCTGGTCTTTATTGGAAACATTTCACATGAAAAACAAGTAGAAAGCTTGGATTACATACAATGTAAGACCTTAGCTATTGTCCACAGATTAAAAATACGATCCATAAATACACAAATTGACCACATAAATACCAAAATACCTTAATATCACACTAACAGTAAAAATAATTCATTTTTATTTCAGGTGTCCTTTCACAACAACAGAAAAAACAAAGACTTCCAGTTTCCTTCTTGAAGAAAATTCGTTTACTTTTAATTTCACATAAAATGAATGTTTGATCTCAAATAACATTTTAATTTAAGATCTCTAAGAAAAATAGAAACAGGCCTTCACGAGCAAATTTCTTCTCTGAAATATGACAACAAAATATTTTTAGATTGGAAATTCTGATTGTGTGGTAAATTTTTTTCCACAGAACTTTTCTACCAACTTTATCAGCTTTTCCGTCTATGTTACCACATATTTAACAAAATTATCATTATTCGTATATAATTATCATATTCGTAAATAGTATTTTTTACATACTGCTAAAATATTTTGCAGAGTACTATAGAAACTGTTCAACAGCTTTCATTCTGCACAGAAAAGATTTGTCACATCATTTATACTGCTCAGAAAAAAAAAACAACTAAAACTGTGTTATTAATTATACTGCTGAGAAAAAAATATCGGAATTTCATGTTGTACTTTTTAGACAAATCTGGAAGCAGTTTAGCATAGAAAAATAAATGTCACAAAATTTACAACGCTGAAAAAGTATGCAACATTCTAAACAAATTGTTACAGTATATATTCTGCTTATAAAAATATTGTCATAATTATTTCCACTACATATTACAATTAGGGTAGATCTCTTTACTTTGTAAGAAAATTTTGTCACAGTATCTATACTGCTGTCGAAATAAGAGTCATATTATTTTTACTGCACAGTAAGGGTGTAACGGTTTACCGGTATACCGATATATTGCAATATGAAAAAATAAATTTCGAACCGCGGTATGATTTTTGGAAAACCGGTATTTTATAAAAAATCATAATTTTCAATTAATTGCCTTCTAATTTTTATGGTGGCATATTTTTGCCACCAGATAACCATATAACTAAATAGTTAATTATCAGGTTAACTAGTTAAGTAACTATAGTTAACCTCTTAATTAACTAGTAAATTATCAGGTTAACTAGTTACGTAACTAGTTAACCTCTTAATTAACTAGTTAGGTATTAGGTTAACTAGTTACGTAACTAGTTAACCTCTTAATTAACTGGTTAGATATCAGGTTTACTAGTTACGTAACTAGTTAACCTCTTAATTAACTAGTAAGTTATCAGGTTATCTGGTGGCAGAAATATGCCACCATAAATTTTGTACAAATTTCACATAAAATCTTTAATTGGCAAATTTTGTTGGCGCCAACGTAAGATAAAAGTATCCGACAATTAGTACACTTAAAAGTCAATAAGCGGCCGCAAACTTTACATAAGCGGCCCAGATGTGAAGCTCACACGCGACTAGTTTTGTTTATCAAATTGTGTGACACTACTTTCTATTTATTCCTTACATTTTTATTAAGTTTCTACTAAAAATATTTACATATAATAATAATATATAAATGTTACTCCATCTTTACATCAAAACATACACGACAATACGTATTGCAATATATTGCAATACGCTTCAGCAAAATGGCAATATATTGCAATACGGTTTTTGCTGTATTGTTACACCCCTACTGCACAGTTTACAAAAATTATCACATAATTTATACTGCACAGAAAACAAATCATGTCACATGAATTTATAAAAATACAGTAAATACAATTACATTTTAAAAATCATTAAGCGTGTAGTAAAATGTACCGGTATCAAAACGAGAGTCTTTAACAATATCAAATACCTAGGTAACAAAAACAGTATAAACATGGTCAGATTTTTAAGCTAATCTAAATAACAAGAGGGATACCTAATCAGAATTTGTCTTACAAACATCAACAATGCCGCTTACAAGGTCTTTGTCAGGCCAGTCTGAAATTCTGATCAATATGTCAAGGCTATAAACTGCGGTCTGCTTAGTTTTTAAATTTCATACTAAACTCCTAAAAACTAACAATGCATATTAAAAAAACACAAAGAAGCAAGACATGTCTATTACAGAGATTTAGAGGGTAAATGATAAATGTATTTCATTGAAGATTTTTCCAGATAATAATAAAGTTGTATTTTAGACTGACAGCTGACTTAGCGACTTGCATGTTCAAAAAAAAATCATTCACTTAAAGTGGCTGCAAACAATCAAGTGGTCTTTGATTAAACTTTAACAACAAAAATATCACAAGCCTTGGCTAAAGACTTATTAACAATCATCTTATGTTGAAAACAAATTTCAACATGGTACATGTTTGTAAAAACAAAATATGAATCTTCTAGATTCAAAAGAAGATAATAGTCCTCTGGGCAGCACTAACAAATTCTGATTAGACATCCCTATAATTCTGTGTCCCTAATTTTCCATTTTCATCAAGAATTGCAGACAAGAATTTTGGGCTTTTGTGCTTTTATAGAAGCTGGGCCATGAAGTTTCTTAGCTCGCTTTAAAAATGCATTGACCATCTGACGCACAACCTCGTCGAAAAATACATGTGCTAATTGTGAATGCAACTGTGACTTAAACTCGAAAGAAACCTGCAAAAAAACAAAGTAACATAGTTATTCCACTATAAAAAAACAGCAACTTTTAAAAACATTTTCGACCCCCCCCCCCCCACCCTGCATAAATAGTAAGGATTGGGTGCATGTTAGGCATATGGATGGCAACTTTTAACTTAAGCAGAGAAAACTCATCATTATACAATCTAGATTCTTGCATAAAAACTGCAGATGCAGGTACACAGTAAACTCTGCTTTTAATAATATTCAGGGGACTGCCAGGTTTATATTGTTATATCTAAATACCTTTATATCTGAGAGACAACAAATTTGAAAACAAGAGTAGGGACTGCAGCAACAGCATCGGTATAAGTGGGACATTGTTATAAGGGATATCGTTATAGGTTGAGTTAACGTTAATGCATGAAAAAAATTGCACATATCCTCTAGTGTTTATACTTTAACACTACATATGATATCTAAGAATGATGCCGCAGATGTTGAAATATGACAATAACTCCTGTATAACCTTTACCTTTAAGGTTAAACTTTAGATTAACAAAATTACAAACAAATTTTACTATAGGTTATTTACAAACACATCACATCTATAATGGATTACTAAATAAGTTTTTATGGAAAGTCAACTGATTCTCAAACAAGCATGTGTTCAAAACTATACTATTCTTTGATTTGAATGATAAACACAATCAGTGGTTCAGAATGTTGTATAAATTTATTTGTTTGATTCGAACTGATGATCATCACTTGTGATGTGGAGCCACATATGTGCTTTCTTTTGACAATTTAAAATGTTATTATGAGTGATCAACTTACCGAAAAATCCAGCATGCAAGTTTTTGGGTTGTCAGGCATTCCCGGACTAAACTTCCATGTTGTTACGAGGTGATTAAACAACTTGCCATCTTTACACACAGACTAAATAAGGAAAAGAATGTTTCTTTTTAATATCAATGAAAAAGTAATTCTAGTACAAGTTGAATATATATATAATTTTAAATGAAAAGTTACTGATACCTCAAAACTCATTATCTAATTTAAAATAAGAATTTCTAAGTTCACAAAGGGCATTACTTCTGCCATGCTAGAGTTATTGACCTTGGACAGTTACCTCTTATTATGATATAAAATAAGTGTGTGAAATTATCAGCAAATATGTTTAATGGTTGACGAGATATGATGTTGAACAATATGTTGCACAAAAAACCAACATTTTATACCAATGCTGATTGCCCTTGCTAGTCTTTGAATAGGCAAGCTAACTTTAACCTATATTGTGTACTATTGTAGCATTGTTATCGTCTCTATAGTTGCAGATTTAATATATGAGCCGCGTCACGACAAAACCAACATAATGGGTTTGCGACCAGCATGGATCCAGACCAGCATGAGCATCCGCGCAGTCTGATCAGGATCCATGCTGTTCGCTATCAGTTTCTCTATTTGTTATAGGGTTTGTAAGCGAACAGCATGGATCCTGATCAGACTGTGCGGATGCGCAGGTTGGTCTGGATCCATGCTGGTCGCAAACCCACTATGTTGGTTTTGTCGTGACGTGGCTCATATAATAAAGCTCATTTACAAAGCTCATTAATTCTGTATGACAATTTGAAATATATATTTGAGATTTCATCAGGAAAAGATATAATCTTCAATAACATGGTCATTTTATCTTGACAAACCATCTTTTAGTGATCAGTAACATCTAAGTATTAAGCAACATAACAATGTTTGAATTTCAATTCACAATGACCTTGACTTTGTACCCATTTTCTATTGGCACAAAGGGCTGTAACTCATGGTCTCTAGTGATCATTATGAATTTGCATGCAGAGCCTCATTAATGATCAAGTGATACCACAATGTAAATGTCTGAATGAGAAGTTACAACTAAGCATCACTACTATTCCAACAATTGAGTTTAAATACCAGTGTCAATCAAAATTGAGCTTTTTTTATCAAATGATAAAACAATACTCATGGTTTTCATTTTCATCTGAGGCAACTGATGCGCCAACGAAAGCAGCTGATTTGGCCAAGGGTATAGGGCTATATTTTAATCTACAAGCTGAAAACATTACCGATTTTAAAAGCACTATAACAACCCTGATTAAAGTTTTACACTTATGAAGATAACTAATCACTTTATCAAAACCTTACGCTGGAAACATTATTGTATTTTCGATATGAAGACATTTTCACTGTTAATTTCCTTTTTTCAATTACTTACATGCACTAAACTTGGCTTTTTCAACGTCACTACGGAAGTGTATCTTTCAACTACTGGAGGGAAACCAATCTGCAATTTACAGTCAATCTTTTCTGGTGTTGCATTTGTTATGGTTGACTGAGTGCACCATGGTACAAACTTGTTATATTTATCAACTTCTGCCACAATGTCATACATCTGTTCCATTGTATACCTAAAATCAGTAAAATTTAATATTACATCAGAACATTGGATTGTATTTCATACATTAATTACCATTGCCACAAGTAGATGACAATTTTTTATCATACAGTCAATCATATAGTCTTTTTACACCTCTTCTAGAATGGTTAAATGTACCCACAATTGGAAATTTTTATAGTTGTGAAATAAGGTATATTGAGAACAAATATTATGCACAAAAATAGACAAAATATGAATCTTTTATAATATTTGTCATTAACTAATCATGAAATGTGTGTATATACGTTTATGTATGTTCCAGGTATCGGTCATCCTTTATAAAGATATAAAGGAGGATGTTAACTCTAATTTATGACTGGTACTCAGGAAAGTTACAGTCATGTTGACTCTCATTTATGACTGGTACTCAGGAAAGTTATAGTCATGTTGACTCTCATTTATGACTGGTACTCAGTAAAGTTACAGTCATGTTGACTCTCATTTATGACTGGTACTCAGGAAAGTTACCATCATGTTGACACTCATTTATGACTGGTACTCAGTAAAGTTACAGTCATGTTGACTCTCATTTATGACTGGTACTCAGGAAAGTTATAGTCATGTTGACTCTCATTTATGACTGATACTCAGTAAAGTTACAGTCATGTTGACTCTCATTTATGACTGGTACTCAGGAAAGTTACTGTCATGTTGACACTCATTTATGACTTGTACTCAGTAAAGTTACAGTCATGTTGACTTTCATTTATGACTGGTACTCAGTAAAAGTACAGTGATGTTGACTCTCATTTATGACTGGTACTCAGTAAAAGTACAGTGATGTTGACTCTCATTTATGACTGGTACTCAGGAAAGTTACAGTCATGTAGACTCTCATCAATGACTGGTACTCAGTATAGTTTCAGCCATGTTGACTCTCATAATTTAGTCATCAATAATTTAAGAATTTTGGCATTTATGCTCTTGGAATAGGGTCTGGCTGCTTAAGCTGTTAAAATAAGGGAAAAACACTATCAATATAACTGTTATAAACATGAAGATAAAAAAGAAGTTTCTTTTTACCCCAGCAACCTTCTTTCAGAATATTCTTTCTTTTTACTCCCACTTCCACTAAATGGGAGATTAGGTAAAGTTATGAAGGATCTCGCAGTTTCTGCTGACACTACCTGCCTTCTTTCAATGTTCTTGGATAACTGTAAACATCCCACACATGTTACCCTGAAATACAATGTCATTATGATTTATATCACAAACATATAAATTATCATTATAGTCAAAGAAATAAATTTTCATCTTGAAAATTTTTCTTTCGAATTTGCACCACTCAAGACTCTACGATATGAGTAACATTTAATATTTGTTTAAATTGTTAGTTTAAATCCAACAAAAATAAGCCTTAATACACCCATTGACAGACAGTTTCTGTATAAACTGGATAAATAACAGAGGTATATCGAGTGTAAAAACATGAGTTGTTAGTTAAATCGGTATCTCTAATGCTAAAACAATACAAATTTTATCATTTTCTAGTTAATTGTGATTTATTGCCCAATTAAAAGCTTGTGATCTTAGCTTCATCTAAGTACTGTATATAATTAAACATCTCTTTAGACACCAAAATAATTAAATTAATTGTTAATTCAAACCTACAAAATGTCAGGTCATTTAACATATGATTGATACAGAGAGATACGCAGCTGATAATCTTTACTCGCAAAGTTACTGAAGAGAAAAGTCTGTCATTTGCTAGTTCAGAAACTGTCAATACACCTATAATTGATAATCTCATTCTCTATATGAGCTACTTAAATAACCAAGGTATATCAAGTGAAAAATACAAGTTGTTTCTCTAGCTTCGAGTAAAATCGATATCTCTTATTGTAAATAATGCAAATTTAGCCGCTTTTAAACAGCTAGTTTAGGACGAATTATGGTGGTTTCGTCGAACAACCGGTTCGCGAACTTAATTTATGAAGAGGTGCGAAAGTAGTTTCGTCGACCTTATGTTATATAGTAATTAAAGGCAATGTAGACCTGGTTCATATATATAAAGTGTTTTTATCATCAATATTTTGTTATAATAGAAACGTTTAAAATCAAAGTTTTATATCTATAGAATGAAAACAGATTTCTTTAAAAATATGCATGTGTCAATTGTTTATATAGAGAAGAGTAAAGTACCGTATTTGTAATTTATTATATACTTATAAATGAAATATTGAGAAATATTGATGAAATAAAATGCGTATTTTCATTTTCCGTATTTTCACTGTAAAAATTTATTTTTCACTGCAGTGAAACATATTTTCCGTATTTTCACTGGTGTCTTGCCGGACTACTTTCTTTTATATTCTGCCAGTACACAAAATTTAAGGGAAAGTCTTTTATATTTTAATGTCAAAAAAGAGAAAAATGTATATAATAAACAGAAAATTCAAGTTTTTTCTATAAATATATGATTTATTTTCATCTTGTGGCATGAAAATTACCATATTTCACTCGTGGCTACCGCCACTCATGAAATATTTATTTTCATACCACTCGATGAAAATAAATCATGTATTTATAGAAAAAACTTGAATATCCTCTATATATTGTGCTTTTCATAACAGTTTATTACATGTACGTGGATTTTTTATGGGTTTTTTTTGTATATATTTAGATTATAAAATACATTGTTAATTCTTTCTCTTACAGGTTTTATTTTTTCTTTGTATATATATATATATACAAAAAATGAAAACAAGTGCCGGAAAAAAGTCACATATATAAATAAAACAAAAAACACAGTCCATGAGTTAACTTATTTAACATTAGTTAACATTTGCCCTGATGATCATAAGAGAAACCGGTTGGCAAATAATTAAATAAGTTAACTCATGGACTGTGTTTTTTCTTTTATTTACATCAGGCTTCGCGAAACTGCTGAAAAATTTGCCTGACATTCGGTCAGACAAACTTTCAATTCTTGTCTGACCGAAAGAACTTTTGTCTGACCGAATGTTTTCCCCCAAATATATGTATATGGTAATACCTTGGTGTTTTTTTAAAGACATAACAACTTTTAAAGATTTGCAACACAATTTTATTCCCTTAAATAAAACATTAGTTTATCCAGATTGATGGACTCACAGGCGCTAGTCACATATATTCAAATATTTTACATAACCAGTCTATATATGTATATAAAGATATATAGTATATAGCCCATATAAAACTTTAAAATGTTTCAAGCACCTGTGGATGGACTCTGTTTGGAAATCAAAACATTCATGATCAAAGCGGCCATTTTTCCATTTACCCACAAATTTTCTCGGCGGGCGCCTGGACTCGTATTCCTTTTGTTTCGCTTTTTTTTTCTTCATTGGATAGTTTACGATTTTTGCCGGGCGTAGCGCCAGCGTAATAATGTAGTAACACCGACATTTTGGTTATTGACAGTCGTATGTATCGGACACTTATAATGAAACGGCGAATCAAAACTCGTTTTACATTTTTTTATTCAAGGGAGAAAACTCGGTCTTGATCGGTCTTGGATATATCCCGGTATTCGTACCGGACATAAGGTCCGGAAGTCCGAAAAAAAATAACGGACCGGCCTGATTTTTGCCGGACATGTCCGACGGTCCGGCAACTTTCGCGAAGCCTGTTATATATATATATATATATATATATATCGATTTTATTCAGATTAAAAATATTGTTTCTTCTTTTTTCAGGTTTTACTATTTGTGCATATGTTTCCATATTTTAACAGACTTAACTTAATGTGTGAAATGTAACTTGTGTAAATTTTGACACATTATTAGTTTTTTCAGGTTGTACTTTTATTCGTATATATATATTTCTATGATGTTGTTTGTTCACTGAGATCTTTTGTATTGTGTTATTCTTTTCTGTAAATATTACTATTATACTAAAGAAAAGAATAAATAATATGTTTAAATTTTCGATATCTTATCTTTAATTGCATGAAAACGTGTGATAAACCACACATCACATTAAGACCCGCGATAATTGACGTGCCCATTATACAATAGATATTGTTTGCACTATATAAATTAAGTTCGCCGAAACCACTACCTGTTTTATTATATAAGATCAGTTCGCCGAACCGGTAGTTCGACGAAACCACTCTCACCCATCTATAGGACAATTTAAAGACCAAAGGTATTTAAATTTACAGTTAAACCTACCACAAGCCAGACCATTTTACATATGTTTTATACAGTGAGATACGCAACCGGTTATCTTCTACTGATAAGAATAGCCCGTCAAAACTGTCAATTGGTGTATAGGAAATAAACAAACAAATTCATAACAAAAAACCCAAATTTTGAAACTTTATCATCATTTCAGAAGTATCGTTACAATAAACTAAGACTTTTAATATTTTGATTCTATACGTTTACTCACTTTAAAATACCACCCCGTCCCGTACCTTACTCTTTTAAAAGGTACAATTTATGTAAGACTCAAATTTTAGATGAAATTTTTGTTCCCCACCCACTTTACCAAAAATGTTTCTAAAGATGGAAAGAACAAATATTTTGAATTAAACTTTAAAACATTTTATACTTAACTGCATGTCAGTAACTTATTGTACCTTTTTATTTCACCCGGTCGGAGTATGTTTCCCGATTCTGTTAAATATCTTAAGGGACGGGCACATTTGGTCAGTGGACGTGCCATTTTTTTTACCGAATTCTGTCAAGTTCAAGGTGAAGGCCGAAACAACGTTAGAATGCGCACCCGCTTATGATTCTACAAATTCTCAAAGCGCCCACTGATTTAGGTACCAATAACGTTGACCAACGTCGCATTGCATTCTGGGCGGAATAATCAGATAAACAAAATGGCCGCTCCGTATCAATCCCGGGAAGGTGAGTTTTTCTTCAATTTTTGGACGTTAACCACAGAAACAAGCTAAATAAATGATTTTTATTTAAATATCTTATAATCATCTGTAGATTGTCTTCATAGATATGTTTTCCAAGTTAATAATTTCAGTGAAAAATAAGAAAATTTGCCGAAAATTTGTTGTTAAAAATCTTTTACGGTCATAACGTTCACAGACGCTTGGGGTTATGTGCGTGGCTCCCCTTCTTGATCCGCACTTGTATACACCATGCCTATTTTTATCGTGCAAACCGTACGTCAAAATATTTTTGCATATTATTACGACCCGGTCACATGTCTTGAACATAAAACATGTTTTCGGCTATTTTAACCACGTTTAAAAAAGTCCCTAGAATATCATAATTTCATGAAGATAACAACGTACGCTTTCCTTTGATGTGAGATGACTGGAATTTTGTTTCGGCACTGTTTTGCGCTTTCATTTTCATACCGAGAACCAAAACCCCGCAGCGGTTACTTCCCCTAATCAGTACAGAAACCAAATCAAGAAGACTGACGGAAAGGGCCGAGTAGTTGCGATTGAATTTCTTTTTCCCAGCGATTTTCCCGCTGTAATTTACGGGAAACATTCCAGTGGTCATGAATTCGTAAAGAAGCATGTGACTCAGTTATGAAAATATAATTAAATGTGCAAAGCTTGGAAGAAAGGTACGATCTGATAATAACATGCAGTTATTTATTAAAGGAATATATGCATCGACTGATTTACACCAGAAATAAATGGCATGCGATAACATAAATACCTGAAATATATGTAGGTCAGTTGTGTTTACATTTCGAAGCTTGGTATCTTCAGGAAATTGAAGCGTTGGAAAAAAATTGACTTTTTTAAAACGTTATGAAATTCTATTCAAACTTGTTCATGTGTTAGACACTTTACCGTCTCATACTAATATAAGCACAAATTTAAAACTTATTCTTGTAATAAACAATACTTTTAGTTTTTAATATTCAGGGGCGGAGAAGGGCGGGGTCCATACTCCAAGTGTCTGTGATAACGTTTGCATGATCGACTGCAATTTCATGAATCTGTTTAACGATAATTTTGTACATTTGTGCTACAACAATTTGCAATAATTGTTTGAGGTAACCAATCTTGTTGACAGGCAACTTATGAAATTAATGTTGAAAATATAAACAGATGTCGTGAAAATATGTGACAAATTTGAGTTGCACTCTAGCACAATGTGGTTCGCTGATGGGCATTAAATCCACGATTTATCCACTGTCAGTTAACATTAATCAACATATCTTTCAAATATTCACGTGTATGGAATGAACAAGTTGTTACTGTTGTGTGATGAACTAGTTCTAACAGAGACTTATCAGGGAGGGAGAAGCAAGTGTAAAACAAAACAAAAACCCACCTGGACAAAAGCCCTCCCGTCCTAAAATGACTAGGCAGACAAAAGCCCTCTTGTGAAAAAGACAGGGCAGAGAAAAGCCCTCCCATAAAAATGACCCACATCAAATACCTGTATGTACGTTAAAAAAAATAGTTTGCAAAATGTTATTCTGTTAATAACTGAATAAGTTCAATAAAGACCATTATCTGTACTAAAGACATAAAATTTTACCAATTTGCAAAACCACGATGACCTTGCACCAAGCTGACAGGACTAAAAAGTGCCAAAAAAGGGGTTTTGCCATTAATGAAAAAAAAAGGTAATACTGGGCGATATACAACTTAAAATCATTGAATTTAATACCCAAATCCAAAAAAAAAAACATAATGTTATACATGGACAGTACCTTTTCATGTGTTTTTATAGTACAGATTCAGAAAATATTGGTATATATTTATATTGTGAAATGTTATATTATATGTGTACTCTTTGTATACTTACAGATTTTGAGGAACAAGTTCGGAGTATACAGGCCAGAAAGCAAGCTTTAAATAAAGAAAATGTTGAAGAACAATCACCAGAGAAACAGAGGGTTGGTTTAGGAGCTGGAGGACATTTTGACACAGATATTTATGGGTCAAATAGTAATAAATTTGCAGGCTATCACACCTATATCCCAGCTGAAGATGCTGAGGTATTAAACAGGCTTCATTTGATTCTTATTTAAGATTTTGTAACACATGCGTGATGGCATTAGTCTCTCATGTTTAACCTACATATATGTTCATTTTTTTTCTCATTAATTTAACTTCAATGTGTACATTGCTTTTTCCCCAATTATTTGCAATGAATATTGATTTATACACAGACACTTGGGATTTGGAGCTCAAAACGCTTTTAAAATCCAAATAAAATGCATATTTGTCAATCCCAGCACATGTACTGATCATATATATCCAAAAAACTTAATATAAGCCGTTTTGAAAAAATTTCATATTTCAATATCTATAATAATACACAAGATAAAAATGTTCGCCGGAAAAAATCTGCACCCCTACCGTCATAATCACCATGTATTTTATTCCATTTCCAATATTTTCACATAATCCTTTGGTCCATCGACACAGAAGATATAATTCTTCACGATGATGGTCAATTTTTAACTTAAACGGTAATATAAACAACGCAACAGCCGAAATAAATATCAAGATTATCGCCGTTTTCCTTCAATGACATTATCTTTCGATAAATTCAAACGTGCCAGTCGGCTATGACCGAAGCCATCCGATAATGTGGCCCCAGCTTTGCCGTGTGCAAAATGTGCAGCGCTTTTAAGTTTGGGAAAAAAATTTGGATATATATGATCAGTACATGTGCTGGGATTGACAAATATGCATTTTATTTGGATTTTAAAAGCGCTTTGAGCTCCAAACCCCAAGTGTCTGTGGATTTACATGCTTGATCCCTCAAAGGCTTTTCATACAACCATAAAAAATTCTGCATTTTCTTGTTATGCGCCTGGTCGTCCGTCTATCTGTTAGCAGTTTTCGTGTCTGGTCTGTACCTTTGATTTTTGAACCAGTGGAAGGAAATTGAAACAAATCTAAAGAAATGTTAACCCTAATCAGTATTGGCACAGGTATTGAAAAGTGCTTGAAAAAGATCTGTGTCTTAGAAACTATTTAAATTGAAGGTGTCCTTAAAAATCCTTTAAAAAAGCTTGATTTAGGGAAAGAAATCCTTGAAGATCTCTGATTCACAGAAATAATACATGTAGTCATCATCAAGTAGATAAAGAAATTAAACCCATTTTTGTAAAAAAAATAGGAAGGAAAAGTTTGCCGAAATTTTTTTATGCACACATAATTATACCAATTATGTGACAGATGTTATGGTGTACAATATGAACAGCAAATGTGTTCTACCTCACCGGTATTGGTAGGCATGTGTAATGTAGCTTTTTACGTTACTGGTTTTCACCAGTATGAACAAATTAGTAAACCGCAATTTTTGGTTAAAATGTCTAAAAAAAATATAAATTCCTGATTAAGTTGCTGAAAGATTGTCGAAGGGAAATAAAATAAAGGGTGTTTCATATGCCCATTGCGGCGAAATGGCAATGTGTACAAAGATAATTGAAATAGATAGTATGATAGAAAGTGAGAGTGCACAGAAAAGCACAAGGAAAATGCAGGATAAGGAAGTGTACAGTTTGCTTTAAGATAGAATTTAAATCTATTTTGGAATATTTGCTTGCAACTTGATAAGGAAGTGAACTGTTTGCTTTTAGGTCTTTTTACTTGAACTTGAATGGTTGCAGGAAATTTATCTCCGGGACTTGTCCTTGAAAATAATATTTGTCTTAGATATTCATTGAGAATAGCTTCTAATTAGAAGTAATATTAACATATTTTTGTTTATCTCAAACAGGATGATGATGATGTGAATCCAGTAGAAACATCAGGGCCAGTTCGGTCAGCTGCACCTTTTTTAAAATTTTCCTAAAAATGATTTCCCTTTCAATTTTTGGGACCCGGGTTTTTTTTAAAAGTTATTTTTGTTTTGGGGGCCCTTCCCTATTGGGGTTTTTTGATTTTTCCCAATAAAAAATTTTTCAAAATTTACCTTTTTAAATAAACCGTAAAATTATACAGGACTATATACATGACTATTGTTGAATAGGACTATATTCACAAAAAATGGCATCACAGTTCTAGTATTCACAATTCAAATGGTCATAGACTTATTCACTGAAGACTCGGAAAAAAAAAGCAACACTAGTTCTGATATGGCTGTTGGCCAAGATGACTGTCACTGCCAAAAATTAAATGACTGTCTCAAATGTATTTAAGGCAAATTTGATTGTTCATGTAAAAACAATTGTTTATCAGGGCTCTTTGGCCTTGGAATTAGGTCATTACAACTTTGTTCGGTACATTGAAGTCCTTCATATACTGGTTTCTACTATAGTTTTTACTTAGAATAATGCTTGAATTAGGTCTTCCTCTACCATTATAACTAGAATGTCACAGTATGACCATTACATTGTTGGTATGACATATAATCCAAGAGAACGTGCGTCTTTATCATATTTTGTTTCATTTTTAGGAGTATGACCCGATGGCTGAGCATCGCCGTGCCAAGATATCGGACCGTGAGGATGACTACATGGCACGACGTCGTCAGATGATCATCTCACCAGAAAGATTCGATCCATTCGCTGACGGTCAGTACTTCTATAAAGAATTGTAGTTACTTGTGATTGAAATAATGTTATTGAACTGGTCATGCTGATAAACTGGGTGCCTGACATAACTTTATGACAAAATATAAGCAGATTTGAGGAATTTGCAAAATCTTTCTATTATTTGATCAAATGTCAAAAATGTTGACAGCTAAGGCTACCAGTTTTTAAGTTTGAACAGTAAGCACACAAAACTTAGGCCTTTTTATTTTTAATTTAAAAAAAATGATATATTTATACAATCAATTCTACAGACCCTGTCCATTGAGAGAAAGTAATGAGAGAGCTGTGAGTCAGAGGAAGAAATTTTCCAGTTTCTTATTATGTACCATGAATGGAATATTTTTATATCCATTTTAATTAAAGGAAATACCATACGTATTGTAAGCAAATCAAGAGATTTTATTTTACTTGATAAAGTATGATGTATGATAGTCTATATTACAATGTGTAACAGCATTTAAGAAAGCTGTCTTAAGTTCTACATCAAGAGTTATGAGAGCAAAAACAAACTGAATATGGGAAAGTATTGTGGTCTTGTGTCTATCAATTTTTGTATGATAGCAAGACCTTTTTATCTGTTTATTTATGAAGACACAGGTACAAGAGTTAAGCATTGAGATTCATATAAAATATGAATACAATAATTGATTGTGTGACATTGTGGTGCAGGTACTGAGGTAGATAGTGAGAGGAGAGATAAGTTTGTTATCGTTTGGTCTCTAATTTTTATTTTTAATACACCCTCGGGTTTAATTTGATATCAGTGTGTGCTGTTATTTTTTTTTTTTTGTAACTGATTTCTTTATTTGACTGCCAACTTTCACAAAACCGAGACTAATCTGAAAAACTTTATTTTCTAGCACAACGGGCGAGCCGGCTTCTGGAGCTGTCACTTTTAACCCTTATAGTATAAACATAAAGAAAAATTTAACATCTTTAATATGTAATATATGTGCAGCTATCAATTTTATAAAATATGATTGTCAGCATTTATCTTTGATAATCTAAATATTTTTTTTCTTGTTTTCTATACAAAATAACTTTATCCATGAAAATAAATTTAGAGTTTAAGATTCTTGAAAAATTAAGTTTGTTAAAGGGGCATGTTTATTATGAAAGTCTCATTTCATAATTTTTGAGAGAAAAAAAATTCAAAACAGCCTGAAATTCTTAATGTTCTGCTTAAGTCTTGGCAAAAGAAATTTTAAAACTGTGACACAATATTTGTTGAAATCTAATATAAATCTGCTGTTAAAAGTTTGCTTGATGATTAGATTATGATAATGAAGTTCTCTGTTTTTAAACTAATTTTTTTTTTATTCTTTGTAGACAAATTTTTAGCTTCACTTTTCTAGAAAAAGGGATTTCCAAATCGGGGCGTCCGTTAGGTTAGCGTTGGTTGGCGTAAAATTGGTTTAAGGGATTTTTTACTTTCCCCCCATCTGTACGCAAGAGAAGGTAACTCTGAAAGGATTTTTTTTTAAAAAATTTAAAGGGCCTTTTATCGATTTTAGAATTTGGTTAATTTTTTTGTCCCACCTCACTTTATTTAAAAACCCCTTTTGGAAGGTATTTTTTTAAAAACTGACCATACTTGTTTACCATACAAACCTTTTCATCAACAGACAAGAGGACAAAAACTCTGTAAGGGTTTTTTGAAGAATAGCCCCTTTTTGACTTGTACTAAAATTGGGAAAAATCCACTTATTGCTTAAAAACCCTTTGAGATATTTTTTTAAAATTTTTTAATGCTATTCACATCATTACCCCCATCTGTACGCAAGAGAGAAGGTAACTCTGTCAAGGATTTGTTTTTAAAAAATTAAGGCCTTTTATCGACTTAGAATCTTGGTTAAGTTTTTAGTACCAGTCCACTTTTTGACTGAACTGTTTGAGATATTAATTTGAAAGTTGGAATACTTGTTTACAATCATGATTCCCAAACATGTCCAGGAGAAGGTAATTCTGTCAAAGATTTTATTTGAATTATGGCCCTTAACTGTCAATGTTTTGTATTATAGGCAAGCACTAAAAAAGTCGAGCGCGCTGTCTTACGGACAGCTCTTGTTGTTTAAGTTATTTGTTTGGCATGCCCCTTTAACCACAAGTTAAGTCAAAAAGATAGGATTCAAAGAGTGTATGAGTGAAAACCGAGAGAGAGTTGCGAGTATAGAAAAAAGTTCTACACTAATTCTAGAATTATTGTAGGTGTAAAAGCTGTCATTCCAAGAATCCAGTGAGGCTTTGTGGGTAAGTACGTATACATGTGTTGTTTCAGCTCCCCGTAGAAAAAAATTTTTTAATTGACGTTTTTTTGTGTGATAATGAAAATAAAAACCCTCCTTTTTTAGCTTTAATTTTTTAGAAATAAAAATTTTGATAGAAAGCTAAAACACTTATTATATGTGGGGGAAAAAAAAATTTTCCAACAAATGAAAAATAAAATTAACCCTTAAAAATTTTGGGGGGGGTTCCACCCAAAATGACATTTTTTTAAAAGACTTTAAAGCAATAACTTATGCTCTCTGTTTTATTTTAAACGGCTGGTCCGAAAAAAAATTTTGGGCTGACAGCTATATTTTGCTTGTTTTTGTTTTTATTTCTAGGCTAAAAATTTTTTTGAACTCTAAAAGTTATCACAGCCATTTTTACAACAAAAAAATAAAAATAGATGATCTGTTCACAAAACAAGCCTTACAGCAAAAATGTACTAATGAATTTTTCCTGTCACGGCCCCGTGTCGTGACCTTTCTGTTTTCTGTTTGCAGGTGGGAAAACCCCAGACCCAAATGTTAGAACGTACCAACAAATTATGCAGGAGAAAGCATTGGCTGCTCAGGAGGTAAATTGTTTATCATATTCATTGGGACGTTACCCTTAGATTCAAATTGTTTAAGATAGAAAGCCATATGAGCCTGTTTGTAATAGATGTTATCTGGACTGCGGCAAATGTGGGTTTTTCTAAGCTAATCCCTCGGTTCATACACGTAACAGACTTTTAACCGTTATAGTTTCATACTAAACTACCAGTCACAATAGATTATTTAACCTGTTGCGATTATATTTTCAAAGCTGTAACTTGTATGTTTAGATTGACGAGAAAAATCCCAAAAATATTTTTAAGGTGACAACGGAGTCAATTATCACTGAAAATACCTAAAATGAGATTTTTTGCTAAGTACATTTATCAACCTTTTCTGAACACATTCGTGATTTAATTTTGGAAGCAGTTAGTCCAAAAAATGTGTTTTTAAACGTTTTAAAACGGTACCATTAATATTTCTATCTGCTATTCGCGCAACCTGTCGATTATCGATAACGCTCCGCTCGCCCCTGTTGAGGCCATCAAATGAAGGGAAACCGGGTAGTTCCATTTATCCGTGAATTACAAGTCCATACTTCTCGGTAATACATGTATCGTACAACTACCGTACATCTTTTATGAATATCTCAACATTTAGCCTTTTTTATAAATTAAGAAATTTTCGGCAAATGTACGTAAACATAATGTATGAAACATAAATAAATTAAGGATAGCGGCCAAATCGCACGACCACGGGGGTTGATTAAAAATGTAGTTGCTAAAATAACCCAACAATGTGTGAAAATAATTTGTCTCTGTCCCGTTAATCTGATAGATATTACAAATTGAGTTGATAGACTTTTGTACGGATTCAAGGGCTTACTTTACATTCAACCTCGTTTTTTCTAAACAATGTCAAGTAAAACAACAACAAAAAAAACAGACATCATTTTTAATGTGAACGCCTATATGACTTGTGTGGTAAGGTGTCCCGTGACAAATTTCTAAACCATTTTAGATTGTCTAAGGATGATTATTTCTCTATGAATAAATAAAAGATATTAAAATATATTCTCAGTGAAAATAAATTGTTCGCCAGTAAATCGGACACAGTACTTATTAATAAATCTGGGACAAAGTATGAAATTTATTGTCTATCAAGGTAAAAACTGGATCTCTATGCCGTGCATAGATGATATTCATAATAGAAGTCAAGAAGGCCAGATCATAATGATCGAGTAATACCTTTTATTTCTATTAAAATATGTGAAGCATTATCAATTTGGTGGAAAATATATAATTAATATCCCGTTCTTATTTGTACATCTACCATATGGACTTTCAAAGACTGCCAGAAGCTCAGTTTTTTGTTATTTTATTTTATATTTTAACGGAATTTCGTACACGAATACACAGGCAGAGTGACACTGGTATAATACAATAATAATGCTGATGATAAATAAACTTCAAAAAGGTAACAATTAAATACCCCGATAGCGGTACGCAAATGCGTTCCATTTCCCACACTGAGTGCCTCAAATTTTACCGATAGTCACGTGACATGTGAGACAGATACCAGACGAAAAGTAAATCACGTTAAGAATTGAAGAAATTTTCGGCTATAAACTGATATTAATCAGCAGCTTTTTTTTAATTGGTCAGATGTCCACTGGGTCATAAAATTGTTGTTAGAGTATGTTACCGCAACTTGTGACCCTCATTTTCTGGTGGCGATATTTCAGGTGTTATTATGCAATTATTTTAGCCCGATGATTGAAACGTAGGGGTCCGAGAGAGAACAGCCGATTTATGACACTTCGTTTGATGCGGGTCGGACTAACTTTGAATCGGCATAACTTTTTAGCTCGACTATTCGCAGAATAATCGAGCTAATGCAGTCACCCATTTGTCGGCGTCGGCGTCGGCGTCGGCGTCGGCGTCGGCGTCCCTGTGGTTAAGTTTTTGTATGTAAGCTGGTATCTCCATAACTACTGAAGGGAATGGATTGAAACTTCACACACTTGTTCTCTGTGATTATCTAAGATGATTGGCACAAGTCCCATAACTCTGATTTGCTTTTTTTCATAATTATGCCCCTTTTTCAACTTAGAAATTCTTGGTTAAGTTTTTGTATGTAAGCTGGTATCTCCATAACTATTGAAGGGAATGGATTGAAACTTCACACACTTGTTCTCTGTGATTATCTAAGATGATTGGCACAAGTCCCATAACTCTGATTTGCTTTTTTTTTTATAATTATGCCCCTTTTTCGACTTAGAAATTCTTGGTTAAGTTTTTGTATGTAAGCTGGTATCTCCATAACTACTGAAGGGAATGGATTGAAACTTCACACACTTTGTTTCTCTGTGATTATCTAAGATGATTGGCACAAGTCCCATAACTCTGATTTGCTTTTTTTACATAATTATGCCCCTTTTTCGACTTAGAAATTCTTGTGTTAAGTTTTTGCGTGTAAGCTGGTATCTCCATAACTACTGAAGGGAATGGATTGAAAACTTCACACACTTGTTCTCTGTGATTATCTAAGATAATTGCCACAAGTCCCATAACTCTGATTTTTGCTTTTTTACATAATTATGCCCCTTTTTCGACTTAGAAATTCTTGGTTAAGTTTTTGCATGTAAGCTGGTATCTCCATAACTACTGAAGGGAATGGATTGAAACTTCATACACTTGTTCTCTGTGATTATATAAGATGATTGGCACAAGTCCCATAACTCTGAATTTGCTGTTTTAACATAATTATGCCCCTTTTTTTCGACTTAGAAATTCTTGGTTAAGTTTTTGCATGTAAGCTGGTATCTCCATTACTACTGAAGGGAATGGATTGAAACTTCACACACTTGTTCTCTGTGATTTATCTAAGATGATTGGTACAAGTCCCATAACTCTGATTTGCTTTTTTGCATAATTTATGCCCCTTTTTCGACACATGAAATTCTTGGTTAAGTTTTTGCATGTAAGCTTCGTTGTCTCTCCATAACTACTGAAGGGAATGTATTGAAAACTTGGGAAGAGTTTGTAACCTTTTCGGACAATTTTATGTATTCATATAGGTAAGCATTATTATACTCAATGAAACACCCTTTGGTGACAAATTTTCGAAATATAGTCGAGCCGTGTACTGTCCTCCGACAGTTCTTTGTTTAATAATCAAAGCAATTAACATGCGTTTTAAAGCACATGAAAGGGAAATTCATTTACGGATGGGAACCGTGTCAGGGATTTTTGTTTGCTCAATCAGCGACTTAATTATATTTTTAATTACGTAATATGTATGGTGAAAAAGTCGCATAAAATATTTGACGTTACGTAATATTTTTTTGAGAAAAGATAGAAAAAATTTGAGACACGGTTCCCCAGATAATATAAGTTATGGTTTATTTTCCAAAAGTTTGATGACAAAAAAATAAAAAATGACTTTGATATGACGATTTAAAATTTTAGGATTTTTATTCAAAATCAATCATTTACAAAGGCATTTTTTCAAATATGTTATTTTTTATGATGATCAACGACATTTAATGCACAAAGATTAAATAAATAACAATTATAACTAAAATAACTTGGTTTAAATGACATTTATGTGAGTACCACGGAAAGTGTCTGTTGTCACCTTAATTCCGTAGCAAGTCTATTGAGCACAATAAATTTTATCATGATCAAAATATCTAAACTTGACAGAATGATGTTTGTTACTACTGAAGTGCCAGTTGCTATTTTAAAATAGAAGGTACATATATTTGAAACATGGTTGTAAGGAAATTACAAATTTGTGATTTCAGAAAGGTTATCGGGAGCAGATGAAAGAGAAGGCAAAAACTGGGGAGCTTAAAGCTGTTAATAATGCTAGTGCACAGAAAGTACAAGAGAAGAAGAAAAGACGATGGGACCAGCCTATGAGCGAGGAACCAGCCAAGAAAAAAGCATCATCATGGGACCAGGCTGAAGTTGGAACACCATCACAGGTTTATATATTTTTTTTCTGAGCATAGTCAGTAAATAGCATAAAAGTTCAATACATTGATATTTATTGTAATTGTTCAATTTTCTTGTACATTCTTTTCAATTCAGTTTGTGGTAAAAAGTAGCAGTAGGTGGCATTACATGCACTGGTTCAATGTTGAATGGCATATACAGTTAAGACTTGACCATTTCTCACTTTAAATTAAGAAACATCTTTCATTAAAATTACAGGCAAATTATAATATTTTGATCTGGTTATAATGCAGATATTATTAATAACATTTGTCTAGTTAATAGCTTTAGTATTCTTTTTGTACATTTTAGGCTAAATGGGATGAGACACCAAGTAAAACTAAAGGGTCAACCACACCTGGAGCCACACCAGGTGTAAGTACCAGAATGTGGGATGCCACACCAGGGCATGCTACACCTGGAGCGGTCACACCAGGGCGTGAAACACCAGGTCATCAAAACACACCCAGTGCAAGAAGAAATAGATGGGATGAGACTCCAAGAGCTGAAGCTACACCTGGACACACAACACCTGGTGGACATCAAGCAGGATGGGCGGAGACACCTAAAACTGACAGAGGCGGAGATTTAATTGAAGACACACCCACTCCAGCAGCCAGTAAGAGGAGATCACGTTGGGATGAAACACCCGGTGCCCAGACGCCAACCATGACTCCTGGTAATATGACACCAAGTATGACACCTGGCGGACACACTCCTGGCGGTATGACACCTAGTGGCATGAGTGGCATGACAACCCCTGGTGGTGGAACACCAAGTGGGTTTACACCTGGTGGACTCACACCCGGAGGTTTTACACCCAGCGGCGTCACTCCAACTGGTTCCAAAGCTATGGCTATGGCCACACCAACACCAGGACATTTGATGTCTATGACACCTGAGCAGTTACAAGCTTACACATGGCAGAGAGAGATTGATGAGAGGAACAGACCACTAGGTGATGATGAACTGGATACTATGTTCCCACCTGGGTACAAGGTAAACACGCCTTTTACTTATTCTTGCTCCACCCTTTTATTTTGACCACTACCATTTTTCATAGACAAGTTTATATAAGGCTGTAGAGCATGTTATGAATATTGAAAATGAATTAATTGAACAGCAAACTTCTTTTATAAGAGAAAACAAGGAGTAATTTCATAAATTGACGGCATCCATATATATTTTATACAAACATCATATTCATCCAATGAATAGCTCATTACATAAATGCAGTATTATAAGTGTTGATATACATATGATTTGGATGTGCTATGTCTTATAATTCAGGTTCTGCAACCACCCACTGGTTACATCCCTATCAGAACTCCGGCCAGGAAGTTGATTGCCACGCCCACACCTATGGCAGCCACACCCCAAGGATTTAGAATGCAGACCCCAGATCACAAGACATCAGTTGTAGACATGCAGCCAAAAGGTTAGTCAAATATTGTTTTCTCTCATAATGGTTACTTACCAGGTATAAAAAAATCAAATAAGTATTTTAAGCATCAGTTTTTAAGACCCTGAAATTTTAAATACCACTGAAAATAGGGACATGTTAAATATCTAAGATATTGCTTGTTCAAAAGGTATATTTCTACTATTCACCCTAACCTTTTGTTGTTCAAATTTTGTTACAATGAAGTGGATTTTGTCAGGTAAACCATTTACCTTGTTTATACATGTATAGTAGATTAGGAAGATGTTTTCACTTAAATTCATAAAATAGTCACAAGACAAATATGGTCATGATGGTGTTCGCCAGTAGTGCAGGAAACATGCAGGGTTCAACATACTTTTTTGACCTCTAGACCAGAAGCCTAGGGATTTTACTTCACATATAAACATTGATAGACTGTATCTTAGTTTTCCTAGAAAAGATTGCTAAGTTGTAGGCCAATGATATGACATAAAAATCAAAATGAAAAATTTAAATATCTAATTTAGAGACTTACATGTATATTAGAAAAGAGCCAACAACAAAAGTATAAAAATTGGGGTAATTTTCCCTGCAGGAAATCTGCCAATGATGAAGCCGGACGACATGCAGTATTTTGACAAGCTTCTACAAGATGTTGATGAGGACACTCTGTCGCTAGAAGAACAGAAAGAACGAAAAATCATGAAACTTCTCCTCAAGATTAAAAATGGAACTCCACCAATGAGAAAGGTAGAAATGATACCATGTGACTTCTGAATTCTTGACTTTTTACATCCAAATATTTCTGCATTCTGAACACTTTCTTGGTTCCCAAAATATTGTTTCTAAGTTATATATATTTCTGAATTATGAAATTTCTGAGTTTATGATTTTTGGGAGGGGAGGGGGGGGGGGGGGGGGGCGTAAATGCAGGTTTTATCCACCATAATCTGAAATTTGCACTAAAAAAACTACAATCTTGTTGAAATGGTCACTATTTTTCAGCGATTTCTCAATTACATTTGAAAGAAATTTTTATTGCATCTGAAAAAATGTCATTAAAGGTCTACAGTAATTTTGCACCTTTAGTTATTTACTATATTTACCATTTACCATCAATTTAATGTGATAAAGATATTTGTTTGGTAAGTTTAGTTAATTTTTAGCTCGACTATTCGATAAAAGAATAAGTAGAGCTATTGCAGTCCCCGAGCGTCGGCGTCGGCGTAACCACTTATGTTAAAGTTTTTGTAATAGTTCAAATATTTTCAAAGTCCATAGACATATGGCTTTGAAACTTTGCAGACTTGTTCACCATCATGACGCCAACCTGTAGACAGGAGGAGGTAACTCTATCAAGCATTTTGACAGAATTATGCCTCTTTTTCGACTTAGAATTTATGTTAAAGTTTTTGTAATAGTTCAAATATTTTCAAAGTCCATTGACATATGGCTTTGAAACTTTGCACACTTGTTCACCATCATGACCCCAACCTGTAAACAGGAGGAGGTAACTCTATTAAGCATTTTGACAGAATTATGCCCCTTTTTCGACTTGAATTTCTGTTAAAGTTTTTGTAATAGTTCAAATATTTTCAAAGTCCATTGACATATGGCTTTGAAACTTTACACACTTGTTCACCATTATGACCCCAACCTGGAAACAGGAGGAGGTAACGCTATCAAGCATTTTGACAGAATTATGCCCCTTTTTTGACTTAGAATTTACGTTAAAGTTTTTGTAATAGTTCAAATATTTTCAAAGTCCATTGACATATGGCTTTGAAACTTTGCACACTTGTTCACCATCATGACACCAACCTGTAAACAGGAGGAGGTAACTCTATCAAGCATTTTGACAGAATTATGCCCCTTTTTCGACTTAGAATTTACGTTAAAGTTTTTGTAATACATTTTATTGTAGTTCAAATATTTTCAAAGTCCATTGACATATGGCTTTGAAACTTTGCACACTTGTTCACCATCATGACCCCAACCTGTAAACAGGAGGAAGTAACTGTATCAAGCATTTTGACAGAATTATGCCCCTTTTTTGACTTAGAATTTACATTAAAGTTTTTGTAATACCTCAAATATTTTCAAAATCCATTGACATATGGCTTTGACACTTTGCACACTTGTTCACCATCATTACCTCAACCTGTAAACAGGAGGAGGTAACTGTATCAAGCATTTTGACAGAATTATGCCCCTTTTTTGACTTAGAATTTACATTAAAGTTTTTGTAATAGTTCAAATATTTTCAAAGTCCATTGACATATGGCTTTGAAACTTTGCACACTTGTTCACCATCATGACCCCAACCTGTAAACAGGAGGAGGTAACTCTATCAAGCATTTTGACAGAATAATGCCCCTTTTTCGACTTAGAATTTACGTTAAAGCTTTTGTAATAGTTCAAATATTTTCAAAGTCCATTTACATATGGCTTTGAAACTTTGTACACTTGTTCACCATCATGACCCCAACCTGTAAACAGGAGGAGGTAACTCTATCAAGCATATTTTTTACTATCAAGCACTAAGAATAGTCGAGCGTTGCTGTCCTACCGACAGCTCTTGTTTGCCATAAATTGTTTATCTGAGACTTTTTAAGGCACTATATGGTTGGCAATACATACAGAATAGTAAATGTTCATGGAAAAGTTTTAACAGAGCTTTAAATTTTATAATTCTTTTGATTACAGGCTGCCCTTAGACAGGTAACTGACAAAGCTCGCGAGTTCGGTGCAGGGCCGTTGTTCAACCAGATCCTGCCACTTCTCATGTCGCCCACACTTGAGGATCAGGAGCGTCATTTGTTGGTGAAAGTCATTGATCGTATATTATACAAACTTGACGATCTGGTACGACCATATGTACACAAAATCCTGGTTGTCATAGAGCCGCTCTTGATTGATGAGGATTATTATGCTCGTGTTGAAGGGAGAGAAATTATATCCAATCTGGCTAAGGTATGGTTAAAATGCTCTAAAAGATTTTTCATATCAGTTTTGCAGCAGCTTTTTTAAAAAATTATCAAAACAAATCAGTTGCCCCTCAATACTGTTAGTTTGAATCTTACCAAGAACTTTGAAGAAGCTCTCCAGCTAGCTTACCATCAATTGGTGGTTATATGCAGATGCCTGCTTGTTTCAGAAATAATACACAGAGGAGATCTGATCGATAAAGCTAGAAAATCATAATTGCTGTAACTTGAAAGCCAAAAAACCCCCAAAAAACATAAAATTAGAATATTTTTGTATATAGCAATTTTTTTTTATCCCCCGCCGAAAATTTTCGGCGGAGGATATAGTAATAGTCTCCGTCCGTCCGTCCGTCCGACCTTCCGTCCGTCCGTCCTTCCGTCCGAAATTTTTGTCCGGAGCATATCTCTAAAAGTATTTGAGTTATCAACTTGAAACTTCATAGGTAGATAGACCTCATTGAGGAGGAGTGCAGTGCACAAGAATGATAACTCTACCTTGCATGATTTTTGAGTTATTGCCCTTTGTTATTTTTCAAAATTGATTTTTGTCCAGAGCATAACTCCAAAAGCCTATGAGATATTAACATGAAACTTCATAGGTGCATAGATCTCACTCAGGAGGTGTGCAGTGCACAAGAATGATAACTCTTTCTTTCATAATTTTTGAGTTATTGCCCTTTGTTATTTTTCATACCTAATTTTTCACCTGAGTGGAGCATAACTCAAAAAGTGTTTGAGATATCAACATGAAATGTCATAGAAGGATAGATCTTATTGAGGAGAAATGTATTGCGCAAGAATGATAACTCTTCCCTATACAATTTTTGAGTTATTGCCCTTTGTTGTTTTTTTCATGCTATTTTGTCCAGAGCTTATCTGAAAAAGTATTTGAGGTATCATCTTGAAACTTCATAGGTGGATGGATCTCATTGAGGAGGAGTGCAGTGCTAAAGAATGATAACTCTGCCCTGCATTATATTTGAGTTATTGCCCTTTGTTATTTTTCAAAATTACTTTTTGTCCAGAGCATAACTCAAAAAGCCTTTGAGATATCAAAATGAAACTTCATAGGTGCATAGATCTCACTCAGGAGGTGTGCACTGCACAAGAATGATAACTGTACCTTTTATAATTTTTGAGTTAACGCCCTTTGTTATTTTTCATACTTAATTTTTCAATTCAATTTTTTTCTCAAAAAGTATTTGAGGTATCAACTTGAAACTTCATACGTGGATAGATTTTACTGAGGAGGGATGCAGCACACATGGATGATAACCTACCCTGCATTATTTTTCAGTTATTGCCCTTTGTTATTTTCAGCCATCAGTATTCACATAGGTTTCAAATCTGTAATCACTATAGCCATCAGTTTTCATTACCAAAAGACCTCTTAAAATGGAATTATTCTGCTCTACTACATATACATTCTTCCAATGAGCAAACACATTCGGCGGGGGATGGCCATGTTGACATGGCTCTTGTTTAATTCAATGTTTAATAAGTGTATAATCTATAGGATTACTGAGCTGCCTTAATAAACATTATAGAATTTATTTATATCACTTCGCTTTCTTTAAAATTGGATTTGAATGCATGTTTCCTTTATGAAATATAAAGTCTTCCATGTGCTAAAGCTACCTAACTAACATTTAAATATCAGATTTTGAACTTAACCTTTGTTCATTTGCAAGTAATGGTGGTGTCACTTCGAAACCACCTTCAGTATTTATTCATTTATTATATCTAAAAGAAAAAAAAATGTAACATTTATATTAATTGGTCGGTTGTTTTCTTTCAGGCTGCTGGTTTAGCCACCATGATCTCCACAATGAGACCTGATATAGACAACATGGACGAGTATGTCCGTAACACAACAGCCCGAGCCTTCGCTGTGGTGGCCTCAGCTCTCGGCATACCATCTCTACTACCTTTCTTGAAAGCTGTGTGTAAGAGTAAGAAATCGTGGCAGGCTAGACATACCGGTATCAAGATTGTACAACAGATCGCTATCCTGATGGGATGTGCCATATTACCACATCTTAAATCACTTGTAGAAATTATTGAGCATGGTAAATTTGTTTATCCCTTATCACTCTAAATTTCTTAAATGAACTTGCCCATTATTCAATTCTGAACAAAACCATTCATCATTTTTAGCTTGTCTATTTCAAAGAAAAAGTCAAGCTATAATGATTGTTGGGTTGTTGTTGTTTTTGTGCAAAACCCATAATGAGGCCCATTATTCAAACATGTTAGAAGTTATCAGCATCAAACTTGGAATACCATCGGGCAAAATTTTGAAAGGAATATTTTTGGAATTATGTCCCTTTTTAACTTGGGATTTTTAACAGACGTGCATTAACACTGCATGCGGTGCTCTTATTTCTGTCTGTCATACTGTCAGTAACTAAACTGACAAAACAAGGAACTGTGAGGGCATTGTGTACTATTTCGATTTTTTTCTAGTTTTAAACATTGCGTTATAATATTTGAATTACCTTCAGGTCTTGTGGATGAACAACAAAAAGTAAGGACAATTACAGCTTTAGCTTTGGCTGCCCTGGCTGAGGCAGCTACTCCATATGGTATTGAGTCCTTTGACAGTGTCCTCAAGCCCTTGTGGAAGGGTATTAGACAGCATAGAGGAAAGGTATGGCTGAATTATTTCCTAAATTTTGTTTCGGCTTTACTGCTCTTATCTTTATCCTTGTTCATTGTTATTGGTAGTTTTTTCCTCAGCAAAATGAATTCTTGCCATTTACTGAACCGATGTTACATAAAGAAACTGTATTTTAAAGCATTTCTTTATGGAATTTTGCCTTCTATTTATTATGCTATGGACAAATAAAGAATTTCAAAACTACTGTTTTATATCTCGATAAGCAATTTTGGATATTTTTGAGTTATGTCAATATATATTATTGTTTTCAGGGTTTAGCTGCTTTCTTGAAAGCTATCGGTTACTTGATCCCGTTAATGGATGCCGAGTACGCTAACTACTACACGAGAGAAGTCATGTTGATTCTGATCCGAGAGTTTCAATCACCCGACGAGGAAATGAAGAAGATCGTGTTGAAAGTCGTAAAACAGTGCTGCGCAACAGATGGTGTTGAACCTCAGTACATCAAAGAAGAAATCTTGCCCCCATTTTTCAAGCATTTCTGGAACCAGAGGATGGCGCTCGACCGGAGAAATTACCGACAGGTTGTCAAGAGATACAGTATTAGATATCCCCGTTGTAAACATTTTTATCCAAAATGTCACTCGCAGTTTCAGAGAGTTATAAGAGACAATGATAGATTTTGTTGTGCTGATTTTTTTAAGAGCAATGCAAGATCCTTATTAAGTCCAAGGTTTGAGAATTTTTTGTTAGAAGAATTGAAAGCTCTTTTTGATATAATACAGATGAAAGAAAAGTGAAAATAATTTAGTGTATGTAATACAAATTAATGAAAAATGATTACTTAAAATTTTAAATTAATATTTTAAGTAAACATTTCTAAATCAAGTTAAGAGACTGGATAGTATGTTGGCAGTTATGTATTTATAATGACATTTTAAGATAATTATTAGCTCATATATTCTTGCTCAAAGATATTTTAAAAAAACCCACAAAATAATACATACTTATATATTAAAGATAGATTTTTGATGCATTGTTTAACATTTTAACAAGGGATGTATTGCAGATGAAGAGCAGTGAAGGCTGACTTCTAGATCAGACTTGTATATTGTGTTATAAAGCTTTTGCATATTTTCGTATTGAAGACATCAGAAAAACAGACTTTCCTTTATAAACAAAAAATGATAATAATTAGTAACTAAGCTATTGATCCTGTTGTAAAAATTATGCCTTTTATGTGTTATTTGCTTATATTCAAGTTACGTTTTATATAAAGGTTTAAGTAGTTTTGAATAGTACAGTTATTAACTTTACTTTTCTTACCATGTTTCATTGTTTAAATTTCTTACAGTTTGAGTATTTTTTATATTGTTTGTATGTATTGTATATTATTGAAAATAAATGAAATTAACCCAAACTTTTTTATCTTTCTCCGTGCACACACAGCTTGTGGACACAACAGTGGAGATAGCAAACAAAGTTGGTGCGGCCGAAATCATAGGACGTGTGGTTGACGACCTTAAAGATGAAGCGGAACAGTACCGTAAGATGGTAATGGAGACAATTGAGAAAGTCATGGCTAACCTTGGTGCCGCAGACATTGACTCTCGTCTTGAGGAACAGTTGATTGACGGTATCTTGTATGCCTTCCAGGAACAGACCACTGAGGTATGTCTATTTTTTATGTGAGGAAGCTGTCAAGCTATCATACGGAACGTAGGTGATTCTACTCATGTGCCCGTTTGTGCCTGAAATAATGTTTGAAGGGGCACCTGAGGTCTTCCACCAGTAAAATTGGAAAGTTGCTATATGACCTAAAATGTGTTGGTGGGACGTAAAACCCAACCAAAACGAAAAGAATGTCTACTTTTTATGTATACAAGAATGTATGGTTGAAATTCCATATTATGAATTAGTTATATTAGGGTTATTTTTAAAATATGTCTTATTTTGAAGATCAATAACACATGTAACTACTCTTTTAAAGTTGATTTAACATCACTTTAGCTTAAATTGTATTCTATTTATATGTCTTTTCTTGCCTTTTATCTAACTGTCATTTTCATATTTTCTACATAACCATATTTTACAGGATGTAGTTATGTTGAATGGTTTTGGCACAGTGGTAAATGCGTTGGGTAAGCGTGTGAAACCTTACCTGCCCCAGATCTGTGGTACAATCCTGTGGCGTCTCAACAACAAGTCGGCTAAAGTCAGACAACAGGCGGCAGATCTTATATCTAGAATCGCAATTGTCATGAAGACATGTCAAGAGGTACACCTTTACACCTAATCTGCTAAACTTGTGATATGAATTGTCCTGCTTTCAATTCGGAACAGTCCATTACAATTCTAATGAGATTTCAATAACAAAATACAAAATTGCACTACAAACAGTATAGAGTTTGGTCAGGCTTCACTGACGTGATGTGCAGGCTAGCTTGGCTCAGTACTTGCGGCAAATACTAATATGTCTTTGGTCCAGAAGGTTAAATTTAGTATGTCAGTTCTATTACTGAAGCAAAAATGTTTTTAATTTGGTATTTTAGGAGATTTGAATAAAATATTTTAAGAGTTTATTGGTGTAGTGATCAAACATTTACGATGTTACCTTGAATAGTTATAAAGATGTTCCCTTGAATGGATTGTTGTAAAGCAAGTATATTATACTGCTACATGGTTTCTGTATTAAATTGGTCACTTGTGCATAGCACTTTTTATTTGGTGGTTCTACTCGGGTGCCCGTTTGTGACTGAAATAATGCACGGGAGGGCACATGAGGTCTTCCTTCTCCAGTAAAGCTGGAATATTATCATATCACCTATACTGTACACTGTGACGTAAAACCAAATAAAAAAACAAAAACTTTTCATTTGGTGTGTAACAATAAGGAATATTTTGTTTGTTGCACTAAGTGTATAATATTTAAAGCAAAATATTCAATAGTTATTTATAAAAAAAAATAAAGAATATGTTAATGAATTGGAGGGATGAATGATTTTTTTCTGCCTGTACTGCTTGATTTTGAATAAAAGTTCATAAAGAAAGAACAACCTGTCAATAGGAATAATGAAACCGCGGAGTCAGACTCAGTCACTCTATAATGTTGGCTGACCAACTTTAAAAATCTTTGATCATGATATTTATATTTAAGGTCAATTCTATTCTAATTAAATTTCAGAGCAACAAAACTGAATAAAGTTTAATGTATGTATGTTTTTATATGTTACAGGAAAAGTTAATGGGTCATTTAGGTGTGGTCCTGTACGAGTACCTCGGAGAAGAGTACCCTGAAGTACTGGGTAGTATCCTAGGAGCCTTGAAGGCAATCGTTAATGTTATTGGTATGACCAAGATGACACCCCCCATTAAAGATCTTTTACCCAGACTAACACCTATCCTTAAAAACAGGTAAAAACTTGTGTTCTTCATAGTAATACTTTGTATAAATGATGTGATTATTGAAAGTAATTGTCCTCAGGTCTAGGGGCGGATTAAATTAATTTAATTAAGTCAAGGCAAAGTTTGATCCTAAATTTAAAATTCTAACAGAGATATTGAAGTTATCATATGATTAACCCTTTCTCTTATTAACATGAATAATTTCTAACCTGCCTGGTAGCCACTTTAGTATTAAGTGCAGAGTCATTTCACATTGTTCTGGGTGAACAGTGTTCTGGGGGGTATAATTAGTATTATTTTATTGTGACAAATTAAGTCATGGTAAAAAACTACTTTAATAGTCAAAGATGTTTATTGGTTCTAACAGGTTGTGGATTTTGCTTGAAATGCTGCCATGAGATGTTTCTTTGATCACCAGAAAACCTGGAACTGTGCCATAGAGAATTAACAACAATCTGATAATTTTGATGCTATGATATGCTTTACAGTTCTTTTTTTTCCCCACAAGTTATGCCACAAAGGAACAAAGTGGAGAGTAGCCTATATTCATAATGAAAACTTTTTGTTAATTTGAATTTGATTGTGAATGTTTATATTACAGACATGAAAAAGTACAGGAGAACTGTATTGATCTTGTTGGTCGTATAGCAGATCGTGGAGCCGAGTATGTGTCCGCTAGAGAATGGATGAGAATCTGTTTTGAACTGTTGGAACTTCTTAAAGCCCACAAGAAAGCCATCAGAAGAGCTACTGTCAACACATTTGGTTATATTGCAAAAGCTATTGGGTTAGTATGGGTTTTAATGTTTTTCATTCATTCTTCTTTTTGGTTTATACAGAATTTATTTTAGTACGATTGTGTAGGTAGCTATAAGCTTATAGACACAGTTTCGAATCCGTTCCTGGAACCAACCAGTACTGAGCAATGAGTGTAAAGTTCCTTGCTTAAGGAAACAAGGACTTGCCCCTGACAGGGTTTGAACCCATGTGGCTAGCGATCATTAGATTACTACCACTCGGCCATGCCGCCATTATTCTTTTTATAAAAAACATATCTGAAAGAAGTTTTTGAACTTATTGACTGCAATTGAGCTAAATGATGTCTAGATTTCAATTTTGTAACTTTAATTTACACTACCATATAATTTTGTTTTCGTTGATTTGACTAATAAATTTTGCAACATTGCTCCTTAAAATCAAGTATCCCTTAAGCTAAATTCCGCCCATTCAACATGTATTGTAATTAAAACTATTGATATGGCCAAAAAGAACTTTAATTTTGTTCCAGTTACCATTACTAAACTGTTTCAAAGACATAACATTTATCTTTACAACACATGCTATTCTTGCTGATTTCAAATGCCTGTTTAATAATTCAAATGTTTATTTGATTCTTGTAATGAGTATATTTTTAATGTATCAGCCTGGAATAAGATCTTAAGTTATATGATTGATGAAGAGAAAAAATATTGTCTGTTTGAAGTTATGTTTTTAGCTCACCTGTCACAAAGTGACAGGGTGAGCTTTTGTGATCGCTTTTCGTCCGGCGTCCGTCCGTCGTCCGTCCGTAAACTTTTACTTTAAATCTCCTCATAAACCACTAAGCCAATTTCATTCAAACTTCACAGGAATGTTCCTTTGGTGGTCACCTTTAAAAATTGTTCAAAGAATTTAATTCCATGCAGAACTCTGGTTGCCATGGCAACCGAAAGAAAAAACTTTAAATATCTTCTTTTAAAAAACCCTTAGAGCTAGAGCTTAGATATTTTGCATGAAACATCTTCTAGTGAGTGTCTACCAAGTTTGTTCAAATAAAATCCCTGGGGTTAGAATTGGCCCCGCCCCAGGGGGTCATTGATTTTCCCTATATGCATATAGTAAAAACTTAAAAATTCTTCTTTTAAAGAACCCAAAGAGCTAGAGCTAAGATATTCAGCATGAAACATCTTCTAATGAGTGTGTACCAAGTTTGTTCAAATAATAGCCCTTGGGTCAAAATTGTCCCCGCCCCAGGGGGTCATTGATTTTCCCTATATGCATATAGTAAAAACTTACAAAATCTTCTTTGAAAGAACTCAAAGAGCTAGAGCTAAGATATTCAGCATGAAACATCTTCTAATGGGTGTCTACCAAGTTTGTTCAAATAATAGCCCTGGGGTCAAAATTGGCCCCGCCCCGGGGTCATTGATTTTCCTTATATGTGTATAGCAAAAACTTAAATAATCTTCTTTGAAAAAAACCCAAATAGCTAGAGTTTAGATATTAAGCATGAAACTTCTTCTAGTGTGTGTCTCCAAAGTTTGTTCAAATAAAAGCCCTGGGGTGAAAATTGGCCCGCCCCCAGGGGGCATTTATTTTGCCTATATGCACATAGTAAAAACTTAAAAAATCTTCTTTGAAAAACCCAAATAGCTAGAGTTTAAATATTAAGCATAAAACATCTTCTAGTAAGTGTCTACAAAGTTTGTTCAAATAAAAGCCCTTGGATCAAAACTGGCCCCGCCCAAGGGGTGTCATTGTTTTTAACTATATGTGTGTAGTAAAAACTTAAAAAGCTTCTTTTTTAAAAAACCCAATGAGCGAGAGCTTAGATGTTTAGCATGAAATATCTTCTTATGGATGTCTACCAAGTTTGTTCAAATAAAAGCCCTTGGTTGAAAATTGACCCTGCGGGGGGGGGGGGGGGGGTGAGAACATTGTTTTTCATTACATGTGTGTAGTAAAAACAAACTTAACATTGTGTAACATCTTCTAATGAGTGTCTTCAAAGTTTGTTCAAATAAAAGCCCTGGGGTTTAAACTGGCCCCGCTCCGGGGGCCTTTATACAGGTGAGCGACCTCAGGGCCATCATGGCCCTCTTGTTATATTTTATTCTACACAGAATAAAACAAATGCATTCAATTAATGAGAAAAATGTAGAAATGCATATTGTTATATTAAAGTATTATAAATATTGAATTATTCTCCATTCCAGTCCACATGACGTGTTAGCCACATTACTTAACAATCTTAAGGTACAGGAACGACAGAATCGTGTGTGTACAACAGTTGCCATAGCAATTGTAGCAGAAACATGTTCACCGTTCACAGTGCTACCTGCTTTAATGAATGAATATCGTGTACCTGAACTGAACGTACAAAATGGTGTGCTTAAATCTCTATCTTTTATGTTTGAATATATTGGTGAAATGGGAAAAGACTATATTTATGCTGTAACACCTTTATTGGAGGACGCCTTAATGGACAGGTAAGTGATGTTGAAAATTATCTCCTAATTATGCCCCCATTTCGAAGAAAAGGGGGTATATTGCTTTGCACTTGTCGGTCCGTCGGTCTGTCGGTCCGTCGGTCCATAGACCAAATGGTTTCCGAGTGATAACTAAAGAACCCTTAGGCCTAGGAACTTCAAACTTGGTATGGTGATTGATCATGACCAGTAGATGACCCCTATTGATTTTGGGGTCAAGGGGTCAAAGGTCAAGGTCACATTGACCTTGAAAGCAAAAACGGTTTCCGATCAATAACTAAAGAATCTTAAGGCCTAGGAACTTCAAACTTGGTATGGTGATTGGTCATGACCAGTAGATGACCCCTATTGATTTTGGGGTCAAAGGTCAAGGTCACATTGACCTTGAAAGCAAAAACGGTTTCCGATCAATAACTAAAGAACCTTAAGGCCTAGGAACTTCAAACTTGGTATGGTGATTGGTCATGATCAGTAGATGACCCCTATTGATTTTGGGGTCAAGGGGTCAAAGGTCAAGGTCACATTGACCTTGTAAGCAAAAACGGTTTCCGATCAATAACTAAAGAACCTTAAGGCCTAGGAACTTCAAACTTGGTATGGTGATTGGTCATGATCAGTAGATGACCCCTATTGATTTTGGGGTCAAGGGGTCAAAGGTCAAGGTCACATTGACCTTGAAAGCAAAAACGGTTTCAGATCATTAACTAAAGAACCTTAAGGCCTAGGAACTTCAAACTTGGTATGGTGATTGGTCATGATCAGTAGATGACCCCTATTGATTTTGGGGTCAAGGGGTCAAAGGTCAAGGTCACATTGACCTTGTAGGTAAAAACGGTTTCCAATCAATAACTAAAGAACCTTAAGGCCTAGGAACTTCAAACTTTGTATGATGATTGGTCGTGACCAGCAGATGACCCCTATTGAGTTTTGGGTCAAGAGGTCAAAGGTCAAGGTCATGACCAGTAGATACTTTATAACCCTTATTAATTGTTTGATCACTGGGTCAGAAGTCATGCATAATAACCTTATCACATGACTAATTGGCTGCTGATAGGGGGCATACATGTTTTACAAACATATCTTGTTTATTTAGTGTCAGTCATTTTTTTGGGCGATTGGGAACCAAACTTCCCTTTTCTTTTAATGCCATAATCACTCCTGTTTAAACACATCTAAGAAATAACTTTTTATGAAAATAAAAAATAATTTTATGTTGAAATCTGTATTTTAATGTTTGAGTGTTGAATTTTACTGCAGCCTGTTCTTTTTAGAGGCATTCTTTAGTTTTGATTTTATCAGTTTATTTTCTGTAGTCTTCAGGAATAAAACACATGTTGCCAGCAAATAAATGACTACAACACAGGTGATTTGTTTTGTCCTACTTTACAATTAAAACTTGGAGGTCACTTAATGATCTTAATAGTGCTTTTCTAAATAAGAGTCTAAGACAGTATTGTTAAAATAATTTTAGCTCTATTAACATAATGGAGTATATGTGCAAAGAATATTGATATGTTTACAGAGATCTGGTACACAGACAAACTTCAATGTCAGCAATACAGCACATGGCACTGGGTGTGTTTGGTTTTGGGTGCGAGGATGCACTGGTCCATTTACTGAACTACGTCTGGCCAAATGTATTCGAAACCTCCCCCCATGTGGTTCAGGCTTTCATGGGTGCAATAGAGGGAATGAGAGTTGGTATCGGACCTTCAAAAGTATTGCAGTATGCGTTACAGGTAAATTATAAATATATTTATTATCTTGATAACAAAATATCTTTGTTGCCAAGTTTTCAAGGTTGCTCCACTTCTTTGGTAATGTTTTATGTTCCAATGCCTTCATGTATAGAAACACTTAAGAAAAAAAAAAGAATAGGAACCACAATATGCGTTTGAATGTATCAAGTATCCCATCGAAGTCGTAAGAGGCGACTAAATGAGTTCAAACTACTGGAGTCTATGCATCTCTTAACTTCAGCAGGTGAGGTGGTTTTGACCCCTGATGGTAACACCTGAGGTTAGTATAATCTGCAGAAAAAAGATAATAATTTACAGTTTAAAAAAAAGAGTTAGTATGCTACTGTGATTTAAAACCAAACATGTACTTCAGTCAGAACATGATTGTGTATTCTTAACTCTGTAGTAACATTAGTTTGGTCTCATCCAAAATATGCTTGTGTTCTTTTGTCAGTGGTTTAATATACAGTCAGTATAAATGTTTTTAAAACTGAATTACTTAATGCTAAATGTAAAATGACAAAAAATGTGAGATGGTATATATCATGACATTTTTTAAGCTCAACACATTTACAGTATAATGTTAATATTTGTTATGATTATTTTATATGTATATTTATTATAATTATTTGTCTTTTCAGGGCCTGTTTCATCCAGCACGAAAGGTTCGAGATGTTTATTGGAAAGTTTATAATACTGTATATATTGGAGCTCAGGATGGAATGATACCAGCATATCCCAGAGTTCCTAATGATGCTAAAAATAACTTTCTCAGATACGAACTGGACTATGTATTGTGATCATTCAATTTTGACAAAGTCATTGTGAAACTCATTGATCATATTGTAAAAATGTGGGCGTGTTTTGTTCTTATTATTTTCATAAAATGGAGGTGGAGCAAATATGGAGGCGTGTTTTTTTTGTGTGAAATGAATGCTAATGTGCATCTTTGATTTTAAGCCTAGAAAATGTACTGAAAAAAGTGAAGCGCAAAAATTTAGTTCTAATTGCAGAAGCACATATATATATAACGAGAATAAGGTTAAGAATATTCATTGCTCATGGTGACAAAATCTATAAAACAAATTGAGATGAATGTTTATTGATACTTACAGATACTTTAATTTAATGACCAAAAAAAATCAAAATTCTCATTTACCATGATACTTTTAAACATGACTGATTTTTATTTTCGGAAAGTATACTTCAAGACGAAAATATTTAACATTTACTATATGTAGAATAATATTGTGTTACATCACTCATTGGCCTTTTTCAGTGTTTTTGTTACTAAATTCCAAAATTACAAAAAGTCAAACAAAGGGAAGCAAGAACAATACTTGATTTTTGAAGAAGAAACTCATTTCTGCCATCATTCTCTATAGATAAACTGTTGGTCAATAAACATCAGTCTTACGCAATTAGTTGTTGAATTTAGCAGGAAACTCAAATGTACATTTAATAATTAAAATTGTACTGATTTACTTTGAAGATCTTGATGTTAGTTGACTTTTTTACCAACTATCTTAGATCCATACAAATTACAACAATATTAGCCATAAGACAAAGCTTTGGGGACTAAGTCTAAGGCTTATTATACATGTATCTTTGGCATAATTAGTTCTTAACATTTATAAAGTTACAAAAAGGAATATAGTTAATCCTCATTGTGCCAATGATTCCATTCCTCAACCTTGTAGGACAATCTGTTATTATTTCTAACTTATATTCCATTTCACTGAATTATGAATTTAGTTTTGTCCAATGTCATTTACAGATAAATGATGTAATATTGGGCCAGGTAAAAGTTAATCTTTGAATTATGGAATATGCTCTTTAAAATTCTCAATCATGAATAAACATTACAGAAGCATCATTAGTTTTATTTTTATTAAAACTATAGCAGATTTGTTTGATTCTACATAAAGCAGTTATAAGGCATGTGCATTTTCAGCTCGACTATTCAATAAGAATAAGTAGAGCTATTGCAGTCACCCGAGCGTCGGCGTAACCACTTATGTTAAAGTTTTTGTAATAGTTCAAATATTTTCAAAGTCCATAGACATATGGCTTTGAAACTTTGCACACTTGTTCACCATCATGACCCCAACCTGTAGACAGGAGGAGGTAACTCTATCAAGCATTTTGACAGAATTATGCCCCTTTTTCGACTTAGAATTTACGTTAAAGTTTTTGTAATAGTTCAAATATTTTCAAAGTCCATTGACATATGACTTTGAAACTTTGCACACTTGTTCAACATCATGACCCCAACCGGTAAACTGGAGGAGGTAACTCTATCAAGCATTTTGACAAAATTATGCCCCTTTTTCGACTTAGAATTTACGTTAAAGTTTTTGTAATAGTTCAAATATTTTCAAAGTCCATTGACATATGGCTTTGAAACTTTGCACACTTGTTCACCATCATGACCCCAACCTGGAAACAGGAGGAGGTAACTCTATCAAGCATTTTGACAGAATTATGCCCCTTTTTCGACTTAGAATTTACGTTAAAGTTTTTGTAATAGTTCAAATATTTTCAAAGTCCATTGACATATGGCTTTGAAACTTTGCACACTTGTTCACCATCTTGACCCCAACCTGTAAACAGGAGGAGGTAACTCTATCAAGCATTTTTTTTACTATCAAGCACTAAGAATAGTCGAGCGTTGCTGTCCTACCGACAGCTCTTGTTTAAACGCCCGAAAGAATTTTGCGTATATTGTTATGCATCTGGTTGTCCGTCTGCTACCAATTTTGTGTCTAGTCTGTTTATTTGAATGATGGAAGGAAATCAAAATTCTTGGAAGAAATATTACCGAATTGAGACGATATGCAGAGCACAGGTTTGACCATCCTCCAGTCAAGTCACACTTGGGCATTATATGTGGATTTAAAATTTCGTTTCCGCTCTATCTTTTGAACCGATGAAATGTTAACCATAATGAGATGAAGTGCAGAACGCAATAGAAAGTTGTAGGGTCTAAACCTTCCAGACAGAATAAACACAGTTTTAACCTTTCAATTTAATGTATTATGGGTAGAATCTGATTATACTCTACATAAATGACTCATATAATATTACAAACATTGCTATAATATTTCAAAGAGTAGCTGAAACTACTCGGAAAAAAATATTTGCTTAATATGTATATCCTCTCATCAAATACACGGCATCAGTTACCATACATGTATATTATATACTATTTGGTAAGTCATTCCAATCTTAAATGGGGTTAAAGAGTCGATCTGTGATATTAACGACTAAGCTGGCAGTGTGAGGACAGTTTTGTCTTGCAATTAGATAAGTCACCGATATCTCCAGCGAATGACATTATAATAGGTTCCATAGCGTCATACTTATATCTTCAAGCAGTAAACATCTCTAATCAAACACGTAGAAGTCACTACGTCCTCATAAGCTAATTTCCGTCGCGACGGCATTACCGCACTACAATCTGATCACAATCAATACTGTCGCATGTCACCGTTAACGGTAATCTTCAAACATGAATACGCCCAACACGTACGTCGGATGATATTAACAACTCAGATTACGTCCAATTTCAATGATTGTATAGCAAATACGGATTTTTTCTGAAACGCATGACGTCACAAACGGCAAGCACCATTGACTGTAGACTGTGAAATCAAACTGTAAATGCAACTTCTATAAAGTTAATGTTATTACTTGTTCTAATTACTTTTCTCTATGTATGACATCACCAGTTTATAGCGTGTTTGGATTATCATTACCAGTTTTATGGTATTTTTTTTGAGAGAAATGAGATACATGTATCCGTTTTACCGTTATGCCAAAAATGTTCTTACGTCATTTACTTTTTTTTATATATTCAAAATTCTCTATCTTGGTGAAGATATACTGCATTTATCTATAAGTCATAACGAATGTAGCATTATATGGATAACTATATGTATATATGGATAACTCGTGTCTATCTGTTACTCATTGATGTATTATATCGGGGCGGGGAAACCAGACTGACATTTACGTAAAATAGATAAGAACGTCCAAAATTGCTTGAATTCCATTCTCACGTTGTCGGTACCTTTCGTGACCGCTTTATCGTAATCAAATTTGTTAATGACTGTTAATAAGGACTGTCTTTGTAGCGTATTCAAATAATGAAGTTTCTGCACATGTTTTAGTAATGGATTTCTGTGAAGTACCGATTCCATAGTTTTAGAATCCCAGAATGCCTGTCACTTAGTAATGTTTTCGGAGAACACAACTTAAGATTCTTGAGGAACGAATTTTGTTTTTCTCGTTTAGGGCACTCGCATTACGTTACTTGTGGACCATTCGCCGCTTTTCATAGAATTATAAGAATGTTACACATTGAAGGATCGTTAGAACATTTGCATGATATTAAACCATTATTTTGTTTAAATGTTGAATACTGCTGAAGCCAGTTTTACAGAGCATGAACGGTAGCTTTCAATTTTGCGATACAACAGCATGATTCAAGAATACCTAAAGATAAAATAAATATTTTCATAAGTTCACAATACAGATATTAACGCTCTTGCATCATCCAGTAAAGGTGGTACTAGCAAAAAAAGTTGGGTTTTTTTATTTTTTTTTTCAGCAGTTTAAAAGTTATGGAGCGGACATGACACAAAAGTGTTACGGACAACAGATGGACAGACGGGCCAACATTTGGGGTTTTATGTGCCCTTTCTTTGATCTTTATGTGGCATTTTCCCCCATAAACCAGTAAAATTACCACATAAACCAGTCGGTTTATGGGATTTCCTTTTTTTTAACTAAAATTTTGGACGGAATGAAGCTCATAGACCATTGAATGTTCGCCCAGACAGACGGACGGACAAACTGACAGACGGAGGTCATTCCTATTATCCCCTCCCATCTATGCGGCAGGGGATTAAATAAAGATGTAGATATTGTCAACAACAACAGAAATATATTTTTTTCGTGAAATTCTAGATCTATCCTTATATGGAATTAGACAATAATTTTTGCCGATTTAAACAAAACATTTGTAACGTATTTACGTGCATAGCTGTTTTATTTAACTAGTATTCAGTTAAATAAATCTATAGCACTTGTTATAAAATACATCAGGACAAACGTCGTATTGATTTGTGAAATGATGCCACCATGGTACTTATTTTCATTGCCGAAGTACCAGTTTCATTGACCCTATATATGTTAAAGAATAGTTCTACCACAATGATTTAAACTATCAAAGGTGACCTACTTTTATTTTGGATTCCAATAAAGTTACCTTTTCCGATAGGGAATGACATAGAGTATCAACTAAATATTTTTCATGAATTTTTCATACCAACTTTTATTTGATTTACAGAATGGTATTCAATGAGCCCTTTTTCAGTGGCCCCTTTCTAAATACCGAGCAATAGGAAATAGTAATACAAATTATGAGATAACCTATTTTAAGTTTAAACATGTGTCACGATAAAAAGGGGTTTGCAAGCGAATTAGACGTTAACTTAATGCACTCAATTTACTTAACGCCAGGATGGATCGAATTGCAACAATGTTCACTGTCTTTTTACTTTTTTGGAACTATTTCGAAGTACAGTCTTTTCTAACAAGGTATGTTTCTTTCTTTCTTTGCTTTCACATGTTTATGTGTGTCGAAATATATACGAGTACAAGCAGCAACATCTAAAAATTTAAAACTGCTAACTCTTTGCTTAAATTTCAGCGATTGTACTGCAATTGATGATTGTTTTAATAAACTCTTACAGAATCTGAATAAACCAACAATTCAAGGAGTCCTAAATAGCAGCAAGAAAGCTTTATTCAATTTTGAGATCATTGTTTCTATTATCCGAGATCATTGATTGTAACTGTTTAAGGGCATTTGCAGCTTTCTTCGTAAGGGACGTCCGTGTTCGAGTTGTTAAGGTCGTTGACAAACCATTTGCCCCTAACCGCTTTGGGCTCAAATCCCGACAGGGACTTTAGATCCTTATTGTGAATAAACTATCCAGTTAGCTTACGGAACGTCGGTGGTTCTACTCAGGTACACGATACTGCATGGAAGGGCACTTAAGGTATCTGTCCTGGAAAGTCGCTATATGACTTATATTGTATTAGTGCGATGTAAACCCCAAGAAAAACTTTAATTGTAACTAGAGAATTTCTGTTAATCAATTTCAGGAGTCAACTCCTTACCAATTTAACAAATAGTGAGACTTACGATCGATGTTTCTCAGCGGATTATGACAAAGGTATGTTCTTTATTGTATTGACTTTACTAGCTGAGATATTTTGATACACTTTTTTGAGTCAGTCTTTTCGCGTTATCATTCAGGGTTTTTTTGTGTGTGAAAAATGGGACTTCAAAATATTTTTTCGAGACTTTTATATTATTTTATAGAAGTCTATAACAATAAGATTGTGTGCTTACTGATAAGAGTTTTCAGATGAAACAAAATTGTGTGCTAAAGTTCACATTATTCACACACCTCAGTTGTTTTTCAGTTTTGTCATTTTTATGTGTTGTTATAATGATTTATGTATTTATATGTATATTTATATTCTAATATTGTGATATAGATTTTTCATCTCTTATAACTCCATGCTTGAATAGCATTCTGATAACATCGTGTATATGTCTATACAATGATGAGATGTAAATGAAGATCACTACTACTGCTGCTGCTACTGACTACTGCTACTGACTACTGCCACTGCTGCTGCTACTGACTACTGCTACTGACTACTGCTACTCTGAGTACTGCTGCTGCTACTGACTACTGCTACTGACTACTGCCACTGACTACTGCTACTGACTACTGCTACTGACTACTGCTACTGACTATTGCTACTGACTACTGCTACTGACTTCTGACACTGCTGCTTCCACTGAATACTGACACTGCTGCTACTACTGACAAATGCTACTGCTGCTACTGCTGACTGACTACTGCTACTAACTACTGCTACTGACTACTAACTACTGCTACTGACTTCTCCTACTGACTACTGCTACTCTGAGTACTGCTGCTGCTACTGACTACTGCTACTGACTACTGCCACTGACTACTGCTACTGACTACTGCTACTGACTACTGACTACTGCTACTGACTACTGCTACTGACTACTGCTACTGACTACTGCTACTGACTACTGTTACTGTTTACTGCTACTGACTTTTGCTGATGCTACTGACTACTGCTACTGACTTCTGACACTGCTGCTTCCATTGAATACTGACACTGCTGCTACTACTGACAAATGCTACTGCTGCTACTGCTGACTGACTACTGCTACTAACTACTGCTACTGCTACTGACTACTAACTACTGCTACTGACTTCTCCTACTGACTTCTGCTACTCAATACTGCTACTCTGACTTTTGCTACTGCTTACTGACTACTGCTACTGACTACTGCTACTGACTTCTGACTACTGCTACTGACTTCTGCTTCTGCTACTACTACTACTACTACTACTACTACTACTGCTACTACTACTGTTTCTCCTTACTTATACTTCGTGCCCGAGTGGTTAAGTTTTATTACTTTGAACCACTTGCCTTTCACAGCTGTGTATTCGAATCCAGCATTGGACTTTGTATTCTTTTATGTGAGTAAGCTATCAAGCTTTTTTAGGGAAGGTCAAAAGTTATACTCAGTTCCTGCTCTGGTCTTAAATAATGCTCCCGAGGTAATCCTCCACAATAAAAGTTGGCATGTTGCAAAATGGCATTATCATTGCCAGTGTACCAAACTAGAAACTTTTTTAAATTGACATTTCAATTTTCATGTCTCTTCATTGAACTTTCGTATTTCTATTAAATTGATAAATCATATGTGTACCTATCTGCTCGGTGTAATATAGTACTAAAATGTTAAAGTGCCAACTTTTGTAGTCTGTAATTATTATTGTTTAGGTAAACACATTGAACAGTTTATGATAAATTAAGTTTCGATTGTATTGCTTATTTGACAAAACCGATGAATTAGTCATCTGTGTCGAATAAATGAACTTAAACATACGTGTAAAAGTATCAAAGCGGGAAAATGTAATTCGTAAATTGTCAAAAAAAAAAATGTAACACTGTAATAACTTTTGTTATTTTCTTAAGGCTGCATGTAAAAAGTTTCAATATTCTGTATGGTGTCCAAGGGCATAAATTACAGCCTGACACGGTAAATGAGCTAATTGATCTGAAATTGTGGAATTCTGTGCAATTCCTCTTGTAAGGTAGTACAAAGTTTTGCAAGAGTGACCGACTGCACCGGGCAGCAAGAATGACCCTCGAAAGTATGTCCCATATAAGATTAATCGGATTAAGGTCTGGCAAAGGCCGAGACAAGAGCAAGGTATTGGCTAGTGAGGCAGGCATTATCAAAATTATCTGTATCATCATCCTTATCATCATAATCATCAAATTTCAAACGGCATTCATAATCAGTTTTATCGTTACTACGCAAAAAATTATAACAATCACCTCCAACATCAAAAATTTCATTATCATCAAATTAAATTACTAAATTATAAGTATTTTAGATTTCATCATCATTGTCGTTGCAAAATTATATAGATGCAGTGATGATGATATTGATGTTGACGATGATGTGAACTTCATAATTTTTAATGTGATAATGGTTAGGATGATGACGATTATAATCCAACATTTTCTTGGCGATGAGGGGGAATCCGCCCCACTAAAACCCCGAAAACAGAAGGGGACACATCCCCCTTCTGGCAACCTCCTGATGAAACATTTGGGTGGGGGACGGCGCCGAAAAAGTGGTCACTTTTTTAAACAACATTTCTCAAACGAAAAACAGTGTTTGGGGCCTAAATATGGCATTTTTTCACTGTTTGAGTTTAATGATGAAGATAGACGTGATGATGATTTCAATTATAATGATGGCGGAGATGATGGTTACTGAAATGCTGATTAAGATTATAATGATGATGATGAACAGCTAAATGCGTTACGACAGCAGGTACAGCTCTCCGAAGCTATATTCTTCAAGAGCTATTGGCGCGTCACAAAACTTTCTGATTTAGGTTATTCACGATATAATATCCACTTAAACAGGATCATTCACTAAAAAAGAGTTTCGATCTCACAGTGATAAATATTATCAAAATGGACCATACATGAATACAAAAATGTTATAATGCACCGAAAGACTTTATTTAAGTACCTTTTTATCTTGTACAGAGGTATTGTAGCGCGATACAAGGACGAAACTTAAAGACATTCAAGTGTTTTTCAAACACAGTAATACAAAAAAACGATAACATGAAAATTTGTCCTCTCAATCATCGATACAGTTATAAATACTTGACCGTAAAATCCATGATAGGCCTACTAAAAATGGATATAAATAGGTCTTCAGTTGGTGACTGAATGATTTCCCTCCGTTAAACCCACTATACTTGAAATCATTCACACACATTATTTACATTTACTGTTTAAAGCATCTGAGCTATTTTATAGTAACACGTCCTTATTCATTTCTTATAGGACATTGTTATAAAAATATGTATTAATTCTTTTCAGACATACCTACTGCGGTTGTTGTTCAACTAGATGTATCAGAAGTGACTTCAATTGATGAACAAAAAATGGTAAAATAGCCTATATATTTAGCTTAGAGTTTGTTCTTTACAAACACGCGTATTTTCTTTTGTTTTTAACTTGATTTTAATGGTGTCCTGATCCCCTGCCAGGAAAGGAAATTAAATAAATGGGATTATTGGGATGGTTTTTATCAAGGCTGAAATTGACACCCCCTAGATGCCATTAGCGTGGTAACTCGTGTGTTGGCCTTTCTTCTATCATTGTTTGATGGGATAATAAAGACATCTTGACAACGTCTGGTAAAGGCATGTCGACATTTACTTTGACCATTATGGTGTTGATGAGAATCTTGTATACCACATGCATATCTAAGCAAGCATTGAAATGCGCATACGGCACAGCCTGAACGTTATCACAACGTCATAACCGTTGACATCTAAACATACTCAAATGTTTTCAAAGTACTTGCCGCTGTACTCAAGATAAGGTCGATGCTTTAAAACCCACTGGGTGAATAATTATGTATTTAAACTATAAGGGTTCCTATTTGTTGGAAAATTTCCGGATGCCGTTCACCGTTAGTGTGCTAAAAACTATAACCTATGACTATTGAACTTTTGTTTGATTTAATTGTAGGAAGGGGGATAAAAACATACGCATCTTAAAGTTGTAGGCATAAAGTGTGTTTTATTTTTTACATCATTTAATTAGAGAAAGATGTGTATGGTAATACTAGGTATTTGAAAAACAATATACTAGTATTTGAAAAGTAGTTTTTATTTACCGTAACTTACTATTACTAGATTAGAAAGCAAATGATTCCATCGACTTGGAATCATTTCAATTTTGGATAGATAAAGTAATTGCTTTAAACAAATCTTATATATATGTAATTCATCGATTAGAATTTATTTTAAAAATCATGTTAAAATTTCTGCAATGCCGCACATGACAGCACTTTTGTCATTTTCATGTTCTACAGCCACTGAGAACGTAAACGCGCATTCTTCTATCCCGCCAACGATATTTAGTTCAATTGTATAGGAAAATGTCTTTACCACTCAAAACCTTTTTGTTTGACGAACAAGATACTTGTTTTTTATTTCTTTTATTATATAAGATGTTTCTGAATATTATTATGAGAACAATTTGCAAATGTTTATGAAAGTGCCGTTTTAGACGCCCCAATGACGAAGTTTTCGAATAAATAAACGTTGGAACTACAAAGCGTTTAAGTAATAAAATGTTTAAATGACATGTTTTCTGTTTAACACTAACCTCCGGCTAATTTTTGACAAGTACTCCATTTTTGTATTAGACACATTGGAGCTCTATAAATGTCACCGAATGTCTCGTTTTTGAGCTGCGCTGTTGTGGCGTTTCCATGGTTATTTAAGGTGACCCGAGATGGTACTGGATACAATTGAATAAATCTTTTTTTGCAATTAAATAAATGAAACATAAAATTTTGCGCAAATATTAATCTAATGAAATTTATAAGAATCATAAACAAATTCCGCTAATTCTGGATCAACCCTCGAATCTACATTGAATTTTGTACATGCGTAATTAGTTATTCATCTAACTAGCATAAATACAAGAAAACATACTTCATTCTATTATATTATATGCGATATACAGTTATCATTAGAAGGACGTTTGGAACTTTGGATACATTTGGAAGGACATTTCAATTAACAGCCAAATATACTATTCTATGGAGGGCGTTTGGTGCCAAAATTACAGACATGTAAAGTCATTTAATAGCAAGTTTCTAATAACAAGTTGACCCTAGAAAAAAAATACATGTTCGTATCTTCCGTTATATATGATACATAAACAAGTTGATATCCATTTGAACTTGAGGCAAGAAAAATATATAAACGACTGAAATGAAAAACTCGAATACTAAAATGGTGTTTCAATAACGTGTTTACAGTTGTAGAGCTACAAGAATACGTATTCAAAGTAAAATGTTTCAAAAAACAAAAGTAGATTCACAAAATTAAACGAATTTAAGTCATTCATGACGCCCCGCCCTTCTTTGACAGAGTATTTACAGAAATCAGCGGACAAGTTAAACACTCGGCATCTCTCCCTTATTTGTCAATAAAACTGAAGGAAAATTATGGTGTCTGATTTGCGCCATTCGTGTTTTCGCCCCACAACCCCGCCAAGCAAAAAGTCGAAAATTAACAAATTAAAATGGCAGGGGCGCGCAGCGAAAACTCGCTTATTAGCGAGGGCGTGGGGCGAAGTTTAATAAAAAAAAACCTTCGCGCGGAGCGAGATTTAAGAAATAAAACGGCGGGGTCAATTAAACTTCGCCCCGCGACCCCGCTAATTAGCGTATTTTCGTCCCGCGACCCCGCCAAGCGAAAAGTCGATAATTTACATGTTAAAATGGCGGTGGCACGGAGCGAAAACACGCTAATTAGCGTGTTTTCGTCCCACAAATCAGCCACCATAGAAAATAAAGCGAAAACATCCATTTTTAAGATGAAGATCGTGACTACTGTTTAAGGCTGCAATGAAGCAGTAAAAAACAGAAAAAATTGCCTAAGTATCTTTTTGCACATGTATTTAAAGGAATACAGTGTGCTGATGTTTGTACGAATGCAGTGGGAAGATAGAAGACTTGCTTTTTATGATATCGCTAATTTCACTCGCCTCGAGTTAACCGGAGATATGGTCGACATGATTTGGACACCTGATGTGTACGCAAGCAATGAAAGAAAAATTGATTCTCATTCTTTTGTGAAGCACCGAGAAGAGCTCGCCTACATCGATCCTAATGGAACGGTGTCTGTCAGTATGAGGTAGAATGAATTTTGGTATTTACTTCAACTGAATAATCTATAATTTATAAATATCTTTCATTATTATTTTTGCTTTAACTTTTTATCAAATGGTGTAATTACCGTTTAATCAATAAAGATAATTTTAATACGAGAATATTTATAGACCTGCAGTCATATGCTTAGAAGAAAACAGAAAACACAAACATAACAAAATTTCTTCAAAGTGTAATAGGTTATATAAAGAACCGATAAAATAATACGTTTCTTCCAGGCATATATTTAAAATCGTGCGCATGATGAAAATATTTGACGATGTTTTTGGTGTCAAATTAATAAGATATGTTCTTCTTTCTACAGAATTTCGATGACTAGTTACTGCCTTATGGAATTAGATAAATATCCATTTGATACACAAACATGCACAGTGAAGTTGCAAAGTTGTGAGTACATCTAAATCTGTTACGTTTACACATGCAGTCACTCACTTGAAGTGCATAATGTATTTTGTCTGCAATGAAAACCTTTGTCTTTAACAATTGTACTATTGTATCAAAGTTTAGTGTACTAAAGTAAATAACCACTTTTCGATATTGACAGAAGTCTTCTTGTCAAGTAAATGCAAATGCTTATCTTTGCCAACCTTTGTCAGCAGCATGTGTTATAAAAATAATTTTTTCATCTATTGTTGATTTATTTCTATTGTATAAAGACGCATTTACGTCAGACAAACTCATGTTACAATGTTCCGAGCATGGTGTGATTGAGAAAAACTTTGATTTGGCAAATTATGATGTAGATGTCAAAGAGTGTAAAAACGATGTTGATAAAGATGATAGGAGGTCACTTGTAGGTAAATATCTTGATCATATAACAACATTTTTAATTTTTGTAAAGTTGTGTAAATACATTCAGTTTGTAAACGCTTGTAAATGAGGGATTTTTGAAATGTAAGCACAGAGCACACTACAATCAGCAACACTATCAATAACAATACAAGAATGATAATAATCATTATAAAAACATGATGATAAGTTATGAAAGATAAACAAATAACCGTTTATTTGGATTAAGTTAACTATTCCAATATAGTTAAAAGTCGAGGGACTTGAGCTTAATCAACATTATCATATTTTCTATAATTTTATATATTTTGGTGACTTTTTTCATTTTCAGCGGGACAGTTTTCCTACGTATCAGGGAATGTAATATTTAAAAGGAAGCCTTCATCATATGTGTCCATGTACTTTATCCCATTCCCAATGTATTTTGTGCTCGCTTTATTCTCCTTTTGGTTCGTGGAGATAGGTACTCGCATCACTTTATGTACTGGTGGAATCATGGCAACTGTGCTACAATGGATCGCGATATACTCACGATTGCCACCTGTCTGGTACTTTACATATCTTGACGGTTGGATTTTGCACCACATACTCATCGTTTGGGTTATTCTGATAGTTCATGTGTTTAGATACACATGTACATGTGCATGTGGAAGAGAGGTTTGTTTATTTCATTCTTCACATTTCATATTAATGTAAACTGTCACGCCACTTTAAAATCTAACTGTTTTTCTAAAACAGCGCATATTTCAGTATCAATACAATTAGATATTCAGGGATAACTATATATAGTTGATTTAAATCGATAATCATAACAATTTGTAATTAATATAAATAAGCAGAATGCTGTGATAATTTATCAAGTACAGTACAGCTTCTGACGAACATCTCCTTTTGCGAAACAATTATCTATTGATGAGAGGTGTTGAATTGGAGAGGTTTAATTCATTGTGGCGTCAAAATTGATACCTTTGTTGTAATATTTTCAAATGTTTATATTTATTCATTTTGCTTTACGTTTGACAGGACCAAGAGGAAGAAAGGGTAGGTCAAATAAACTTTTGCTTTGTTTATATTTATATAGTATACTCTTTACGTGATTCTAATAAGAACATGCTCTTGTGAGATTACAATGGTGTTATGATTCTGCAAGTTAAACACAAGACTCTGGTTTTGACCTGGTTGTAATTTAAGAAACCACTGCAAATATATCAACTATTAATATTGCACTTTATTACAAATATGTAAAATACTGTAAAATATATCTAATATAAATACATTCATCTGTAATAATTATCGTCAATACCAAGTCATCATCGATTTATAGACATGTACACCTTACAAAACGTTAGTTAACTCGTTAAATCATAAGATGAATTTGCTCCCAGATAAAGGGTGCTCATAATTTCCATTCTGAATGCACCTAATTATACCATATGTTTATTTTGAGTATATAGAACAGAACAGAACAGAACATATATTTAAATTAAAGACTTGTACGTGGTTCATCATCTTACAATTTGTACAATTCAAATATACTATACAATAATCACATGACATTAAAAGTACATAAATATAGCTATAGACCTTAACATACATACTATTAACAATGAAAATATAGTTAGAGAATACAACATGAAATATTCTGTTTACTTCCTACATAGAGGATTAACCATTCATTATTACATATTATAAGACATGGATGTTCTATTAGCCATAGCATCTCTGATATAGTAAGCCACCTGTCTGGTGATTTACATATCTTGACGGTTGGATTTTGCACCACATACTCATCGTTTGGGTTATTCTGATAGTTCATGTGTGTTCATATACATGTATATGTCCATGTACATGTCCATGTAAATGCACATGTACATGTGCATATGGAAGAGAGGTTTGTTTATTTCATTCTTCACATTTCATATTAATGTAAACTGTCACGCCACTTTAAAAACTAACTGTTTTTCTAAAACAGTGCATATTTCAGTATCAATACAATAAGATATTCAGGGATAACTATATATAGTTGATTTAAATCGATAATCATAAAAATTTGAAATTAATATAAATAAGCAGAATGCTGTGATAGTTTATCAAGTACAGTACAGCTTCTGACGAACATCTCCTTTCGCGAAACAATTATCTATTGATGAGAGGTGTTGAATTGGAGAGGTTTAATTCATTTCGGCGTCTTTAATTTGGAAGAATTGATACCTTTGTTGTAATATTTTCAAATCTTTATATTTATTTTATTTTTTTACGTTTGGCAGGACCAAGAAGAAGAAAGGGTAGGTCAAATAAATTTTGTTTATTTTTATATAGTATACTCTTTACGTGATTCTAATAAGAACATGCTCTTGTGAGATTAAAATGGTGGTATGAATCTGCAAGTTAAACACAAAACTCTGGTTTTGACCTGGTTTTAATTTTAGAAACAACTGCAAATATATCAACTAATAATATTGCACTTTATTACAAATATGTAAAATACTGTAAAAAATATATCTAATATCAATACATTCATCATTAATAATTATCGTCAATACCAAGTCATTATCGATTTATAGACATGTGCACCTTACAAAACGTTAGTTAACTCGTTAAATCATAAGATGTATTTGCTCCTAGATAAAGGGTGCTCATAATTTCCATTCTGAATGCACCTAATTATACCATACATTCATTTTTAACATACACACTATTAACAATGAAAGTATAGATAGAGAATACAACATGAACTATTCTGTTTACTTCCTACTTAGAGGATTAACCATTCATTATTACATATGATAAGACATGGATGTTCTATTAGCCATAGCATCTCTGATATAGTAAGCCACCTGTCTGGTGATTTACATATCTTGACGGTTGGATTTTGCATCACATACTCATCGTTTGGGTTATTCTGATAGTTCATGTGTGTTCATATACATGTATATGTCCATGTACATGTCCATGTAAATGCACATGTACATGTGCATATGGAAGAGAGGTTTGTTTATTTCATTCTTCACATTTCATATTAATGTAAACTGTCACGCCACTTTAAAATCTAACTGTTTTTCTAAAACAGCGCATATTTCAGTATCAATACAATAAGATATTCAGGGATTACTATATATAGTTGATTTAAATCGATAATCATAACAATTTGTAATTAATATAAATAAGCAGAATGCTGTGATAGTTTATCAAGTACAGTACAGCTTCTGACGAACATCTCCTTTCGCGAAACAATTATCTATTGATGAGAGGTGTTAAAATTGGAGAGGTTTAATTCATTGTGGCGTCTTTAATTTGGAAGAATTGATACCTTTGTTGTAATATTTTCAAATGTTTATATTTATTTTATTTTTTTACGTTTGACAGGACCAAGAAGAAACAAAGGTAGGTCAAATAAACTTTTGCTTTGTTTATTTTTATATAGTGTACTCTTTACGTGATTCTAATAAGAAATTGCTCTTGTGAGATTAAAATGGTGTTATAATTCTGCAAGTTAAACACAAGACTCTGGTTTTGACCTGGTTTTAATTTTAGAAACAACTGCCAATATATCAACTATCAATATTGCACTTTATTACAAATATGTAAAATACTGTAAAAAATATATCTAATATCAATACATACATCATTAATAATTACTGTCAATACCAAGTCATTATCGATTTATAGACATGTGCTCCTTATAAAACGTTAACTCGTTAAATCATAAGATGTATAATTTCCATTCTGAATGCACCTAATTATATCATATGTTTATTTTGAATATATAGAACAGAACTTGTACATGGTACATCATCTTACAATTTGTACAATTTAGATATACTATACAATAGTCACATGACATTTAAAGTACATAAATATAGCTATAGACATTAACATACATACTATTAACAATGAAAATATAGATAGAGAATACGACATGAAATATTATGTTTACTTCCTACACATTCATTATTTCATATTATAAGACATGGGTTCTATTAGCCATAGCATCTTTGATATAGTAAGCCAAGTTACACAATATTTTCTTATTATTACAATTTAACAACTTAATAAATTTGAACATACTTGGTCTAACATAGTTGTATCACTCAATATATTATTTACGAATTTCAAGAAAACAGGTACATACTAATATAAAATGGTATTCATCTTCGATATCACGAAGGTTACAATATAATTATACAATATCGTTCATTTCTAGGAATTCTGTTTATATCATAACGTCCGGGTTGTATCAGTAATGTATGTGAAGGCATACTTTTTCTACTTATGCAAGTTTTAACATTTCTTGGTATAAGATCTAAATATTGTTCATACCCAAACCCACTCTTCGAATTATTATACAAATTCAAAACTGAACTAGATCTACCGTTTGAATATATATTAAATGACACTTTAAAATATGCTTACACCCTACTGAGACTAACTTTAAGAATAATATTTAAAACAAGAACAAAAAACAATTAACACAAAAAAATCCCACTATTGAGACACCATTTTTTAAACATAAAAGCGATCTCAATAGTGGGATATTCTGTAGAGCTATCAAATTTGTCGTGACGTCATTTTCTGAAAATTTAAATATGAAAATTCATGTTCTGCACATTGCGTATTATTAATGTTATAGTGTCTGACGAAAAGCTCAAGATATAAGTTACGCTTTAGCATATGATATTAATGATATCCGTGTGTTGTACGCTTCTTGTTTACAAATAGCATCAGTTAAAGATACAAGTAGATTGTTATTTAGTGCAACGTCTTACACATGTATATACTTGACGATGACAAATGGACATGTTTGTTTTCTGGGAAATCACATTTCAACTATTTGATGTTTACATAAAATATTGCAATCCGATTAAAGAAAATACCAAAGTTTAAGATAGATGGGTACATCGCTTCCTAACAGCTGAGCAGATGAGTAAGTGGATGAATGCTTCCGAAAGAAGGAAATTTCTTCCTGTCCCTTAAATCCAAAAAAGGAAGAAACTATTGAAAACCCAATCCTGGAAGTAGCTCGATGCGATTTTAAGCTGTGTCCACTTTTGAAGAAAGAGCTACGTGGCTATAGACATGAAAATATGGAATAACCTTTCATGTTCAAGTAATTGTTTGTCGATTTTAGAATTCATTATGTCCTTTTTCAACAATGACAATAAAAGCATTTCAATTTTAAGCTCATGGGTATGATTTATCTTCCATTGTAGACGACAAACACTTTTGGTAAAATATAAAGTTTTCAATTTCTACAGTATGTAATCGCCAAAAGAGAAATATATTCCATTAAAATATGACATATAGTCAAAATTGTCAAAGTGAACTTATTCTCATATTTAAATTTATTTCTGAAAGTTTTACATAAATATTAGATTGAATGGGTACGAAAGTGCTGTTCTGCTTCATTGACCATCTCGATCAGACGAACTAAAACTGGATTTTGAAAATTAAGTCTTTTATAATCTTTTATAAACTTTCTCTGAAGAACTACAGCTTAGATATTTCTAGTTTTATCATAAAAATATATACAAAAGTGTTCAAATCATAGCCATGGGATCAGGATTGACCTTTTGATTTTCCTTATTCAATGTATGTATAATAATTGTAGCAAAATTTAAAAATTCTTCTTTTGTATAACCATGGAAGCTGGCTAAAGGTTAGATATTAAGCATGAAAAAATGGACTAATGAACCTCTACTAAATTTGTTCAAATTAAAGCGATTTTTCCTGAAAGGTAAAAATAGTAACAGCTTAATTTCTCTTTCTCTAAAACAATAAAGACCTAAGCCTATATATTTGGAATGCATCTAGTTGATTTTTACCACGTTTGTTCATATTATAGACCCAAGGTCTTAATTGACATTGCCTCTTAGGGGTCATAAATTTGTAGACAATTTGCACAGTTTCAGATGCTGACTTGAAAATTAACCTAAATTTTGTCCCAGCTGATCTTGATTATGACCCAGTTGATCTAGATTTTAACCCAGCGACATAAGTTTGATCGTAAATGCTTCGTGTATGAAATTTTAACTACATGCGCAGTTCCACTTTGATATCAGCTGACCTTGATTTCGACATAATTCCCGTCTTTCATCCATAGTTATCAATATCATTCCAGTGTAAATTCTAAATGCCGTAACTTCTTAAATTCGGAAAGTTCAACACTTGTATGTATACCGATCTTTTTCCTTCAGTCTGTTTACCTTTCAATTGAAATATCTAAACTCCAAATTGTTTTTGTATTTTCTGTTCAAAGATCAGGAAATACAAATCTGACATTCAATCTGACACAGCGGGTTAACGACAAACCTAACAACAAGTATTTCTCAAAACAGCTTAAAACTAGCGATTTAAAAGAAAGAAATATTTTTTATTTTGTTACAAGTATCCAACAAATTACAACGCATTAAAAGATTAAAAGTAGCGTTGGATTATAGAATTGTAAATAAATGCACAATCACAAATTACGCGGATGAATATGATTTTAATCAATGAAAATGTTATTTTTAGCGATGTCGATTACCGAATACTACACAAATAAATCTGACTGTCTAGTAGTGGAATATATAGATTCTACATATCGGACTGTTTTCGCGAAATCATTTACATCAATTTTAAACAACAGGTTTATCGTGAACAAAATACCTCGAAATTAATAAGGATTACAAACCCGAAATGCAATGGAAATTCTAATTTAAAATAACTTGATTTTTTTCAGGCCTTGTTCGAATAACTTCTCCGTGGTGCAGGGGTAATGCGCTCGTTTAGTGTGTGAGAAGTCTGGGGTTAAAATCTCAGTCGATGCAACTATCTTTTTTAAGTGTCTTTGTTAAGGAAGTAGCCACGATATGCAAGGATAAAGTGTGGCTGTCATAAAAAAATGAACATAAATGATTTTTTGATGCAGCTCTAGTTTTGCAAAATTCCGTTATGTATCAAACTCTGGTGCCCTGCAAGATGATTTAAAATATAGTGCATAAAAATAACTTATACAAAAAAATACATACAGATATACAGTACGATTTAGATTGCAAAGATCAGAAAATACCACAGAGCTTGCAGTCCATTGATAATTTTTAATGCCGAACGATTTTCTGAGAAAAATCAATCATATCAAGTGATATTTACGTCCAAAATCCGTAAACTCAAAAAGGTTTTTACAAAAAAATGTACTTGAGATTGGAAAATGTAAATAAATCCAAATCAACCGTGACCGTTCACTTTTTTAGATTCACAACTTGTCAAGCATGACATATGTCTTTGATTTAGGTATAAAATGTAATAAAGTTGTAAACGGAAAATGAAAACGTTTTAAAATGAGAGTAAGCGACCGGTATTCTACATTGAAGCAGTATTCCTTTGAACATGTTATGAGTTTTTTTGAAGTTTGAAACATCCACAGATGTAATCATACAACGGTGGTCATAAAGCAAAGTTCGTGTCATTTCACAAAAAGGGGCGTATAGTCCTCAAGTAAAAGTATAAGTATGTTCTTGACTAGCAAAAATGTCAACCATGAATACAGTCCAACCTAAATTTTCTTCACTAAATTTGTACAAATTTATAAACGAAAATACAGTTCAAGTTTCTTGTTTTAGATTTAAATGCTTTAAGATATTTGGCATGCAATGTTAACTAGCACACCTTTGTTAATGTTTATTACTTATGCAGCTGCGGTAAGAATGACACACTCAATTCAAGCAAACGTCGTATTTTTTCATTGAGAAATTTTGTCCTCTTCAAGCAAAGTATCTCTGTTCAGCATTCTAGGGTCGTCATAGCTCTCTTGTTTTAATTCAAAATCAAATCATTTGATAAGAAAAAGAATTAGTACTTACAGCTTACACACTCTTATCGGAACAAGTTAAGTAGTAATTTATCTTATTATTATTATTATTATTATTATTATTATTATTATTATTATTATTATTATTATTATTATTATTATTAAATTAACATATTCATTTCTTTCATTTCAGATTGTGGTGTTGCAAGTTTAATAAAAAAAGCATAAAAAAATCGTTGATATGGACATTTGTGTTTTTATGTGTATATGGAATAGTTATAGGAATTTTATTACATAAATGGAAAGACTTATCTGCACTTCGGAAACACGTTGACAAGCTTTGTTCGATCTGTTTCATCCACAATTGCGCTATGGGATTGTAAAAAACAACATCAACAACAACAAAACAACAACAACAACAACATAACAACAACAACATAAAAAAGCTATCCAGTACCCATTTACATATTCAATGTGAACAAGGAATTAAATTGAAGGTTTCTTTGAGAAAGTAATCACTTGAAACGTTACGAATATGATATGCAGTATTGCTTATTTGAGCATCACTGTGATATATAAGAAAATACTTAACCGTGGAAAAATATTTTTCTATTTTAAACTGTACCTACATAATATCGGATATATATATATTTTGAATTAGCCAGGTGTCTCATTTCATGTTTAACACCAGTAT